TGTCAGTCACGTCTCGTAAACCGTTAATGCCCAGCTCTTGCTACTCTCGGGCTCACGCTGTTCCTTGAAGTTTTTCTGAAACGCTTAGTAATAACGGACGAAAACTCCAAAAGACCGATTGGCTGCTTGAGAATTCTTTATTGTTACACCAACATATAAAAATACTAGTTGAACTAAAGTTTGTGAACAAATATTACAATAATAAATCACAATATTACTTCTGACGGTTTTGTCCTGACTTCTTTCTGAACAGCGACCGATGAGACGATGACTGTCGTATTGATGCCTCCGCGAAAATTGGGGAAGTTGATTTTGAGCAAACAACCAAGTATTGGTCGTTCAATCTTCAACTCCACTTACATATCAATTTTACAGGCATGGATATGTTAATATATAAATTACACATAACTTAATGTATGATGAATTTACAGTTTGGTTGTTCTCTCTGACATTAAAGCTAGTCGGAACAGTCTGCTATAAAGTCTGTTTGTGTAGCACATAAAGAGATATAGAAATATTGTCTTCGCATTAACAAAAACCCAGACATCAGATGAATGTAATACAAATATCTGGGAAAAATAAAGCTTGAAGTCAATTCTCTTATATAACTTTGTTGTGAACAGCACCCTTGGCTCAAAGTTTATTGATGTATTATGTTGAGATCAGTGATATATTTATTCCATTCTTTCAGCAGTCTCATCGTAGTTTTATAACAGGAAAGAAATTTGATCGTGGAGGCGAAAACTAGATGAGGTCATGTTGGGTTGTTTTACTGCATCAAATGGTGCCGAGGTCGATTCCAGAATTCTCCATTTGCGCCATTTGTGTCTGCATGGGGGAATGTACTCGTAAGTTGAGTAAGATGTTGGGAAACTGTTTGAAAACCAGCTGCTTCTTCGTTTCAGATCATGAATGCTCATTTACAGCATGTTCGCCAGCGTCTTCAAATGGTAGAATTGGATCGTTCATGGAATTTGTGTGGTTATTTGATTGATGGTTTGGAATTAATGTGTAGTGCCTGTCCAGAACTGCCTAGAATACTAATTTATAATTCGTATAAACGGTGGCACAGTGGTTAAGACGCTCGCAGACCATGCATGTGGTCCGAGGTTCGACCTTTTGCCCCGACGCACACCTGATATCTATGATCTGCCTGCGAAATTTGGGCTACCGATATCCATACTGAAAATTTCACACTTGCACCAAAAATACGGTTTGGAATCAAGATGTAATAAAAAATAAAAAATAAACTAATCAATTGATGGGATGCCATTTCTACAGGCACGATCGGTTATTTTATAAAGTAGAATCCCATATATATCTATATATTACAATCTGGAATTCATGGACTAGCCATTAAATCGGGTCCCAAGGGATGAATGGTATACAAGCCAGCTTGCCTTCTAGCCGGAAGGTCTTGGGTTTGAATCGTGGTGATGGGTGCGTACTGCCGCTAATTCCCAAACTAGGACGGAGCAAAAGGATGTTCAGTACTCCCAGGTTAGTTTTCAGCAGATTATTAAACACGGATATCAATCCATGGTCAACCCCAGATACTAGCTTGCTAGGCTACTAGCTTACTAGTTTTCTCGCCGGTCCCAGCCGGGTAAAGAGGGAGGTTGGGCGTGGTGCTAGCAACTCCACCCCTGTAAAACAACCAAATCGCTACAGAAACTTCAACGAATAAATATATTAAAAATTCTAAAAACATAAGCAATAGCCTTACTTTTCGCTGGAATCGGGGAAGTGAAATGACGCAGGCTGGTGAAAGCCTTCGGGAAGCCAGTCAGCCGATGTGCCTTCTTTCGATGAAAGCAAAAGTAAGGATGGGTACCTGGAATGTTCGTACAATGTACGAAACTGGAAAGGCTGCCCAGATAGCCGCTGAAATGAGAAGGTACAGAATAGAAGTGTTGGGAATCTGCGAAGCAGATGGAACGGAACTGGAAGGTGCCAACTACCTACTGGAGAGACAGTAATCTATTCCGGCCACCTAGAGGACAACCATGAGCACACCGAGGAGTGGCCATCATGATGTCACCAACAGCAACCAAAGCTCTCATGCAGTGGGAACCAATCTCCTCCAGGATAATGACAGCCAGGTTCAACTCAAAAGGAAGGAAAGTTACAGTCATTCAATGTATGCGCCTACAAACGTCTCAGAACAAGAGAAGAAGGAGGCGTTCTACAGACAACTACAAGCAATAATGGACAACGTCCCAAATGGCGATATCAAAATCCTGATGGGCGACATGAATGCGAAGCTGGGAGGAGACAACACAGGAAGAGAACTCACCATGGGTCGTGAGGCCCTCGTGAAATGAACGACAATGGTGAACTCTTCTCAGACTTCTGCGCCTTCAATGATTTGGTGATTGGAGTGTGTTCAAACACAAGGATATACACAAGACGACATGGATTTCACCAGATGGAAACACCAAAACCAAATAGACTTCATCTCAATTTCAAGAAAGTGGAGACGGAGCCTACTGGACACAAGGTCAAGGAGAGGAGCAGATGTGGGTTCAGACCACTATCTAGTAGAAGGGACTTTCAAGGTGAAACTAAAAGCCTCGAGGATAGCTGGGGATAGGCCACAATGCAAGTTCAACACTCAATTACTGAAGGACACAACCACAAAAGACACTTCACTGCAACTGTCAGAGCAAAGCAGGAAACACTACGCGACATCACTGAAGAATCATGCGTGGAAGAACATTGGAAGTCTCTGAAGGCGATTCTCAACGAAACGTGTTCAACGGTTCTAGGAAGAAAGAAGAGACAAGACAAGGAATGGCTCTCAACGGACACTTGGAAATTAATAGAAGAGAGGAGAATGGTGAAAGAGAAAATGATTCAATGCAAGGACGGACAGGAGAAGGAGACGATGAGCTCAACTTACAAAGCACTGACAAAGAAGTGAAGAAAGTGCTAGGAAGGACAAAAGACGATTCTACGACAATCTAGCTACTGAAGCTGAAAGGCAGCAGGCAAAAGGACCTGAGGACACTATATCAGATAACCAAATCTCTATCCGGGAAGAGACCAACACAAGCGAAACCTATAAAAGACAGCCAAGGGAACCCATTACCAAGGAAGAAAAACAGATTAAACAATGGGCGGATCACTTCAAAGGACTCTTGAACCGACCATCACCTGCAACCCGTCCAGAAATACCAACAACAGCGCGCACACAACTGCAAGTTGACACCAATCCTCCAACGAGAGCTGAAGTCTTGAACGCAATCAAACTTCTGAAAGCTGGAAAACAGCCGGACCAGATGGAATACCCCCTGAAGCACTGAAAGCAGACCAGAGACGACAGCAGACATGCTGACTCCATTATTGCAAAAGGTCTGGAAGGAGGGAAAGGTGCCTACTGACTGGAGGAAAGGTTACCTCGTGAAACTACCAAAGAAGGGCGACTTAGACTCTGCAAGAACTGGCGAGGAATCATGCTCCTATCGACGCCAAGTAAAATCCTGAGTCGCATCATCCTGGAGAGATTAAAGGACGCACTGGAGACAGAACTCCGACCAGAACAAGCTGGATTCAGGAAAGGCAAATCATGTACTGACCAAATTGCAACTCTACGCATCATCATCAGAACAAAGCATGGAATGGCAATCAAACCTCTACCTCAACTTTATAGACTTTGAGAAGGCCTTCGACAGCGTTGATCGTGAAGTAATTTGGAAATTACTCGAGTACTATGGCGTACCCCAAATATTCATCAACCTTATTCAACAGCTGTACGACAACGGCACTGTCAAGTGATCCACAACGGAAACTCAGCGAGGCGTTTGGAGTAAACACAGGAGTCAGACAAGGGTGCTTACTATCACCAATGATATTCCTAATTGTGGTGGACTGGATTATGCGTCAGACAGTGGGAAACGAGAAGACAGGATATCCTGGACCGACGTGAAGAACCTAGAAGACCTGGATTTCGCGGATGATTATGTTTGATGTCACACACAATCGAAGACTTACAGGTCGAAGAAGCAGCAAGACAGGACTCCAGGTAAACATAGACAAGACGGAGGTTATGAAAATAACCAACCAACAACAGCAACAACATCCAACGTCAATCACCATCAACGGGGGGATTTGAAAGAGGTTACTTCATTCACTTATCTAGGGAGCATTGTCTCAACTCAGGCGGACGAGGATGTCAAATCGAGAATCGGGAAGGCGAGAAACACATTCATCAGCCTGAAATCAATCTGGAAATCTTCGTCACTCAGCATCACCCAAAATTCGGATTTTCAATACAAACGTAAGTTCTTCTATACGGATCAGAAACTTGGGGGTCACAAAGAATATTTCCAAAGGCTGCAGACCTTTATTAACAACTGTCTTCGCTTACTGAAGATCAGATGGCCGGAAAGAATCACCAACAAGGAATTATGGGAACAAAAAGCAAGAACCAACAAATATGCAGTTGAAAGAATATGGATTAATGGATGCAGGCGAAAAGTAGCAGAAAGAAATGGTATCAATCCTGTCAACCCGTAAAATACATTATCATTGTGAGTTAAGAGGGTTGAATTACTGCGAATGAAGCTTAGAACTTTTTCATTAGATTCAACTAGAGGCTGATTTCAAGTAAGATGAAATAACCTCTCAGTATTCTGTAGACTAAAATGCGTCTTTGGCTTAGATGTAAAATGCTTGCCAACCCACGCAAGTGGTTCTGGGTTTAATCGCCTGCCCACATACTTATAAACATTGCTTAGTCGGTAAGCAGTAAGCCCAGGAAAAAGACTGAAGGTTAGGCATGAGGCCACTAAAATTTCAAAGCTTGAGGCTTGAATCCATATGTGTTTCATTCCGAACGCAGAAAAAAATGAAGCAAAGCCTCTCTTAGATCAATTTCTTATTTAAACTATACCTACCGGGGATATTCAGTATATGCAGGCCATTATCCTTCAAAATATTTTCAACCGTCACTATTATTTTTAGTAATAAACCGATTTTCTTCTCGTATCCTAAAGCTAATGACATCTCAGGCTGTATTCAACTGGGACCGTGATACTCTCGAAGGTGTACATAATATGCTAGAATTAATAATTCGTTTAATTTGTGAATATATGGCTGTACTGAAAGTAACTATTCTTGAAGAGATGAAAGAAGGCACCGACGATGATACTGTACAAACGTCGTCTGTGAAAAATAAACGTATCCAATCACTTGAAGGATTAAAATGCAGAACATTTTTATTCACTGAAACATTTCAACTACTTTCTATGATTTTCGATTGTGAAACGAATTATCATCAATTGTGCCGAGATAGAAATAGCAATACTGGAACGTATGCGTAAGTTGTCATTCAAACGTTTATTTCTGTACTCATTATTATTACTATTATTATTTTGATATTATGTTCTGTTGAGCACAGGTTAAGCAAATGGTTATAATATCAGGCCGACATACGCTTTAAAGATGAGAAATGAAATGGTTTAATCGTCTGATGATTTATTTGAGAAAATGTTTCAGCCCAAGTGAATTGGTTCTGATCAGGATCTTACGATGGATACAGAACTCCAACTTAGTTATTTTTTTTTGAAACTTGCATCATCTCTGTAGCAGCCATGATATCTGAGCAACTATCAGATAATATGTATACCACACAGCTGTTCGTGCTGTCCTAATGTGTCTTGACTTCTCGATTCTGCTTTTTACATCTTCATCTGGTCTTCGTCTAATGGTTTTAAACTAAATCCTTCCAAATGTCAGACTGTTAACTTCAGTTTTCGGTGCAAAAGAAAGTTAAATGAAGCCATTGGTTCCTATAACCGTCGCAAAATTGATGACACTGATATAGAAAACAAGTCTGAAGTTAAGTATCTTGGATTAATTCTTTCTTCTGACCTATCCTGGTCTTCTCATGTCTTAGCGATTTCCTAGTCTGACTGTTTACATTGAGAAGTTAACGCACTCAAGCATAACTCAACCACTCCTCCTCTTCCACTTTGTCAACTCGTGCATCTTACCTATTCTTCTTTACTGTTCACCCTTGCTTGTTCTTTCTTGGATTGCTTAAAAGAGACTATGTCATACTTCGTAGAACTCTGAAGACTGTCAGTCAGTAGGGCGAGTGATGGTATCCCATTGGGCTACATCGTTGACATTGTCATTGATAGGCACTTGATGTCATGTGACAAATTTGTTAAAGGAATTTTGTCAGACTGTGAGCATCCACTGCAGCACCCACAGCTCCAGCCTTGTGTCTCCTCAGGTAAAACAAGAAGTGTTTTCAGCAGACCTTATGCATGTACGTCTAAGTATAAAAATTCCACTATACCATATTTAAGCACGTACTCTGTGTATTGGAAATAGTGTTAGGCATGGACTAACTAACCTTCTTTGCACTAGTAAATAAACCCTTTTCTCTACCTTTTATAACATCAAGCTTTATTGTTATTGTGCTTCTTATATTTATAATCCTCTCAATTTTTTTGTTTCTATTCATTTATTTTTCATAAGTGTGAACATCAATTAAGTTGTGTAATGGCTGTTGTTTCCTGTATTTCCCCTCTCCATACTATATCAACAGAACATTAGATTCAATACTCTATAGTAACATGCTAAAATTTTCAAACTGTATCGACAATACTGTTTGAAACAAACTCACTGTTATCATTATTATTATTATTGTTATAATATTTAATGATCTCAATTCGTGCTTCGAATATTTTTGACTTTGTACCGTAAACGTGGACAAATTCCTCTGATTATTTTTGTTTTAATTTTTAATTTTATTTTTTATTTGAGTAAATCAGATGCAATGTTGCGACAAATGCTGAGTATTCCATTCTGTATTATAAGTACTGTTTTTGGAATAAAGTAAATTATTATTGTCGTGAATTAATACCTTATCAAAAGTGTAAATTTTTGGATCATTGTACAACCAGTCTGAACAGGTTCATATAAATCTTAAATCGTGAGCTCTTCACCGAGCTTACCATCAAGGTTGAGCGCAAACACAAAGTTTTTTCCTTTAAGGTACGGCGAATTTGATGATTTCCAGTGTTTAACTATGCTTGTCTAATTTTAGGTTGGTTACTCAGCGTGTAGGGATTAGTCGCCCAAGACGATGCAGCGGATGACCAATAGGAATGTACTTCCCTTCTCACCCAATTGTATGATGATTGACCCTAAGTCTTCGTTCCTACTAGCACGCCGCACCTGTGTGACCAACCTGTCAGTGTGCACTTTTCCTTCTGCTTCAGATCATTGATTGGCGACTGGGATTACATTCCGTCTCCTGCTGATAGGTATGGTTAACCAGTTAACCGCCTAAATTTGGGTAAATGCAATGCAGCCATGTGATTAAAGGCTGTTTCAGGAAGACGAGAACGTCTTGGGAAACTGAAAACGGTTTAAAATACAATTATGGATGGTACATCATTGGAAGAACATTGACAAGATATATACCAGAAAGAGCTAGAGACTCCTTGGAATGGTAGTATACATTTGCAGTGATCATGCCAATCATATTGGTCTAAACATCGAAAATATGTTTTCGATGAAAATATAGCTTTTCTCAAGCATTAATGCTGTTGTTATTCTTATCAAAGCAACCAAACTTTAAGCAAGTAACAGTTATGAGCAGAGAATAAGTTTTAGCTCCAATAAAGGCCTAAGTGGTTAAGATAAAATAGAGTATAATAGTGTGTAAATAAAAAATGATCGTAAAGTAGATAAGTGATACTCCAGTGGGAAGCGAATTCAGATATCCGGAAGATTAGAACCCGTAGGCCAAGCTGACCTATAAGATGTCTCAGGAGTTTCCGTAGGATCCATGGTGTAGCATCTTGACAAGAAACTGAACAAGCTTGTAGATGGTGGGAGCGAAAGCATTTTTCCAATGTGTAATTTAGATCCTTACAAACTCTATTGTTTTCTTGTTAAGCATCTAGACTCGTGTTTAATTCCAGAGCTGTCAAAAATGCCTATTGCTGTCATACAGATTGGAGCGATTCACATTTGTGACCACCTTCGTATCTGCTGATCAACATGCTCCACCCTCCCTCCTTTTCTGATGTTGAGCTCTGTGTCAATGTCCAGGTCTAACTACAGTGGACTTAACACCGTCCTCAGAAGACCTTCACCGACAGTGTGCAACAACCAACGCGAAAAACCAGAACACAGATTGGTGATTCGAGAATCCTTTATTATTGCACCAGTATGGAATCAACCATAAGGTTATTATACACAAACTCTGGGGATAAATTTCATGATAATTAATCTCAATAATTGTCAAGGAACTTATCCCTAAGTTCCTATTGTTACGAAGACTCTCCATACCGATAAATACTATGTACTTTCTTCGACTTTAACTCCAAAACACCAGTATTGTAAGAAGGAAGTTATATTGTTTGGCAATCAAAGCGGAGAATAATACAAGTCTATAAACAAATGTTTTATACGAAATTATTATGTGCTTTTGTTCGTTTTCGTTCGTCTTCGTCGAACTTGTACACTATTGAACCATTCGCGCCTACGAGTTGCCTACCAATGGCTACCAGTTAGAAAAACAAACGTTCAATGTTCACGTCCTTTGACAATAATACTTCTGATAGTATTTCTCCGTCTTCTAGCGGACAGCGAACGATGAAACAATGATTGCAGTATCGGTGACTCCCGCCAAAATACGGAGCTAGGCTTGAGTGAAGAACCATGAATTGATCTTTCACTGTTCAACGACATTGACACTCCCCGCCAAAAAACGGATCCATGCCTTTTTTCCATCACGACCAATACATGTTGACCTGGATATCAGTGCGAGAACCTGGGTTACATAGACAAAGATGAAATGGAAAACAAACAGAAAAGCCAACACACCACAGACATACCCACAGCACAATCTCACACATCGATGACGACCTACGCCTTCCACTTAAAGGCATCCTCTTGACATCTTGCAACATAATCGCCACTTGCTAGAATGACTCTTGCAGAACGCGACGTGACCATATCAGCACCTCATGATACTCTTCGCGCATCCTCTTATCTATTCACTACCAATTACCACTGAAATCGCTTGTCACTCATTCTGCCTCAGTTCTAGTAGCGGTGACGTATGCAAGCCTCAGTCATCTACACTCATGCTCCCCGGCGTGTGGGACCACGGCCTAAATAGAAACATTGGTTCTCAATCATTGAGTCCACAGCTAATCCTTATCTCCGTGTGCATGCCATTCTCAGCACTAGCCTTCCCGGCGTATACGACTCATGTCAATGTAGTTGAAGATTGAACGATCAATTCATGGTTGTTTGCTCAAACTTCCCCAATTTTCGTGGAGGCATCAATACACCAGTCATCGTCTCATCGGTCGCTGTTCAGAAAGAAGTCAGGACAAAACCGTCAGAAGTAATATTGTGATTTATTATTGTAATATTTGTTCATAGACCTTAGTTGTAAAGTGGGCCATATGTTGGTGTTAGAATAAAGAATTCTCGAGTCGCCAATCTGTGTTCTGGTTCTTGCGTCCGTTCGTACTAAGCGTTTCTGAGAAGCTTCGAGGAACAGCGTGAGTCCCAGCGTGGCAAGAGCTGGGCATTGACGGTTTACGAGACGAGGCTGACAACTCATCTGTTGTCTTTAACATCAATCAATTTATTCACGGATGTAGAAGACTAGAAACAACTTCAGAAGTAAGCACGACGAAAATTTTAACAAAATTATGCACAACAACAAGATGTGAAAACAGCAAGTAAACACGATGAATCCAAGACACCAATTGATATGATACACCACACATATATACAATTAGTACACATAACCTCGCAGATCATGTCTTGATGGAATTCCTTTGAAGAATTGCAGGACTTACACCAGTACGCCTGCAACCCTTCTCAGGTTGACGATTGTAGGTTGAAGAGCGTCTGGACACAAACAAGATTAACCAACAGATAGATGAGAGTTGATGCCAACTCAGTATATACAACGTGAACATATGTACAAAATAACGCACCAAGTAAGGTGAACTGCGCTTCGACGTACTACCCGTGAAGAGTTGTAGGACTTCCAGCAGTACGCCTACGACCCTTCTCAGGTTGACGCCCTAAGTTGGAAAACCGTCGAGTGGTTCATCTCGTGACTCTCGGCTCTCAGCACTTTCTACCAGACACAGTTTACTAGTATCTCGCACCAACATACAACAACTTGTTCTCACCTCGACCGTCCTCACCATCCCATCACCAATACAGAGTACCCTTTCTACCACTGCCAAAGGCCATTTGCCTGTGGCCCATTTATCTGCTGCTAAGACTGTATCACCGACCTTTATGTTTCCGCATAACTGTTTCCACTTATCTCTTATTTTCAGTGTTAGAACATACTCTTTTAACCATCTTTTCCAAAATATATCTTTCATATGCCTGGCTTATTTCCACCCTTCAATCGTAGGTATTCGTTCCACACTCAAGTCCCCTATGCCAGGGTTACCTCTCAATAACAGTAATTTATTTGGAGTTGACACATCGAAACCCTCGGTGTCGTCCCTCACAGGTGATAACGGCCATCCATTTAGCATTCTTTCAGCTTCACATAAAGATGTCTCCAACATTTCGCCGTTCAAATTTTGCTTTTCAATTATGGAGCTTGAAATACGCTTGATAATTCCCATAAGTCTTTCCCATAGACCACCTCACTGGCTGTCATTTAGTGGGTTGAAGTGCCACTCGATGTTCCTTTTCAATAAATCTTCATGAACCCTCGTTTGAGGACCTTCGAAATACTCTCTAATCTTGGCATGCCAACCAACAAAACTAGTCCCCCTATCACTGAACATCATCCCCGGTGTATGTCGGCGATTTATAAATCTAAAAAAATGCTAGAACTGTAACAACAGAAGACAAGGGCCAGGCAACAGATCGTTTTATTACGGAAATCAACACGTATTTATATAAATTTCACATACATTATTATAGCATAGTCAAGTAGACAAACGCAGTCTTCTGATTGGTTGTTTTCGAGTTCCTCGGAAAGTGGAGCCATCTATCTGCGAATCATATTTGCCCACGTTCAGGTTTGCTGTGATTGGTTGTTGAAACAGCCTTGTTCATATTTTCTCACGGCCCACATTAGTGGCCTAGACATTGACGTAGATTAATGTCATCCAATTGGCTATCAGAACGAATGAATCAATAGTTAACGTATGAACCATCCCAATATGCACAGTTCTCAATTTTAAACAGGTGGATAAACAGCCTTATCTTTTACATGGGGTTCTGCCTCTCTTCACTACAAAAGGTCGGAACAAATCCACTCCGACATACTCGAATGGAATGCCTTCAGAAACGTGCCACGCTGGGTGTGGTGCCACCATCTGCTGTGCTGAGCGAGCAGTCCTTGCACTCATCGACTATTTTACGGACAGCCGTTCCTCTTTTCACTATCCAAAACTTACATCGAATACTTGATAGTACTTGTGAAGAACTCAGATGACCTTCAAGAACATGTCGGTTTTTTATAATTATATTAGTGACTGGTTGGTGGCAAGGTTATAAGGCCGGATGACCGGTCTCATATGACGATTCTAACATTTGTAGACATCCACCAACTCTAGCGATCCCTTGGAAAAATTCTGGAGATAATCTGTCTAACCGCACCTTGAAATCTGCGGAATCGGGACCTTCCTCCTTGGCTACTCCACCCCACGCTTCCCACTGAGCAGCCCACGAAATCGCTTACTCTGAATTTCTAATATTTTCGACTCCCAAAGGTTCCACATTCGCATTATCGTATCCTGCAAGATTCATGACTTTTAAATGCGCAACATATCTTTTCAACCGAGCAACAGCCTTCAGTAATTTTTACCAAGGATAATAATATCTAAAAAGTGGATGTAAACCTGATTGTCTTTGTTGAGTAAATGTTAACCTGACATTTGTCTTAAACTCCAAGACACACTCACTTATCGGTGGTTCATCTCTACTAGGCCACATATTATTGTGGTGAGAGCTGGCTGCTAGCCAAATTGGTAGACAGTAGTTTTCGTCAATGTTTACGACTTGACAGCGTTATTAGAAGACGGAGATTATCTGAAAGGTGTGATGTATTTGCGCCATACATTTCAAACAATCTGATCACTTATTTACTTCTCAAGCCAATGTATATGAAAAAAGTTAAATTAAACAAAGTGACAAAAGAGAATTAAGAATAATTAACACAAACGTTTGGTAATCCAATCAAATAAGGATTACAAAAATGGTTGGAGAAACGAATGAATTGTGGAAAACCAATAGATGCAGGTGTCAGACTACCAACTTCGTCTATAGCTAAACATCTAATCGAGATGAACCAAAGGTTGGTGTTAACTCAGCCTTTAAGGTCATCTATAAAAACGGTCAGTGGCGTTTACTGAAATGCGCTGAGGCTATAGCTACTCATAAACTAAAGCCCCCCTTATGTATTCAAAAACAGTTTGTTATTAATCTTAACCTACCTTGGTAATCCTTATTTGATTGGAATACCAAACGTTTGTGTTAATTATTCTTAATTCTCTTTTGTCACTTCGTTTAGTTCAACTTTTCCACATATATTGGCTTGAGAAGTAAATATGTGACCAGATTGTTCAAAATGTATGGCGCAAATACGTCACATCTTTCAGATAATCTACGTCTTCTTATAACGCTATCAAAGTTCGTAAAGGGGAATAATTGTTTTAGATGTTTGCGTCCCCAATATTGGTCGTGAGAAAAGAACAAGAACAAAAATTGATTCGACAACCAATCACAGGAGACTTTGCGTAGGCGGATACAGTTAGAATATATATATGGTTTGATATTCAAGAAACAGCCACAAAGAGATGAAAGATTAACTCTCACTGAGAAACAACCAATCACGAGACTGTGTTTTTCTGCTTACAATAGCCTATAATAATGCACATGAAAATCTGTAAATATGTGTTGATTTCCTTAATAAACGATCTGTAGCTGGTACCTGTCTTCTGCTGTTACAACAGTAATGCTACATGTCAGATGATTCACCTCAGAGAGCTTGTCGAAGTGCTCGGAGTAAAGGCTGAAATGATCTTCCCGTTTTTAAAGCACGGGATAGCGTGACAGACCGTGGTTAGTGAGAGGACACTGATATAGTGAATTGACAACATCACCCTTGATTATAGGGACTTCCTAGACAACTCATATCTCGTATCATAAACTAAAGGTTTTATAAGTGAAAACCAACAAGAAGTCATAGAAATCGAGTTTTCATGTGAACACAGGAGAGACAGGTGTGACAACTGAGCGGGAGAAATCGGAGGGAAGTGTCCGCTTTCACTTAACCACTTGGCCATTATCGTTTCAAGCACAGAACGTGTGTGTGTGTTAAAACCAGTCTAGAACGGATAAGCGTTTAATACTTTGAAATAGCTATGGAGATTTATATCACTCAGTACAAAGAAAAAGATCGAAATTTTAAACACTATTGTCGAGTTAGTGAGTCTTTCTGTATGATCCAGGGACTTGACGTGTACACCGATATATGCATTCCTAACAGACTGCAGTATTCCATCAAAACTGCCTTAGTTACCTGTCTGTCTCTGTCTGTCTGTTTTCGACATAGAACTTTGCACAAATATGCGGAAGTTCAAGTCGCCACATTCCGTGTAGCACACAAAGCAAGAGAAGAAAGTACAAGAAAAGCATAATAGAAACAGTGAGCAGAGGTGTGAGACAAAGGAGTAATAAAGAAATACAAAACAGTTTCATTGGAGATCAGGGAGTGGATGCATCTGCGCCACTGAGAACGGTTTTTGATCCATGTCACCAATTGTTTCCAACCATTGATTTTTACCTTCCCGACGACCCCAGCCTGGAAGTCTACACCTTCCTACGTGGCTTAGACCAACTGTTGTGGATTTCATTGACTAATGCCAAGTTTTTGTTTGACCGCCGCTAGCTTTTTTCCAGCCTGACCCTATGTCCGCTAACATTGCTCGTCGAGGGAGGCGATGACTTGGCATACGTAAAACATGTCCTAACCATCTCAGTCTTTGTAGCTTCACGACTTCGTCGATTGATTTCCCCTGTTTACCTAGAACTCTACGCCTAACCTCCATGTTGCTCACCTTATTATGCCACTTTACACGGGAAATAGAACGCAGGCACCTATGATCAAAGACAGCTAGCTACCATTTCCATGTCTTCCACTCTCAGTGGCCAGGTCTCACAGCCAGCCCGCCATAAAGGAGGACGGAGCGGACTGATGAGCAGTACACCCGCCCTTTGGTCGATAGTCCCCGAGGCCACTAGCTCACAACAGTCACACTTGCTGCAGTGGGCGTTAGTGTCGAATACAAGTTCCATGAATTGATGGGAAAGTGATATGTATCCACATATATATATATTTATGTGTGTGTGTATGTTGGTCTCTCTTTCTGTTTGTCTGTGACCATTTCACTGGTATGAACTTGTCTCCTTTAACAATGTATATTCTCCTTATATTATATTATATATAATATGAGTGTTTGTTGACAGTCCGTTGCTTGGTGACATATATCCATATATGGTTGTTCACATGTCTGCTATATTCGCTATGTATATTTGGATCGACACTCCACTATACTTAGCCATTCATGTTAAGACTGTCTAATGATTTGTTCCCACGCTTTGTCTGGAACATTCATATATATTTCGCATTCACAATTTGTGTGACTTTACTTTTACTTACTTACCACTTTGGTGTGAGACCATTTATTTTCGTCTCCTTGTGTTTGGACAATAGAAGTATCATCGCAAACCTAGTGGTCTTCTGATTTCCGCCTTCTCGCGTCAGGACTATTAATTTCTCGACCAGCCCATAACAATAATTTAGCGACGAGTACATAACAGAAAGATATCATATGAGCCAATATGTAGGTTTCTAGTAAACATTCATGCAATTTCATCGACATTTAACCTAACCCTCACATATGTATGGCACTTGTTGTAATCTTATTGCCAAGAGAGTTAAATAATCTCGTAACATACAGTCACTTAATATGATTAGAAAAAACAGTCAACTACCTGTTAGCTGTGTAAAGTAAATGAGCAACATGCGGTTCCAATTGAAGTTTTCCATCATTATATTCAGCCAGTATTTTTCTAATTGGTGTAGTCGTGTCAGGGAAATGAATGAGTAGCGCTGATTTCCCTGTGATTTGAGTTAATGCTTCTTGTAACAGTTCTGATTGTGTCTTCTTGCCGCATTTCTCGGCGCCTTCAAAAACTATGAATAAACCGCGTTTTACACTTTCAGACATTTAAAATCCCTTTATATGTTAGGCACAAATCATTCAAGTTCAAAACTGCGCCTATCTGTCGAACATCTCATCTACGCCAGAGTCGGCGTAAGCTAACAAATGCGAAACGAGCCCCTTGTATTCGTGCTGAGATTTCGTCAGAGATCAACCCGTTGGCACTGGCTGATGGTACTTCCCAAATAAGTGAAGCAGTCAACGTGCTCTACCACTTCACTTCCTATTTTTAAACTAGGCGTCGATGTAGTCCAGTCCTGTAACATCATCTTGCATTTGGTGGGAGCGAATCGCATGCCAAACATTCGTAGATTGCGGCTCAAGGTGTTTAGAAGACTCTGCATTTTGTCAGCGTCTTCGCCTAGAAGGACTATATCGTCTGCATATTCCAAGTCAACGAGATTATTCCCTGGTAGCAAATCTATCCCTGAGTCTCTGAAGTGAGTTAGTATTAAGTCCATTAGTATATCTATGATGAACTTGAATAGAAAAGGGGATAATGGGCATCCTTGACGGACACCGCTAGTCGTCACCAGTTAGGATGACAGCTCGCCGTAAGCCCTCACCTGGCTGTATGAGTACGAGTAGAGTGCCTTAATCAGTGAAATATATTTTCTTGGAATTCCCTTTATAGCCAAGCATCTCCAGAGAACTTCCCGATCGACAGAGTCGAATGCTGCCTTTAAGTCAAGAAATATAATGACTGTTGGACGCCGGTAGGAATGACTATGTTCTAGAATCTGTCGGAGGGTGAAGATATGATCATTACACCCTCTTTCTGGTCTAAAGCCTGCCTGGCTCTCTCGTGTTTGTGCTTCCCGAGCACCACTCAGTCTACGCATGATTATTGAGCCTAAGACTTTAGATACTGTATTAGTCAAGCTAATCCCTCTGTGATTATCACAGGAAGACTTGTCTCCCTTCTTGTATATGGGGATAATCAGTGACTTACACCAACCTGATGGGACTTAGGTACTTGACATCAGATGACCAGTTAGAGAGTGAGCAAATAACAAGGGGATGTGTCAGCGAAATTACTAACAACGTATTGCTCAGAAAATCTGGGGATGGATTGGACATATGCCAAATTTGACTTTCGACTGACTACGAACCATCAAAATTTATCACAATGGCAAGAAAAGAAAATATTCAGACTGCAGTCCTAAGTAAAAGCCAGACCTTAAATAGGGACAAACACGTTTTCCAGAAATGTAACTCGAGGTCAAAAACGGAAGACTGGAATGATTGTTGCTCATATCATTCCCCAAAGAAGAACCACTTTGACTCTTCATAACTCTTCATGAGGAATAACTTTGAACGATATTAAGAGTGCAATGTACCAAGTATCACCTCCGTTGTTGTCAGTCAAATTTACGGCTTAAATATTTTACAGGAACTGCAATCAGAAGTAATGTTTTAAATTTTGAAGGCGAGTTTGTTTAAGCGTTTCAACTTAAATCCTTAAATTGTCTGCTGCAAACAAAAGGTGTACCTTTTTTCATTGGATTTCAAATCGATATTTTACTTACACCGATCATGAGTGATGAAGAGAATCTGCGAAAGATTATGATGATGGGTTTCGCCGATGAGGACGATATAAGAGCTGTTCTAAAGTCCTGCAGCTCAGATGTAAACGAAGCACTTTCTGTATTAGCGTCTGAAGGCATATATTCGAAGAATAATGTTGCGTTCACACCTGATAAGGTAAGAAAATGTGTTTCTACTGTTTTCTACGGTAAATTCTTAGTATTTCAAGTTGTGAGGCACGTTATTTTTGCTGTTTAAGTTTATATTAGTTAATATATTTACCACAAGAACGGAAAATAAAATAACTAGCCTGGAAAATCCAAGCACTGATTTTACTCTGGCAAATTCGTTTATATATTGAATAAATACGTCTGATTGAGCGTACATCTAGAATGATAATTATAGACTGACTTTTACGTTGCACTTTATATAAAGCATATATTTTTGGTCGTTTATTTAAGATGGACGCTGATTCTAGCTTGGTTTCTTCAATTTTTAACCAGCTTCTGATTCTTCATTATGGTTCTCAGAAAAATGTAAGCCTTACAGCCTGTAAATCGAAATATTTTATGTAGCTTTACATATCGTCTCTTCGATTTAAGCGATGAAAATGCTCACGAATTCTGTAGAGCGCTGAAGAAAGATTGTTTTATACCATTATCATATGTGCTGGCAACGTTGGACATTTTAGATTTTCACTTTTCTGTAAAAGTACTACTGAATTTCAGATTCGTAATGTGTTATCCTGGGTAACGATTTTAACGTTAGATGTCAGTGAATCTTAAGTAAACTGCACTTTCATTCTTTATATCCCTCATTGTGTCTTCAGAGTTCCTGACCTCGTATGGGCATCTTGTTCTCAAATTTAGAGGGGTGTTTAGATGATTTGGCTTTTCACTAGATTTCTTTTTTTGACTCCTGTGGAATGAGAAAGATATGCTACTCTTCCTTATATGATTAGACTTTAACTTCTGCTTTATCACTGACTAACATTTAACAAAAAATAAAATCATAATAAAAGAATCAATAACTCGTTTATAGTATTTCTACCCATCATTTCTCAGTAAAAGCTAGTATTGTGATCGTCTTTTTTATAAAGAAGTTTGAGATCTATCCGATCACTAGGTTACAGTTTTTGACGGAATGCTAGTAACAAATACCTTGACAAACTTTCAAATATCGGAATTTCACCTATTTATACCCATTTAGGCTTTTCCAGGAAAGTTGGCAACTATAAGAGGGTCACAAAAAATTAAAACGGTTAAAGAAGGTGAGGTACTAAGTGATGCATGGAGCAGACGTTTTAGGAAGTATCGTTTCACAGAAATATGCACTCAAAACAAAGTAGTCGGTTTCTGAATTCTTCAACGAAAAACCGATAATCGGGATGTTAAGGAGTATGTTGATGGTAGCTTTTGCTATACATGCATAAAATCTTGTCAAGAAGTTAGTGGAGATTTCCGCTATTTTGTTTTTGATTTGGATAATTACTGCTGGGAAGAAATCCATATTCTTACGGAGTTATTTTATTTGTGAATACTGTTTTGTAATATATTTAACGAAGAAGAAAAGATTGCCCAGATTACACTGGAGACTAACTTTTTTCTAGAAGAAAATAAACTTTTAGCTCCGATGAATTAGTTAGTGTTATTTTTTTCTATATATGTATATATCTAAGAAATCCTTTCTCTTTCGATGGAATAAATAAACTCATATTTGAGTACATAAGATTTCAGATTGATTTCATAGTACTAACAAAATATTTCTACATACTTCTAATAGATTATACGCCATCGCATTTCACACTCTTAAGTTGCTCACACTGTGAATGATTTCTCAAGGAGGGATTGTATTAGCAACCTGTCTACATTATCTACCTCAATCTGGAGTAGCTAGTTGTCTACTGAAAATTGTAGCACGGTCTTTCGGATAGCGCGTTCACTTATAAATATCCCTGTTGAATGCAATAACCTCACATACTTTATTCATTTCTATGTGTACTAACATTTTACTTCAGATACCTGTAACAGTTGTAGGAATTCAAACTCCCCTTATTAATTGTTTCTTTGGTGGTAGCTTTTGATTTCTTGTCTGTTAAAGACCGATCTATTTTATCAAACACTTAGTCTTCATTCAATGATTGTATAAAAATATTATTCTTCATAACCTCATTTTTCTAAACAGTCTGCCTTGTGAAGTGACCTGGCTTGCAGACGTAGAACCCTGCACAAAAGTCCATCATTTCCGGCTGTCGCATTCCATAAAAGCACAAAGTAGTAGAGAAAAGCTATTCATAACAAAGTAAACACACATTACATATACAATGAGGCATATCTACATTTATTAATCCTCACTGTCGGTACTGTTTATCCCAACTTCCAGTTTTTCTCAATACTTCTTCTTTTATCAGGGTTCCAATGATGATAAACAATTATCGGAGGGCGAATTCACTGAGACCAGTGGTACCATTTTAGATGAAAGTACAAGTCCACTTGATAAACTGGTTAAGGGTCACGATATAAGTCATGGTTTTACTTCATTTGAATTCAATAGACTTCAGAGTCGAATTTATACTGAACAATGGGATATACCATGTTTGAGATCACAATCGCTCGGTCTCTGTTTGTTGGGTACCATCCATGAAATAAGGCTTAATGGTCTGAAAACATTTGATTTGTATCCTGAGGCTCAAAGGTTCTTGACAGGTTGTCTGAAGGAATGTGTTACTAAAGTAAGTCATCTTTTGTGTTTGTGTGTTTTATTGACTGAATACTATTATAATGCAGTAGCGTGCTCCTACTTTATGTAAACTATATATGCGCTGTGAAAACTTCAATGTGAAATTATTACTATTGATTTTGAAGTCATTAATGATATCATTCCTGAATACTCTAAGAACTATACTGAAAGTTTTACTCGTAACTACAAATGGACCACTAATGTTCACACCACTACTTAGAAGTTCTTTGAAGCACTTTTTCTGTAAACCGGCAAAATGAAAGTCCATATTAATTCATCTAAAAATAATCCATTTTCGCTGTATGCTTCTAATCAAAATATAGGTTATCTAATCGTATTATTCTCTAAAGGATAAAATCAATGCAACTTGTCTATTTTTAGATATCAAGATAGATGCCATGACGAACGCACATGGATGACAGTCTACTCATTTTTGAGGTTTGTACCTTTGAAATGTAAGCGGAATTTAGTCGAATTTGGTGCATACAGCTAGGGTAATCTGCTTGAACGAATGTCTTAACGAGCAGTTTGGGATTGTGAAAAAATTACGTGGAAGAATTCCTAAATAGTAATGATTATAATAATATGATATTCCTATCAAGGTGAGTTAGTATGGCATCAGTTTCAAAGAAGTATTCGTTCTTAAGACTGAAGTTTCTTGACGACAACATTAGTAAAACAGCAACGTAACGACTAAAGATTGCTGTAAAAAGAGCGGCAGAGGTACACTGTCTGTTCACAATTTTACGCTCGAGAAATAAGGATAAACTACCTCCTCCAGAGTACTATTAGGCATATTCATCGTCCGATATCCGAACATCATATTTTATAGTTAAGCACGGGACAAGCAAGATCTATTCGCACCTACCTTATAGCACATCTTTCAGACAGCTGAATTAATCCTTCATACTCCGACTAATCTTAATTTCGCCTTTTGATTCCTTCTTTTGCATATAACCGAAGCCATTAGAATTCATCTGAATAAGCCATATATCTGTGTTCATAGGAAACTTTTGCAGCCACCTTCTTTACCTTGGGCATCATTACATGATTACAGAAACAAAATGATAGTTTCCCCCCTCACTTTAAGCCAGTGACAGGGTATATTATTATTATTGTTCTAAACTGTCTTATTCTCTTTTCTTCGTTTTTAGTCGTTTATTTTGCAATGAACTTGAGTACTGGTTTACTTTTCACTTATTCTTCCTTTTTTTGGATTGCTGAAAATATTTCTACGTTTCAATTGCTGAGTCAGTTCTCTTCACTAACTGTCGCCACTTTGATTTACGAATATTCATTGATTATCGTTAACAAACTTAAAACTACGAGATTTGAAAATACCTAAATTGTATTAAAATTGATGTACTCATTAGAGTAGAGACATAGACGGGGAACTAATTTAAAAGTTAATATTCCTTCACCCGATCCTCTTGCATTCCTAGTGTCACGATGCATGTACCATCTAAATTTTATTAAGAATATCCCCAGTAAAATCCAAATCATATGCCATAGATGGGGGGGGGTTGTCTGTAGTGAATAAATGTTGCTAATATAGGACGCATGAAATCTAAATATCAGCTGAAGTTAGCTTCATATCACGAGTTGTTTTTAAGTGTGTAGAGGACTGTCTAGCAAGCCCAATAACATTACAAGTGTGTGAATGAAAATCCAAGTTGATGCAATGATAGTGTAACAGCATATTATAGAAAATAATGTAATGAGTTATATCAATTGAACGGTTACTTGGATATACAAATAAAGTTCACGGCTGCAAATCATTAATATAATCCACAGAAGCTGCATACCGATTGTAGAATAGTCTTCGGATGAGGATAATAGGTTCGTGCAATAAATCCAAAGTATGCAACACGGTATGAGTGGAGCAAGTAGACAGTAATGACCAGTGAGAAGGCAAAGCTACCAACAGTATACTGTATTTCAGATTGTACTCAGATGTTATCTATATTCTAACATGAATCGTTTTAAACAAAAGTCGTGTACAGTGTTTCTAATTTCAGCATCTAACAAAAAAGTGTACAATCATATTGTTACGTACTCCACACGGCTCCCCCTTTAGAGGTCAGGAGAGACTACTGGAGACTGTCTCTGTCAGTGAAGTAAATAATAATAGTAATAACCATTTTGTGGTAATAATAATAATAAGGATGCATAACAGCATGCATGTACGTGAAAAGGTATTTGGATCGTTTAAAGTTTGAACGCATTTATAAATAGTACAACAACAACAAAAGTGAAATAGAATTTCATGTCAATTAAATGAGGTTGGTTGCTCTTTGCAGAAGCTATGAACAAAGAAGGTTAATAATGTATAAACATAGATTTCTATGTATACAGTTATTAGTAAGGGTGATAAAATGGATTAAAAATTAGGTCATCTCTGAAAAACACAGATACCTGTCTTGTAGCTGAGGTACATATAAATAAATAATAGTGATAATAATCATTTATATTAACAATGACATCAAAGTATACGAAAAACAGTAATTGTCGTGATAATAATGTCTAAACGAAGGAAATATAATTAATTTTCTATCATTCCACGAAATGAACGTAGCGGGCAGGTTTACTGATTTACCGGCCACGACGTGTTAGATATGGAGGATGGATAAGAATTGCTGCCGTTGAAGTTGGATCAACTGTCTGATTATTTGTTTGTGCAGATGTCGGTGTAGCTTCGCAGTCGCTGTTTGTTTAGGCTGGTTTAATTCGATCAATGGAAATATTCTCCCGTATTCCATTTTTGTTCAGTGTAAAGTGTTTTTCTGAACGTTTAATGACTTGCAATGGACCTTCGTATGGAGGTTGCAATCCTTTTCTGACGGCGTCGACTCGAATAAAGACAAATTTGCAAGTTTCCAGGCGTTTGTTGACCTGATCTCGTCGGATAGATTGCCGAGGTGCTGTTGGTTGAAGTTGGAGGATTTGTCAAGTTAGTCGGTTGGTCACATTTGTCGAAACAGCTGACGGAAGTAGCTTTTCAGGCAAAGTTAGGTTAGTACTACAAGTGTTGGTTTGTAGGTATTTGATTGGTTTCACGTTTAATCACAGTAAGAGAGCCATTGAAATCCAGGACACACTTGACAGATGTTTCGTCCAAGTTTTGGACTCTTCAGGAGCACACACCCGTGACGCCACTTAGAACCCAATTCCGGAACCCCAGTTTCCCTGATCGCAACTTACTCGCTACCTTATTCATATTATTGGGTAACTCTAATAAACTTCTTCAACTCCGTTTATACATTGACTAATATTAACAACTATTTTTGTTTGATTGCATGGAGGATTTAATCATGAGCAATCAAACAAAATCCCTACAAAACCAATACTTGAAAACTATTTTTGTGACAACTCATCACTTTCGTTGAGATAGAATCCCTTAGTTGTTAAAGGCGAGTGAATGTTTTATAACAACAGCAAATACATTGTCTTTCAATAGTTTGTTAGTAAGGATTAGATTTGTTTTTACGTGTTGATCACGGGTTAATTTCAGTTAGAGAACGCGTAAAAACAAATCTAATCCTTACTAACAAACTATTGAAAATTAATCTGATGCTCACTAGTGACTTGCTACAGGACGGAGTTTCCTGGAGTTCTAGTGAGAAGTCGTGACCAAGTCGTGAGGTTCATCCAGTGAAGTGTGTGAGGATGGATGTCCCGCCGATGACATTGGTCGGTGCCAGTCGCGTTAAATCACGAATTGGTAGAAGCTGGAATTCATGGACTAGCCATTAAATCGGGTCCCAGTGGCTGAATGGTATACAAGCCAGCTTGCCTTGTAACAGGAAGGTCTTGGGTTTAAATCGTGGTGATGGGTGCGTACTGTCGATAATTCCCAAACTAGGATGAAACAGCTGTTCAGTACTCTCAAGTTGGTTTTCAGTGGATTTCTAACTGATATCAATCCGTGATCAACCTCTCCAGATACTAGCTTGCTAGGCTACTAGCTTACTAGTTTTCTCGCCGGTCCCAAGCCCGGGTAAAGAGGGAGGGTTGGGGCGTGGTGCTAGCAACTCCACCCCTGTAAAACAACCAAATCGCTACAGAAACTTCAACGAATAAATATATTAAAAATTCTAAAAACATAAGCAATAGCCTTACTTTTCGCTGGAATCGGGGAAGTGAAATGACGCAGGCTGGTGAAAGCCTTCGGGAAGCCAGTCAGCCGATGTGCCTTCTTTCGATGAAAGCAAAAGTAAGGATGGGTACCTGGAATGTTCGTACAATGTACGAAACTGGAAAGGCTGCCCAGATAGCCGCTGAAATGAGAAGGTACAGAATAGAAGTGTTGGGAATCTGCGAAAGCAGATGGAACGGAACTGGAAGGTGCCAACTACCTACTGGAGAGACAGTAATCTATTCCGGCCACCTAGAGGACAACCATGAGCACACCGAGGGAGTGGCCATCATGATGTCACCAACAGCAACCAAAGCTCTCATGCAGTGGGAACCAATCTCCTCCAGGATAATGACAGCCAGGTTCAACTCAAAAGGAAGGAAAGTTACAGTCATTCAATGCTATGCGCCTACAAACGTCTCAGAACAAGAGAAGAAGGAGGCGTTCTACAGACAACTACAAGCAATAATGGACAACGTCCCAAATGGCGATATCAAAATCCTGATGGGCGACATGAATGCGAAGCTGGGAGGAGACAACACAGGAAGAGAACTCACCATGGGTCGTGAGGCCCTCGGTGAAATGAACGACAATGGTGAACTCTTCTCAGACTTCTGCGCCTTCAATGATTTGGTGATTGGCGGTAGTGTGTTCAAACACAAGGATATACACAAGACGACATGGATTTCACCAGATGGAAACACCAAGAACCAAATAGACTTCATCTCAATTTCAAGAAAGTGGAGACGGAGCCTACTGGACACAAGGTCAAGGAGAGGAGCAGATGTGGGTTCAGACCACTATCTAGTAGAAGGGACTTTCAAGGTGAAACTAAAAGCCTCGAGGATAGCTGGGGATAGGCCACAATGCAAGTTCAACACTCAATTACTGAAGGACACAACCACAAAAGACACCTTCACTGCAACTGTCAGAGCAAAGCAGGAAACACTACGCGACATCACTGAAGAATCATGCGTGGAAGAACATTGGAAGTCTCTGAAGGCGATTCTCAACGAAACGTGTTCAACGGTTCTAGGAAGAAAGAAGAGACAAGACAAGGAATGGCTCTCAACGGACACTTGGAAATTAATAGAAGAGAGGAGAATGGTGAAAGAGAAAATGATTCAATGCAAGGACGGACAGGAGAAGGAGACGATGAGCTCAACTTACAAAGCACTGGACAAAGAAGTGAAGAAAAGTGCTAGGAAGGACAAAAGACGATTCTACGACAATCTAGCTACTGAAGCTGAAAAGGCAGCAGGCAAAAGGGACCTGAGGACACTATATCAGATAACCAAATCTCTATCCGGGAAGAGACCAACACAAGCGAAACCTATAAAAGACAGCCAAGGGAAGCCCATTACCAAGGAAGAAAAACAGATTAAACAATGGGCGGATCACTTCAAAGGACTCTTGAACCGACCATCACCTGCAACCCGTCCAGAAATACCAACAACAGCGCGCACACAACTGCAAGTTGACACCAATCCTCCAACGAGAGCTGAAGTCTTGAACGCAATCAAACTTCTGAAAGCTGGAAAAACAGCCGGACCAGATGGAATACCCCCTGAAGCACTGAAAGCAGACCCAGAGACGACAGCAGACATGCTGACTCCATTATTGCAAAAGGTCTGGAAGGAGGGAAAGGTGCCTACTGACTGGAGGAAAGGTTACCTCGTGAAACTACCAAAGAAGGGCGACTTAGGCCCACTCTGCAAGAACTGGCGAGGAATCATGCTCCTATCGACGCCAAGTAAAATCCTGAGTCGCATCATCCTGGAGAGATTAAAGGACGCACTGGAGACAGAACTCCGACCAGAACAAGCTGGATTCAGGAAAGGCAAATCATGTACTGACCAAATTGCAACTCTACGCATCATCATCACAGAACAAAGCATGGAATGGCAATCAAACCTCTACCTCAACTTTATAGACTTTGAGAAGGCCTTCGACAGCGTTGATCGTGAAGTAATTTGGAAATTACTCGAGTACTATGGCGTACCCCAAATATTCATCAACCTTATTCAACAGCTGTACGACAACGGCACATGTCAAGTGATCCACAACGGAAGACTCAGCGAGGCGTTTGGAGTAAACACAGGAGTCAGACAAGGGTGCTTACTATCACCAATGATATTCCTAATTGTGGTGGACTGACTGGATTATGCGTCAGACAGTGGGAAACGAGAAGACAGGAATATCCTGGACCGACGTGAAGAACCTAGAAGACCTGGATTTCGCGTGATGACTTATGTTTGATGTCACACACAATCGAAGACTTACAAGCGAAAACCGACAAACTGGTCGAAGAAGCAGCCGGGAAGACAGGACTCCAGGTAAACATAGACAAGACGGAGGTTATGAAAATAACCAACCAACAACAGCAACAACATCCAACGTCAATCACCATCAACGGGAGGGATTTGAAAGAGGTTACTTCATTCACTTATCTAGGGAGCATTGTCTCAACTACAGCCGGAACGGACGAGGATGTCAAATCGAGAATCGGGAAGGCGAGAAACACATTCATCAGCCTGAAATCAATCTGGAAATCTTCGTCACTCAGCATCACCAACAAAATTCGGATTTTCAATACAAACGTCAAGTCAGTCAGTTCTTCTATACGGATCAGAAACTTGGCGGGTCACAAAGAATATTTCCAAAAGGCTGCAGACCTTTATTAACAACTGTCTTCGCTCAATACTGAAGATCAGATGGCCGGAAAGAATCACCAACAAGGAATTATGGGAACAAACAAAGCAAGAACCAATCGCCCAACAAATATGCAGGAGAAAGTGGAGATGGATCGGACACTCGCTGAGGAGACCGCTGGGTGACATCGCGCGCCAAGCCCTCGAGTGGAACCCGAAAGGGAAGCGGCGTGTGGGACGTCCAAGGGTGACATGGAGGAGATCGTGTGAAGAGGAGTTGAAAGAATATGGATTAACATGGATGCAGGCGAAAAGTACAGCAGAAGACAGAAGAAAATGGAGACGTGCAGTTGAAGCCCTATGTTCCACTAGGAACCCAAGGGAGCAGTAGTAGTAGTAGTAGTAGTATCAATCCGTGATCAACCCGTAAAATACATTATCATTGTGAGTTAAGAGGGTTGAATTACTGCAAATGAAACTTAGAACTTTTTCATTAGATTCAACTAGAGGCTGATTTCAAGTAAGATGAAATAACCTCTCAGTATTCTGTAGACTAAAATGCGTCTTTGGCTTAGATGTAAAATGCTTGCCAACCCACGCAAGTGGTTCTGGGTTTAATCGCCTGCCCACATACTTGTAAACATTGCTTAGCCGGTAAGCAGTAAGCCCAGGAAAAAGACTGAAGGTTAGGCATGAGGCCACTAAAATTTCAAAGCTTGAGGCTTGAATCCATATGTGTTTCATTCCGAACGCAGAAAAAAATGAAGCAAAGCCTCTCTTAGATCAATTTCTTATTTAAACTATACCTACCGGGGATATTCAGTATATGCAGGCCATTATCCTTCAAAATATTTTCAACCGTCACTATTATTTTTAGTAATAAACCGATTTTCTTCTCGTATCCTAAAGCTAATGACATCTCAGGCTGTATTCAACTGGGACCGTGATACTCTCGAAGGTGTACATAATATGCTAGAATTAATAATTCGTTTAATTTGTGAATATATGGCTGTACTGAAAGTAACTATTCTTGAAGAGATGAAAGAAGGCACCGACGATGATACTGTACAAACGTCGTCTGTGAAAAATAAACGTATCCAATCACTTGAAGGATTAAAATGCAGAACATTTTTATTCACTGAAACATTTCAACTACTTTCTATGATTTTCGATTGTGAAACGAATTATCATCAATTGTGCCGAGATAGAAATAGCAATACTGGAACGTATGCGTAAGTTGTCATTCAAACGTTTATTTCTGTACTCATTATTATTACTATTATTATTTTGATATTATGTTCTGTTGAGCACAGGTTAAGCAAATGGTTATAATATCAGGCCGACATACGCTTTAAAGATGAGAAATGAAATGGTTTAATCGTCTGATGATTTATTTGAGAAAATGTTTCAGCCCAAGTGAATTGGTTCTGATCAGGATCTTACGATGGATACAGAACTCCAACTTAGTTATTTTTTTTTTGAAACTTGCATCATCTCTGTAGCAGCCATGATATCTGAGCAACTATCAGATAATATGTATACCACACAGCTGTTCGTGCTGTCCTAATGTGTCTTGACTTCTCGATTCTGCTTTTTACATCTTCATCTGGTCTTCGTCTAATGGTTTTAAACTAAATCCTTCCAAATGTCAGACTGTTAACTTCAGTTTTCGGTGCAAAAGAAAGTTAAATGAAGCCATTGGTTCCTATAACCGTCGCAAAATTGATGACACTGATATAGAAAACAAGTCTGAAGTTAAGTATCTTGGATTAATTCTTTCTTCTGACCTATCCTGGTCTTCTCATGTCTTAGCGATTTCCTAGTCTGACTGTTTACATTGAGAAGTTAACGCACTCAAGCATAACTCAACCACTCCTCCTCTTCCACTTTGTCAACTCGTGCATCTTACCTATTCTTCTTTACTGTTCACCCTTGCTTGTTCTTTCTTGGATTGCTTAAAAGAGACTATGTCATACTTCGTAGAACTCTGAAGACTGTCAGTCAGTAGGGCGAGTGATGGTATCCCATTGGGCTACATCGTTGACATTGTCATTGATAGGCACTTGATGTCATGTGACAAATTTGTTAAAGGAATTTTGTCAGACTGTGAGCATCCACTGCAGCACCCACAGCTCCAGCCTTGTGTCTCCTCAGGTAAAACAAGAAGTGTTTTCAGCAGACCTTATGCATGTACGTCTAAGTATAAAAATTCCACTATACCATATTTAAGCACGTACTCTGTGTATTGGAAATAGTGTTAGGCATGGACTAACTAACCTTCTTTGCACTAGTAAATAAACCCTTTTCTCTACCTTTTATAACATCAAGCTTTATTGTTATTGTGCTTCTTATATTTATAATCCTCTCAATTTTTTTGTTTCTATTCATTTATTTTTCATAAGTGTGAACATCAATTAAGTTGTGTAATGGCTGTTGTTTCCTGTATTTCCCCTCTCCATACTATATCAACAGAACATTAGATTCAATACTCTATAGTAACATGCTAAAATTTTCAAACTGTATCGACAATACTGTTTGAAACAAACTCACTGTTATCATTATTATTATTATTGTTATAATATTTAATGATCTCAATTCGTGCTTCGAATATTTTTGACTTTATACCGTAAACGTGGACAAATTCCTCTGGTTCATTTTGTTTTAATTTTATTTATATTTTAAGGCAATAGCCATTTTCAGATTTCTCCCGTTGATAGTGCTTGTTGTTGTTGTTCTTGGATGGTTGGATATCTCCATCATTCCTATCTCCTCTATGTTTCGTTTGAGTCCTATCTTTGCTGCTTCTTTTGCCAGTTTGTCGGCTTTCTCCTGCAATTCTTTCGAGTTTGTTTACATGAGACATGCATGAGTCGTTGACGAATATTCGACATCAATCTTAAGTCAGTCAATTCTTTCATATGGGTCAGAAACTTGGCGTGTGTGTCACGGAAAGCCTTTAGAACAGTTTATTTCAGACTTTTATCAACAGCTGCCCCGCTTCTCTGGCTCCATACTGAAGATTGAATGGCTGGTCTGAAAGAATTAGGAACAAGAAAGTCTGGTAGGGCAAGTACCGGTCAAGAGCCTATTGTTCAACAAATATCCCGAAGGAAATGGAGATGGGTTAGATAAACTCTGAGTAGACCGGTGGGTATGCGTCGGTGGTATAGCGGTTAGGACGCTAGCCGACCATGCATATGGTCTGGGGTTCGATTCCCGGCCGGCGCACTCCTTTACCTCCCTATGCCAGAAATAATTCTGGTAAAGAGGAAAGGTTAGGCATGAGGCTACCAACCCCATCCTGTAAAATAAACACTGCCACAGAAACTTCAGGTCACTAGCTTGAAGCCCTATTTTCCACTGGGGACGTGAGGGAAAAAAATTACTATTTTAGACCAGTGGGTGACGTCACACTCCAGGCCATCGCTCAAGTGGTACCCGAATGGGAAACGAGAAGTTGAGTATCTGTCCTAGGGTGACATAGAGGCGGTCATGTGAGAAGTATACGAGAGCCTATTGGTAATCGTGAGGTTACCCAGCTAGCATTTTCTTCGGGCGCATTGCAGAATTTTTGGGGCAAAAAACTTCGGGTAAATCTACTTACGTGGGACACTGTCCCGAAGTCTGCCCCAAAAATTCTGCAATGCGCCCTAAGTCTGCCCCAAAAATTCTGCAATGCGCCCTAAGTCTGCCCCAAAAATTCTGCAATGCGCCCTAAGTCTGCCCCAAAAATTCTGCAATGCGCCCTAAGTCTGCCCCAAAAATTCTGCAATGCGCCCTAAGTCTGCCCCAATGGCTATAGCCATAGAGGACTATAGAGAACAGGACAATGTGGAGATGTGATACTGAAGCCCTGTGTCCCACTGTGAGCCCAAGGGAATAGTAATAAAAGAAATAATAAAGATGGGAGGTTTTCCATCATGTATGCTTTAATCCAGTTGCTTGCGTAAGGTGGAATCACAAGGTAGGTGGTGATGTCGAGATGAGATGAAGCGTTTAATACAATAATAGTAAGCTTCATTACTTGTGGTGTACGAGAAATATATTAAGTGTACAAAGCTACTTCTCTCATCATAAAGTGATATTAAATGAATAGTTAGGAATGGACGAACCGAGAGGTGTCACCAGCTCATGAAATCACCGACTGTTGTCCTGATGTAGGTCGCCTAGCTAGTGTGTTTGGGCTAGGGCGAAGCTAAGAACTAGAGGTTAGAGACCTTCAGTGAAACGTTTCCAAATTTTTCCTGTGTTTCATGAAATTATATTGTTTGTTCTGCACGTCTGTGTCAGTTTCAAACAGTATCTTAGCCAAGTTCTACTCTGTTGATTTTTTTGGTCTGGCATCTCCAATTGTAGGTGACACAACTGCAGTCAGAATTCCTTCTAGCTCACAATGGGTAGAACGCAACCTCAGAGTAAACAAATAAGAAGCACATACGAACGATGAAATAATCTCCTACACTGCCTTTTTAGGGTGAATTTATCTGTTGGCTATTCATAAATAGATGACAGCCTGGATATGTGTTTGCCATGTGAGAGCTGAAAGCGAAACATGCCAAAAATCAATGAGGAATTAGCCTAGAATGTCGTTTTTAACTCAGTGTTGATCTGTACTATCTAATGGTCTGGAAATTTAACTGGCCAACCTTCAGTTTAATCTTTAGACAGTGTAATTTTGTTCGTCAAACACTACTTACTGATTCGTACAAGCAGTTTAAGGCTACTTACTGAGTTAAGTCGAGTAAACTGCTCATAGTTTATTATTGTTATTATTATTCCATTGGGTTCTGAGTGGCACAACCGGGCCTCAGCAGTACATCTCCATTTCATCCTTGTTCTCTAGAGTTCTTTTTAGTTGGCTGCATCGTTGGCTATAGATTTCCACTTCCTCCTGACGCGATCTCCGCCTTATCACCCTCGAACACACAACCAACCATTCGTTTCCTACTTGGTCTGACTCTCAATGTCACTCAGTGGTCTCCTGTGGTTTATTAGTCGGGCGATAGGCCCTTGGTTGGTTTGCTTCTGGAGTTTCTTGTTGCTTAACCCTTCTGATTTTTAAAGATAGTTACTGGCTTATGACTTCAGATGACAGACAAGCTCGTGTTACTAATTGGCAGGAGGTGAAAGGTGTACGTCGGTGGCACAGTGTTTAGGACTCTCGCCGACCATGCACATGATCCGAGGTTCGATCCCCTGCCCCGACGCACACCTGATATATATGGTCGGCCTGCAAAATTTGGGCTACCGATATCCATGCTGAAAATCCCATACTTGTACCAAAAATACAGTGTGGAATCAAGCTGTAAATAAAAAAAAAAACAAGCGTCACTTGATTCTGACTCTATGTTACCATAGTTTCGTGATTACTTATCTCCACAAAATTCTTGGAAGTGTATTATTGGAAGAATTACAGTATTTTCAACATCACAGTTGCTAACATATCCTACGTTATCTCATTTGTTTGTAAATTTAGGAATTGGTCAGCAGCTGGCTAAACTTCATCCTAAAATTGAAAACCTTAATTAACAGGATCAGTCATTGTTTAATAGGTAAACAGTGTGTGAAATCGAATTCCCTTGACCGTCACACTAATGATTTCTTCTGCGGTATAACGATTACGTTTTATTTACTTCTTAAAACTCCTTAGGATATCATTGTTTCTTCTTCATTTCTTTATGCATTCATACATCGTCTATTGTTACTTTATTTTATTCCTTTGCATTTCGAGTACAACATCGGGCTTTAAGCTTTGGGTTTGAAGTTTCAGTATCATCGGTGTTATTTTGTTTGTTTTTTACGCGATAAGGTTGCTAGCCTCACGCCCAACCTCAGCCAGGTGAGGTTTGGACACATGTCTTCTGGGTATCAAACTTTCGGTCACTTTCGTGGTTGGCGAGTATTCTGTCGATGAACAACCATCAGCTCACTTCTAACCAGTGGCTACTGGACAGCTGTTTCATCCCAGTTTGGGATTTTCCATCAACTCGTACTCACACGGGTTTGAACCCGGGACCTTTAAGCTTCCAGACAAGCTCGCTGACCATTAAGCTATTGCGACCCAACCTGACCTTGTTAAACATAGTCAATTATCCGAGTTAGTTAACGAGTTTTAGTCATTATCCAAAATAAATTCTCTGTAGAATGTCATTTATCACTGGATTTTGTTTCCAGAGATCCATTCAATGACTGGAGTCAAATTTCACGCCAGCATATGGGAGATATTGTCTTCGCTGAAACATTGCCAACACCACGAAACTTTTATCTTGTCAGTCTGCTCAACTGCTTTGGAGTTTATAATGGTTTCAGTTTACTCAGTTGGTTTGCAACTCAACCTTGGTCTAACATAAATGTGAGTTTTTGTCTCTTCATAGATTTATTCATTATATTTTTAGTGTGTGAATAATAATTTATTCACAAACTCTATCTATATATGTTTTCTTCGTAAGCCTAGATTATGTCCTGGGCTAATTTAAATGACACCTGAGGAGAAGTTTCCAACCAGGTTGTCTAATGGTAACTTACTAGTCAACTGTCATTTTCACATAAGTTGATTCTAGAGAGTGTTAACGGCACAGAATGATAGGTGTCAGCTTTGAACGACAATAGAATAGTCATTGCTTCAGGATTTCCAATGATTTCTGCACCAATCCTTGTTCAGACTAGTTTTCGTCAGTTGGAAAACCACTGAAGTTCTTAAAGGTTTGTAGACACAGTTTTTTTCAAACTTAAGACTTCACAGGAGTGTTCATTTATGGTATTATTATACTACAAACCTAAGTTCAGTAGGTGCTTAGTGAGAATCTGTAGTTGATGAAGTTTCTTGTGAAGACGGTTATTAACCTATGGCTTTGGATAGTTGATGGATTATAGTGCTAACTGGCAGAAAATGAAAAACAAGGGTCATTTTATTCTGACTCTGTAGGTATGTGCTCACTTAACTCTACTAATTTTCTGGTAAACAGTTAGTGAGAATTACAATCTTTTCAACATTACATTCACAGACCGACATCCACAACCTTGATGTACCAGTCAGACTTGTATATATCAATGATTTAACGAGCTTTACTGACTGAAAGAAATGTTTCTGAAGACCTCACCATGAAAAAAGAGCCAAACAGACAGCTGTTAGACTATAACCATTCACAGTCATTAGAGCTGCTTACACCATATGGTAGGAGTCTGAGAGTAAGGACCTGTCAATGAAAGTCTTAACAGCTGCAAGAGACTTGTGTCCAATGACCAGAAAGCCAGCTTTTTCGACTTTCCTTCTTAAGGTGAGGAGGTGTAAAGTGTTTGTTATAGAAGTGGTAAGTTCAAACTTACCCCTTAATGGTTTTACGTGCAAACGAAACTCTACACAGTCATCTTAAAACAGACAATGTGTGGCCGTCCTGAAGCAGTGGAAACCTGAGCTCTGAGGTTACGCTAAACTATTAAGTCAATTGCTCGAAAAAGAAATAAAGTTTATCCATGGGGATAGCATGACTGTACCAATCGTCTGCAGATTTCATTCTGTGAATGCACAAAGTTTTCATCCCTCAATTATCCTGTTTATCCTTCTTTCCTCAAACTTTACATCCACTTCTAATACTATTCCCCATACAGTTTCTTAATATGCTCTTAACTCTGTGAACACTGTCAGCAGATTAATATCTCAGAAACAGTATTCCTCGTCTCTTAAGACTTCATATTACAGCTATCAGTGTCGAAACCCTGCGTTGAATCACACAACAGGTATCACTTTAAATAACTGTGGCATCACCATGGATACGTGCAAACCCCAAGTGTAGTTATTTACTTAGTATCACCTAGTCGGAATAGTGGGTCTTTAGTATCCACTCTACAGATGTTAAGAAATTCTTCAGATAGGTGCCTACCATTCAACTCAACCTCAATCGTATGCATACACTAATCGTACAAATATAGTCTAGGCTATGAAAGCTGCCTTTTAGCTTAAAACAAGGCGAGACGGCAGGAAATGGTGATTTAACTCCATAGTTGTTTGAAGATGATGATATTGATGGTGATTAGCTGCTGACTAGCAGGAACTAAGTTTAGAAGCATCCAGACTATAGATATTATGAATTCCCCGGAATAATTTGAGCGACGAGTCAGATTGAATTATTATCGAATTAGAAAACCATTGGAAAACCTGGGAGTACTGGACAGTTGTTTCGTCCTAGTTTGGGACTCTTCACCAGTACGCACCCACCGGGATTATCGAATTAAATAAAATAAAAGATTTTGAGTTTTTCTTAAACACTCTGGGATTATTTCAAGTAATTTATAGTAGGACTTAGTCTGTGAAAATCCAAGAGAGTTTGTCACATTGTTATAAGTCTCTGATCTGATAACCTCAAAGTTAGTTAACATCATAGAATCCACTGGAGCTCAGGATAAGCTGACTCTAAGATTCAATAGATTTCACTCTCTAACAATGGTGAAAACCCTTATCATTCGACAACAATGTTTACCAATGCATGAGATTTTCTGTATTTTTTTCAATTGAAGATGATATTTAATCCTTTAGATTGAGGAGTATTCAAACCAATCTAGTGACATGTATGGACTAAAGAAATATCATATTATGCTAATCAGTGAACTAGGCAGATCAAAATGTGCTGCCAGTCCATGTAATCATGGACTGTTAGTTTGAGCTACATATGAAGATCTGTAAGCTGTTTGGTTGACATCCTCAAGATGCTAAGATCCAATGGCTGCAGACTGTGTCTGACGTGTTTCAAAGTCTTTCACAAGTGAACAAATGCATTCACATATTTCGGATCATGAACAGCTTCATAGATTGGTTACAGGGTTTCATTATGAGCTGACATCAGTTACAGAAACATTGGAAAACCAGCCAGGGAGTACTGGACAGCTGTTTCGCCCCACCTAGTTTGGGACTCTTCATCAGTACGCACCCACCGGGGTTATTCATTGCATTATATTCCCTTACTCCCACCCGGCAGAATCCATATTTATCTGTTGTAGTGTAAGTTCTGTTTCTGTCTCCTTATTTTGTATGCTTTTTCGAGGCGTACCAGCTCGAAGTGATACACACCTGTGATTTTTCAATCAGTCACAGTACAGTCAAGAGGTTTCAAAACTAATCTAACGTCTCGTTAGCTTCGTTAGCATTTCACGCATTCCAATATAAGTAATCATAAATTAATTCTGTTTAATGAAGATTCAATCAATTGTAAATAAATTTTTATTAAATAAATAAGTAAACTGGATGAATTGCTTCTGAAATTAGCAAAAGTAAATAATTCTACCTTTCAAAATATTAGTACACAAAATGTCCAAATATTGGTTGTTTTTTTTAAAAAAGATTCTAATTTGAATGATAGTAGCAAGCCTAGACATACAGTAAAAAATGTTTCTGCCTAATTATAAAATTCATTTGCTCAATATTCCCACTGCTCATCAATGATACTATTCTCACTAAGATTGTACAGCTCAGCATTGATCTTTTTTTCATACGCTAAAATGTTATTCACAATTGAAACTTGTGAAGTGTCAATAAATGATGAACTGGGTTTCAATTGTTTTGAACGTGTAAATTCGATGAGGCGAAGTGTAGAAGTTTATTATACTGATTTTGCAGTATTCACGAATCACTGACTTTTCCGTGAACATTTTAGCTGTTTCAACTCATCTACTTATAATAATAATAATTTTTCCTTAACATTCCCAGTGGAACATAGAGCCTCAAGCTAGTGGCTTCAAGTTTCTGTAGCAGTGTTTTATTTTTACAGGATGGGATTGCTAGCCTCATTCCCAACCTTTCCTCTTTACCAGCTTTTATTTCTGGCTTAACGAGGTAAAGGAGTGCGTCCTGTGGCTGGGGATCGAACCCCAGACCATATGCATGGTCGGCGAGCGTCCTAACCACTATGCCACTGACGCACCATCTACTTATGAGGATATCTATTTGAAAATGGTTACAAACATTGTGATCCACTTGTGTGTTACACTTACACATTCAGTTGGAAGCCATGGACCGATATTCCATGCTTGGTAGCAATTATCAGCAAAGAGTACGCACAATCTTTAAAAGTGTGTCCGTGTGACTTGCATCTATCTTTGTCAGTGCAGAGGTCAGGGACTCTAAAATAATGGAGGCAATTTTATGACACAGAATTAGATTGGAAATTGCTTTTGATATTCTGTAAACTTTGGTTGGAATTTTGATGCTGAGTATGTCATGAAGGCTAGTGAGGAAACATCCAGGAGTAAACATTAAAGTTCGAAGGACACTAAACACCTTAGGTCTTAGCACTGAGTTATTCAACATATCTGTTTACTGCGTGAATCCAGTGTCAAGTCATGATATGCAACTGTATAATGTCACATAGCTTAGAGACAATGATGCACATTCGGTAAACAGATTTTGTGCAATATCCTAGGGTTTTGATGTAGTTATGTTCTCTGAGCTGTATGGTTTGACTGGAAAGCTCTCACTGTCGTACTAGATAACATCCTCGGCGCATACTTCAATTTGAAATGAAATTTTAAAATTCTCCACGAGTCTGTTGGTCAGCTCTCCTGGTGCATTTTCTCACCAGCCTCTAGTCTATGTGTATTGGTAATGATTGTTTCCTGGACCTGGGAGTAGACCTTTTGTTCATATGATTTCAATCTTATGGATTGGTAAATCTTGTTTATGCGTCAGTGTATCTGTTGATTGTCGATTCACTTGAATAACATGCTTCTAGATATTCTCTGGTGTTTTCGGTGTTTCCTCTGTCTAATATTTGAACACCATCCCAATCGAACTGGTGTGCGTGGTTATCTGTATGCAGCGATATAAAGGAGCGAATATCGTGTCCTTCTACAGCCAGTGTATGTTCATAGATGCGAAGAAGAAGACGAAGAGGGCGTCCACTTTGATTGATATAACGTTTTGCACAGTTATTACAATTTATTTTGTAGATGATGTCGGTCGATATAGTGTCAACTGAAATAATTTTATTGTTCAGTGTGCGACATCAATGCCTAAAGGTGTAAAAAGTCATGCAGTGATTTCTGAGATGTCCTTTATACATGTCAAGGTGATTTTCTTTGTGTTTTCTTTGGAGGCCTTTGATTTGGTTGGTTGGATTGAGGGTAGATGTCTTTTTATGAAATTTCGTGGATATCCATTCTTTTGGAAGACGTCCATGAGGTGTTTTTGTTCAATTTTCTTTAAGGTAAGGGTGCTGCAATGAGTCTTGGATCTCTCGAATAACGTTTGTAAGCAACTGTTTTGTGTTATTGGGTTGTTGCTGTTGTTAATGGGTATCTGATCTCTGTGAGCTGATTTTCTGTAAACTTCAGTTTCTAATTTTCCTGTGATTGTTGGTTTGACTAAGATGTATAAAAATGGTGTTTTGTCCTTGGATTCCTCTCTTCTTGTGAATTTGATGTCGTTGAAGACGTTGTTTGTGAAGTTGTGAGTGTTTCCTAAGTCGTTCCGTCTGATTATCATGAATGTGTTATCCGCATAAGGTATTTAAATTTTGGTCTTAATTTTTGTAGGATTATGTTTTCAAGTCTTTGCATAACTGCTTCTGAAATCAGTCTTGATATGGGCGATTCCAACAGGCTCAAAGAACAAAACTTCACCGAAATCGTTCATGTGACCTACAATATCAGTAATCCCCCATCAATTATTTCCCATGCTGCTCAGTTCTTTTAGATTTTATGGCAAAAGTAGTATTATTGTAGACGATCAGAAACCGTTAGGCACGTTACAGTTTTCCAATTTGTCATTTTATATATCCTCTTCCTTGGAATAGAAACACAGCCTAGTTGTATTACTGGTCGTTTGAGATAAATACTTCTAGTCCTGCCAAGTTCATTTGGCCTGCTAGAAGGGGTTAACAACAAGGAACCCTGACAGGTAACCAACCAACTAATAACCTATTGCTGAACAAATATACTGAAGAGAATGGTGATGGATTGAACGTACGCTGAGGGAACCGTTGGGTCACATCACGCTCCAGGAAGTCCGTCGAGTTGAACCCTAGTGGGAAACGACAAGTTGGGCATGCGTGTATGTGTGTGTGTGAGGGTGACATGAAGGCTATAAAAGCACATGGGCTATCGTGAAGCTAATTAAAAAGGATTGTAGTGGACAGGGTGAAATGGGCATGGGCTAATGAAGCCCTATGTTCTACACGGAACCCAAGGGATAATGATAATAATGAACTACACAACCGATATTTTCGGTTCTCCAGGACCTCCTATTATTCTAGTAATAAATAGGCTTCATTACCGATGACAGTTTACCAGCACAACACTGCTTGTATTCACTAAGTAAATTCAATGACTTAATGAAGTTGAGGGGAATGAGTGAAATTCAACTGAAACCGGACGAGAGTCAAGTTAACAGCAGCGGTAAAAATTTATTAGAAGGGGGTGAGGGAAGAAAAAATACAATTATGAAGCAAAAATTACATATCCAGTGTTGATGCAGATCAGGTCAATTGTAGATATAATGACAATGAACACACTTATTCTTTTGTATGCAGACTACAGGATTTAACATGTAAAAATCGCTATTGCTTCTGCAAGTTGAAGAAGTTTGATTTGTCGTGCTGTTTTAGCGAGATCCTCCCGTATACTGGAGATACCTTTGATGTTGGTTTGTGGGTTAGTTTAGTGTCCAGATTTGATCTGGAGTTACAGGATAGAGCTGTGGCAGAGAAGTCGTTTTTCTCCTTTATAAAACCACAGGTGTAAGTGATCTATAATACGCTTGGATAGCAAACGCTAAGGATAGAACAAAGATATGTGATTTTGTTGATTGGAGGATTTCATCATGAGCTGACATCAGCTAAAAACCTGGGAGTACTGGACGCCTGCTTCGTCCTAGTGCTCGGGACTCTTCATCAGTACGCACACACCACCAGGGTTCGAATCCAGGACCTTCTGGTTACAAGGCGAGCTAGCTTGTAGACCATTCACCCACTGGGACCCGATCCAATCCAATGGCCAGCCAACCCATGAATTCTAACTTTTACCAATTCATGACGTGTCATGACCACTTCGCAATGTCATCTTCGATGAATTAATGCCTCACCTTCAACCTTGTGCACTTTACTGGTCACGGCTTCCCACTAGAACCCGAGGTAACTAACTACCTACCTGAACTGGGCCAGACGCTAGTGAGCATCAGTTCAATCATGGTGAAATCCTCCAACCAATCAAACAAAATTCCCTACAAAACCAATACATGTGCTGTCCTTTATTTCCTAACTGACTTAAACTTGTGATGAAAGTAGAGCTTATCGTCTTCATATGTTGTCGAAGTATTTTAACAGTTTTATTACTTTTGATTTTATTTTATGTCAAGTTAATCTGATGGAAACAGTTATGTGGGTAGAGATAAATTGATTTCACTTTTATTATCATCATTATTACTGTCTCCAACCTAGAAAGTCAATAGTATTGCATCATATATATATATATTTGTATATATATATATATGCACATACATGGATAAGTGTCTCCACTTTTCACTTTTTTGGTCACGTTTAGAATTATTCTTTTCTCTTTTTTCTGCTTGCCTTTTCGGTAAGTTTTAACTGTTTCTTTTTGTTTTGTTTTTTGAAGTATTTGCTTACTTATTTTTTCTTTGTTCATTTCTTCTTCAAAAATTATTCAGCTCACATCGATATTTCTTCTCCCAATGGCCAAGTGCACCGACTATCTTACTCTGTATACAATGGAGAATTACGCAGCTAAAATAATGTATCGAGTTATCTGGCGTTTATCTAATCTAAACGCAGAAGACTTTAAAGACAGAGTAAGTTTTTGTTGTTGTTGTTTTCGTTTGTTTGCTTGTTTGTTTTTTCAATGATTTACAATCAATATTTTCGTGACATTTATGTCTATTTGTGTTTATTTTTGAGTGCAAAAGTTCATTATTACTGTGCTTTATTTTCTTAATGTATAATTGTGTATTTAAGACCACGATGATTATGGTAATAATAATAAGCGAACTATACGGGCCAACCGATGGTCTTACAGCTAGGATAGTTAGTAGTTAATCGTTTGAGTACCTTATTGTTCGACTTTCTCCATTTAAACTCAACTACCAGCCTTATTAATATTATTCCTCCAGGTTCCGGGTGGAAAATAGGGCTTCAATAGCACATCATCACCCCTAATAAAGGAACGAAATCAGTGTTTCGCCCCAGTTTATGACTCTTCTAACGGGTTCGAAGCCAGGACCTCCTGATGTCAAAGTGAGCTCGTAGACTATTCAATCACCGGGACTCGACTCGATTGTCCGTACGAAACGATATGCAATGCAACAGCCAGTCAATTTCTTTTTTTTCATTACAGCTTGATTCCACTCCGTAGTTTTTGGTACAGGTATGAAACTTTCAGCGTCTGATATCGGTAACCCAAATTTTGCAGGCCGACCATAGATATCAGATGTGCGTCGGGGCAGGGGATCGAACCTCGGACCATGTGCATGGTCGGCGAGAGTCTTGACCACTGTGCCATCGGCGAGTAACTAGAGGCTTCCAAACTAGGACGAAACAGCTGTCCAGTACTCGCAGATGATCTTCCAGTGGTTCCCTAAAGGATGTTTTTAACTCGTGATAAAGCCTATCGCCGGTCAACTCTTTACAAACAAACACTTGAAAATCAATATTCTAGTATTGGTTAGCTGACTTTGCACATTGTCGACGGTTGGACTGAAATCTCAAAACGTGGATATTTTCATATGACTCTAGGCATTAATATGTTTATGATTCATCCTGAAGTATAATTTGTCTACATTACTAAATTTGTTTTTTAAGCAAACGTTTTACTGTTGCATGATTTTTGGGTTACCGACAATTAAATGCTAAAAATCACAGGTTGGAGACTATCGAGTGATGTGGCTGGAAACCGTGTTCACCAATAAGACAGGTGGTGAACTCACTCTTTGTAGATCCTCATGTTCTTCCATGTGTTTATTCTTTGTTCCAGTAGATTTCTGCTCATTTTCGTTTTTCTAATTATAATTTTATATATTTTCCCTCTATGTTTGTATGCTGTATATGAAATGTGTAAACTTGAATTGACTACATTTCTGTGAAAATTTCCACGTTGAAACACAGTCAGTCATAAAAAAGTAAGAGGTGTTTAGTCTCAACATAATCTTTTGGTCACCTGACTACTCATTACTTTTAGCTAGACAGACTTGTACAACGTTGAGAAAGGGGGATTATCGGGTGGTAAAATGTTTTATTGACGTTCATTGATTGTAAATAATAAGCTCATAAAATTTTCGACACAGACTGATATCATCAATCAGGCTTTGGAATGTGGCTACCATTCTAGGTGGCCCACTATCAAGGTGCACATTGATTTGATGATAATAGGTAGTTGGAGGCGATCGTCAGGAAGCCTTGGACCTAGCTTTCGTGATAGTTGGCACTCATCAGGAAGGCTTATCTGCAACCCTGAAGGAACTCACGTCCCTTCTGAGATTCGAACCCGTGTCACGCAGTGCTACCAGCAGTCAGAGACGTTACCATTCGGTTATTCGGGCTCGCGATTCACCTCCTGTAGGACTGTAGTGGGTATTTCGATTGGACACTGGTAACTAGTGTGACGTGCGGATTGCCTTCAACTATCTAATATCATCAAATCAATATGCACCGTGTTGGTGAGCCACCTAGAATGGTGGCCACATTGCAAAACCTGACTGATAGAATTCAGTCTTCACCAAAGAAAGGACTAGAAACGTCACACTAGTTACTAGTGTCCAATCAAAATACCCACTACAGTCCTACAGGAAGTCAATCGCGAGCCCAAATAGCTCAGTGGTAACGCCTCTGACTGCTGATAGCACTGCGTGACACGTGTTCGAATCTCAGAAGGGACATGAAATCCTTCAGGGATGCAGATAAGCCTTCCTGATGAGTGCCAACTAGCCCGAAACCTATGTCCAAGGCTTCCTGACGACTGCCTCCAACTATCTAATATAGACTGATATCATTTTGGAGGCTACTAGATACGAGGGAGCGGGTGATGATTTTTCCATTGTATTTTATCAAGTATTGGTTTTTAGGGATTTGATTGATCACAGGTTTGATAACTAGGTGACATTAGTTTGAGAACCATTGGAAAATCATAGAGTACTCTTCAGTGGTACGCGCCCACCGAAGTTTGCAACCAAAACCTTCTGGTGACAGAGTGAGTCTGTAGACCATTCAACTACTGGGGCCCAATTTAGTGGCCCACGAATTCCAACTCCCTCCAGTTAGCGATGTATAGTGTAATCGATAGTGATCAAACTTGTAACCAATCAAATTCCTGAAAGTCAACACTTGATGATTAGACTGACTGATTTAGTGGGAATTCGTGACCAGCATGGTCCACCGAGCCAGGTATGAGGATAGTTACTATTCTATGACACTGGTTGGCGGTTGCGATATATGTTGTGATTTGGTAGAAGTTGGAATTCATGAACTGTTGGAATGCATCGCAGTGTTTGATTAGTCTAAAAGCTCTCCTTGCAAACGAAAGGTCAGAAGTTCGAACCCCAATGGGGTCGTACTGCTAAAGAGTCCCAAACAAGGGTAAAACAGCCTCCTGGTTCTTCCTAAATTCCCAGTATTTCTTCAAATGATGTCAGTTCGTGATGGAATGCATGTGTTATTTTACTTTTCCTCATTGATTCTTTGTTTCTAGCGGTTTTCAAAATGCAGGGATTGGCACTTTAAATTATCTGTTAATTCATGGACTACAGCGAACAAATTTGACGTTGAGAATTCTAATTATCTAAACTGATTTATCGGTTACATACATCAATTTTAAACTAATTAGTTATGTATTTATTTTGGAGATAACGTTTTTATTGTGAAACAGCATACACAAGCATTTTTATTTAAAGTTGTTTGTTCATTGCAGTAAAACATTTTGTTTAACAGTTACTGATAATTAATTATCTTGTTCTGTTTTGCCTTTCCCTTAAAACTCAACGGAAATCAGGACTCACGCATATTTGAACTTATCACCAGTGTTCGAGTACTAACCTATCGGTTGATAGATTTAAATGTTGCAGACAAACTTGGCTCTTTGTTAACAACACAAGAATGCAATTCATGCCTTGACAGTTTAATGTTTACTATCTTTGAACCGGATTGGGAAGAAGTTATATCAAGGTATAGAAAATCCCGCAGTGAATCATCAACAGCTGATCAAATTTCATTGTTTTCAATTCCTCTAATTGATAAACTGCATTACAGTGTACTCCTATCGGCTATATCACCACCACAAGGTGCAGGTGGAGCAACATTCAACGGACGTATCATGGCGTTAAGAGAACTTGTTCAACAAATTGAAATAGCTAAACAATTCGGGAATTCGAATACTTCCTCATTAAGTGGGCTCAGAAATGGTCAAAAGCGAACACGTCCCTCAGTGCCGCTTACATCGGCTAGTTTGTTAGCTACAGAGAATGTTGCTTTCCTGGCTAAACGACAAAAAAGGCGTGTTTTAAGACTGGATCAATTAATGTCATGGATTCAAGATAACGAAGTGATAGCAAAGTCGTTACGTGAGTTTTACTACAACAATTTCTTATTTTTGATTCATTAGGCAATTCGCATTAAGAAAGATTAGAGTTTTTCTGTTGGTTAGAGAAGGCTTAAAGGCTCAAATTTATGCTGAAATTCAGCTAGATTCCTAAGAAACACCTATCCATCTAAGAAGCATTGTTTCAACTGCAGACGGACGGAATTGATGAGGATATCAAAACGATGATCGGGAAAGCAAGGCAAGCTTTCATTACTCTCAAGTCATAAACAGCACTTAGCATGAAAAATAAGATCCGGATTTTCAACTCCAGTGTGAAGTCAGTGACGGAGGTCATGCGAAGAGGAGATTAAAGCATGTGGGTGGCAGACGTGGGACCAGGTGACAGACGTTGGCAGAAAACCGGACGCAGTGGAGACTTGCGTTTGAAGTCCTATGTTCTTCTAGAAATTAAAGGGAACAATAATAATCATCTAAGAGGCAGAACTTGGAAAATGAGCTTAACACTGACATAAATGAATCGCCGTAGGATTGTTTAACTCATTCCATTCACGTTATTGTGCTCAACGCATGAGTGGAAAAATACTGTATTTCAGCTACGAATTAGGAATAAACAGTCCGGCAAAGAGGGAATTCATTTGGCATATTCATTTCTTGAACTGGCTCCGCCTGTTTTATCCGGTGGGTATTAGGGCGTTTCAGTAAATAGGCCAAAATATACCAGCTTGAAAATTCAATAATTTAAGTTTGACTTTTGAGCTTATTCCCTCCTTTAATTCATTACATTGTTCAGATATCAGTATCAAGCAAAATTTACTGATAAAAGTGCAGTAAATGTAACACAGTTCAATAATACAATGCCACCGACAGTATGTACTTCAGAGAAAGAAAAAATTTTAATGCTAAGTTTTTATTTAGAAAACATAAAAATACAAGTTGTCATTAAACCACCGTCTAGCAACGGACTATGAGGCTACAGTTGGTGGGGATGTGCAATAAAGCGACTGCAGCGAAGAGACTCTTCTGAGAATTCATTCACCTAGCTGTTCTTTTTATTCCTTTACGTTCCCAGTGGAACATAAGGCTTCGGGCTACAGCTTTGGAGTTTCTGTGGCAGTGGTGTCTATTTTTAAGGGATGGGGTTGCTAGCCTCATGCCAATCCTCCGTCTTTACCAGTCTTATTACTAGCTTGGCGAGGAAAAGGAGTGTGATCGAGCCCCGGAGCACATGTGTGCTTGGTGAGGATTCAACCGCAGTGCTACCGACGTACAAACATTATCAGGACGAGGCGCATGCATATAGCACACAGCCTTCTTCACACCTGGCACGCAACCATTAGGTCGCGTACTACCCCATCGCTTTTGGCGAATCTGGCAAGAGAATTCATAAGAACATCATCAGAGCATTTGACAGATTAGGTACCTCCACCTGACTGTACAATTACAAATATGCATAATTATTTTCTTATGCATATGTTTATAATCGGTCTGTCGAACATAGCAGAAAAAAAGTTACTTTGGAACACTGTTTACGTCATTGAAATATTACAAAACATTGGAGACTAATCAAATTGTAGCTCAGATGGGGTGTGTATGTGAGGATCAGTAAATTTGGGCTAAAGGTAGTGTAATACAAGGAGAGAAAACGTTCATAAAAATTGAGAGCAAATGAAAAAGCATACAGATAAGTATCAGAATGCATAATACAACATATAGACACAGTGATTAAAATATTCGATAAGAAAATGATGTTAATAAGGTATTAATAACGAAATACTGATAACAATTGAATTCAGTATTTGAGTGTTGGTTCGCAGGGATTTGACTGGTCACAGGATTTCATCATGACCTGAAATCGGACAACCTGTGAGTACAGGACAGCCAGCTGTTTCGTCAGCCTGGTTTGCTACTCTCCAGCAGTACGCACCGAGCACCTTCTAGTTACAAGGCGAGCTTGTCGACCATTCAGCCACTGGGACCTGATCCAGTGGCCCATGAATTCCAGTTTCTTTGAATTCATGATGTAGCGCGACCACCAGCCACTGTTATTGGTGAGTATCTGTCCTCACACCCGACGTATTTTATCCTACTAGGACGAAACATCTGTCCCGTAATCCCACGTTTCCCTCTGGTTCTCTAACCGATATCAGCTCATCATGATAACTGGGATTAGAATTATATCCCCGAGAGAAGGGAAGCGTAGGATTTGCCATCTAAATATCTAAGGCAGCAGCTACTTAAAGTATACGGAAACGTACGTTATGTGGATAAGTTAGAGTGAATTTTTCTTAGATATTCATTGGCCGGTGCTCAACCATAGAACTCCATACTGACCTATTGTGATCTTTCTGTAAACATGCAGGATAAAATTCGTTTACTCTTTTAGACAAAACACGCATATATATATATATATATATCGTTGAACAATAGATAACTACACAACTAAATCGGAGTGAGTTGCAAAGATTTCATTACAACTATCAATGTGGACTAAAATACTTAGTTATCCGATGTGGTCTGTATGCCACCAACGTCGGTGGTCCAGCAGTAGAGTGCTCCCCAACCGCTTTTGAGGTCTGCGGTTCAAATCCTGTTGGGGCATTCCTCATCCTCGCTAAGCCGGTTGGAAGCGCGGTAAAGAAGGAAAGTTGGGCGTGGGGCTAGCAACTCCACTCCATAAATTTGAATCCACTACTACTGAGAATTCAAAGCTGAGCTTTGGAGCCCTATGCTCCACTGGGAAAGATAAGGAATAAAACAGAATTTCATCAGCAAAGAAGTCAGGAGCATGACACAAATATACGGGAATGATCGTCCAGTGTTTAGGCCAGTTCGATCTTGCTAGCGAGCACTACTGGCTGATGTAAATGACATCTAAATTTCACCTCAAACTGTATGATTTGCAAATCATACGAATATGATTCAAAATTCACTGAATATTCCCCGTGGTAATTAATTATAACTCTTTGTCTCGTTTTCAGATAAGCTGGATAACACTGCTTATATGGCTACACTAAGCAACTTTTTTCGATCACTTGGAGAACGTATTACCAATGATGACTTGACAACACTATGGCATCGTACATCGCATCAAAACGGAGCAGCTGTAGATAATATTCTAAATCTGCTTACAGACTTGTCATCCTCCAGATTCACACAATCTCAATTGAAGCATTTATTTTTTCTTGTTGAACTGGTTAGTTGTTACTTTTATTGACTTTTTTTATATAATGAGAACTTATCAGTGCTAGTTATAGTGAGGAGCACCGGTTACTTGGAAGGTCCGGGTTCATTTGCCGGTCGGGGAGCTGATCGTGCGTTAGTATTTCAGTAGTCAGGTGATCACCAACGACTCCCGTGTCCTGGGTTCAGTTTCCAGCCGCGAGCAGACTCTTTAACCTTACCTAGCCGGCAGTCATTAAACCCAGTAAAGAGAGAAGATTTGGTGTGAGGCTAGCAACTTCACCGCGTAAGAACAGCTCTACTACTGAAAATTTGTGACTGAAGCTTGAAGCCGTGTGCTGCTCTACTCTTCTCTGACCACCTTACATCTCCGTTTTCGTGTTCACTTTATCTTTTTATGTTACCACAGACAAGTAAGCAAAGTGATGTACGCATGTATATAGGGTTTCTAGATATCTGTTTAACGTGACTGATTCCCAATGCTCTGGGTCATCACTCTCCTCTCCACACGCTTCTGTTTTCATCGTAAAGGGTGTATATTCGAACCAGTGTTAAAATAAAATATATCTCACGTCTTTACTGCTTTTCCCGCATGAAATGAGACAAATAAACAGTGAATATTTAATTGGTTACAGGAATTCATCGTGAGCTGACATTGGTTAAAGAACCATTGGGAAACCTGTGAGTACTGGATAGCTGTTTCGTCCCATCTAGTACACACCCGCAATCAGGGTTCGAACCCAGGACCTTCTGGTTACAAGGCGAGCTCGTAGACCATTAAGCCACTGGGACCCGATCCAATGGCCCATGAATTCTAACTTCTGCCGACTCCTGGGTTTTCCAATGGTTCTTTAACCAATGTCAGCTCACGATGGAATCCTGTAACCAATCAATCAAATCCCTACAAACCAACAAGTGAATATTTAAATTGGTCACACCGGTTACATGATATTTAGAAAGTCTTTTTGCTCACTTTAAAATTTGTAGAGTTGGATGAATCTGGATCTTCAAGCTCTTGCACAAGTTCCCCTAGGAATAAAATCTTCTGATTCTGCTCAAGCAAACGGAAGAACAAAATCTGCTTGTATCTCATCACCTCCACCGGATGAACCGTCTACCATACGTCATGCACGCGCTCGATTATTGAATATGATTGGTAGAATCGGCATTACCACTAAGGATCCGAATACAGCTGATATGTGTATAGAATTACTATGGCGTCTAGCACATTCAAATTATTCAGAAGAGGCAAAAGAGTTTTCAAAAAGTAATCACAGTCCAAAACAAACACCACAAAAGATGTCTTTTGTCGAACGAATTCTTGTACCACATGTGCATAAAGCTGATCATCATCCAGCTGATTCGGATCCATCGCCAGACACTCCAAAATATATGCATCCTGAACCGATAGAAGCAGCTTTAGCTCAGCAGTTAGTCATTATACGGGAATTTCATTGCTCTGGTGTAGATCAGAGAATACGCGCAATGCGGTGGTTACTCGAGGCTATGGGATACATTAGCAAGGTGAGACTCTTTTTAACTTTTGCACACATTTTTCTTTTTGTTATAGCTTGACTCCACACAATGTTTTTCATACAAGTATGAAATTCTCAGCATCTGGTATCGGTAGCCCAAATTTAGCAGGCGGACCATTGATATCAGGTGTGCGTCAGCGGGGGATAGAACTCTGGATCATTTGAATGGTCGGCGAGAGTCCTAACCGCTGTGCCAAGGACGCATTAGACACAACTGCGTGAATAAGTCTCTCCCCTTTTAATTCTCACGGCTTTTTTTGTCATAGTATAACAGTAGAAGACAAGAGACCTGGTAGAGGAATGTTTATTTGGAATTCGTTATCTTCATTTAGGGAAATTAACAACTGTCCTCGCTTTATACTGAAGATCAGATGGCCGGAAAGAATCACCAACAAGGAACTATGGGAACAAACAAAACAAGAACCAATACCCCAACATATACGCAGGAGAAAGTGGAGATGGATCGGACACTCGCTGAGGAGACCGCTGGGTGACATCGCGCGTCAGGACATTGCTCGAGTGCAACCCGAAAGGGAAGCGGCGAGTGGACGTCAGTGCAAGGGTGACATGGAGGAGATCGTGTGAAGAGAGAGGAGTTGAAACAGTATGGGCTAACATGGATGCAGGTGGAAAGCACAGCAGAAGGAAGACAGAAGCAAGTGGAGACGTGCAGTTGAAGTCCTATGTTCCACTAGGAACCCAAGGGAGCAATAATAATAATAAATAATAATATAGGGAAATTATGTACACCTTATCTGGAAATCATTTTTGTACAGATCTCCAGTGTTGTGCTGATTCTGTTCTCTTGTATATTGTTTTTCTTTGTCTTCTTTTCATATCCCCTTCGTCTTGCCGCACATTATTAGTTCATTTGCTCTCTTTGATATCAAGTCTATCACTCCGCGCTATTTGATATTTTTGTGGCGGTGAGCATCCCTTTACGTACTACTGGTAAGTCTTATCAGTAGCACACGCGAATTGGGATTTGAGATTTCAAGCTTTGAGCTTTTAAGTTTCAGTAGGAGTGGTGTTATTCTTTTTTCCTGGATGAGGTGGCTAGCTCCACGCCCAACTTTCCGTCTCTACTGGTCTTGCTATCAACTAAGTGAGGTTTAGAAGGCCAGCCACCCGGGACCGAAGTTGGGACCAAGTGATTGGTCGACGAGAATTCTACCGCTGGGCTACCAATGTGTTTTCGTTCCATTATCGAGCGTATGTCGGGTTTCTTGCTGAAAAATGCAGTGTTTTCAGTTTGCGATATGAATTCGATAAACGCCATACCCTTTGATACCACCAGCAGTCAGGTGTCCTTCACTCATGTTTTGGGTCCGATATTCACTACTTTTGTTCTTAGCTGCAGAATACATTGTAACGACCAAATCTATTCGGTTATCGTCTGAACGCAAGAAACCAATGTCTACTTTCTACTCTATAGCCGAAAAGGGATCTGCTGAGACACACACTACCACGAAACGTTCCAAACGTAGAGAAGGGATGATTATTCTCCTGCATATTAACGATTCTATCAAACAGTAATGACATCAAGCTCAAATTTACGTCAACAGTGCCGTTAGACAGCCATACAAGCAATGTAGGTTTCTAGGTACAAAACAATTACTGTATTGCAAAATTAGTTAAGCAGAGTTCAACCGTAAAAGGAAACTTAGAATCAAATAGCATATTTCGGAGGTGGGATCAAAGGCGCGCACATACCAAGGTTTCCGTCAGGCAGTCCATAGCGTCAGAATGACTTTTATTCATTCGAAGAGGCTCATGTGGTTAAACAACACGTTGCCAACATACACACAATCACAAAGAGAAGTATTACAATTGAAGAATTAACAGAGACAAAGGCAAATGGTAAAGATCAGCAGTCAATATGTGATGTGCAAATATCAAATCAATGATACACAGTCTACGTGGGGGAAATGTGTATAATAATTGAGAATTTAGCTGAAATATCTAAATAAGCATAAATAGATCGTCCAGGAGGGAAAGATTTTCCAAACATTTGTCCACTACGTAAATACACATTAGATCATTGGAAGAAAATAAAAACTTGGTTGCGGGGAATAAAATTTTCTCTCCTATGAATTCATCAACTAAGCTGTACAATAGTGGATGTATAATAAAGGCGTGAGAAAGTTCCAGAACTATTTTCGCTCAGAGGTCAAATTACAACTAATAACAATATGAAATTGTGTAAAACAAACAGAAATAACAAGGTAACAATAAGAAAAGTAAACAGGGAAAATTGACCGTTTGTGATAGGCATAGTAAAGACAAAGGTCCAACTTACTTCTTCTGTACCCCTAGGATCGCTAATACTTAAGCTGTGCTCAGATGTCTTGATCTCACTCAGTTTGAGAGATTTTCAAAGAATCTGGTGTATAGGACTTTGAAGGATTTCTCAGATGGGAGTGAGTGTCCTGAGTTCACAGGTGCTGTTCTGCCAGTGTTTCTGAGCGCATTTTTATTTAATTTTTTTAATCTGGGTTCTATAGTAATTAATTCCGCTTACCATGATAGGTCTGTTTAGACTATCACGAAGTCACTTTGTTGTTTCTTTGGTCCGATTTCATTCATCGACTTCACCATATCTCACCAGTCTCATACTGCTGAATAGTTTAGTAGGCTTAAAAACTTCAGTAGATGTGTTTGTCAACAAGAGCTGGTTTGCAGGAATTTGATCGGCTACAGGTTTGATCATGAAGTGACACCAGTTATAGAAGGATTTCAAAATGAGGGCATACAGGACAGCGGTACTAACCCACCGGCTTTTAAAACCCAGGATCTTTCGGTTACAAGGCGAGCTTGTAGACCATTCAACTGGGCGACTATCTAGCGGCCTGTGAGTTCCAACTTCTGCCAGTTTGGGTCGTATAACGCAGCCTCCAGTCAGTGTCACAGGCCAGTGACTGCTCTGTTACCTGACTTGATGGGTCCTGCTATTCACGACTTATCACCAGCCCATGACATTAGCTGACGGTCGCACTATATATTGGAAACTGGAAGAATTTCAAATTCACAGGTCACTGGATCGAGTTCCTGAAGTGTCCCGAACTAGGACGAAAAAGGTGTTCAGTACTCCCTGGTTTTCTAGTGCTTCTCTAACCCGTTTTAGCTCGCGGTCAAAATGTATTTTCCCCCATTTGTTCGATAATTATCACGTGACGTGCTCAGTTGATGGAAATCTGCTATCTGCTAGCTTTTAATAATTCACTCTCATACCAGATATATTTCCTATTTTATTCATATTTAGTAAATAACTTTCATCTCTCTCTTTTCATTCATTGTAGAATTCACTGACATTTTTCATGTTAGCTTATGTGAAGTCTCTATTAGAATTTATACTGAAAAATTTTATTGGCAAGGCGAAACGGGTGGGTCATTATTCTTATTCTTATTATATATTAGTTTCGTTTTTGTTTAAAATGGGAATTTCAGTCACGCATTAAAAAAATTATTTAAATCACCGAAATTACCCATTGAGTCATGAAGAAAAGAAAAAAGACAAATTCAGTGAAGAAAATATTTCTTCACCAACGAAATCATCTTCACAGGCGTCGGTGGTATAGCGGTTAGGACGCTCGCCGATCCGGGGTTCGATCCCCAGCCGACGCACTTCTTTGCCTCGCTGAGCTAGAAATAATGCTGGTAAAGAGGAAAGGTTGGGCATGTGGCTAGCAACCCCATCTTGTAAATGAAACACTGCTACAGAAACTTCAGGCCACTAGCTTGGAGCCCTATGTTCCACTGGGGAACGTGAAGGGAAAAAAATCTTCACAGGCTGTACTGTAAAGTCGTGTTTATATTTACCAAAAATGTATGGTAGTCTATTATTGAGTGATAGGTGGTGACATAATTCATATAACTATTCGAAAGTGGCCTTAGAAGTGAAAATTAAAAGTTGTAAATTACGTGGTACTCAATAGCACAATGTTAGAAATTTGATAAGGTTAAAATTGTTATCGATTGAGAGAGAATAAAGGTGGTATTTGAGTGTCAATTTAACAAGTGTGTCGAGAGGGTGTGAAAGTGTACAAAAGGAACATATGAAAGTGATAAGAAAAGAAAGAAGTGAAATTTTTTTGTACAGAGAACGACTAGTGAAGAGTTTAAGACCAATGTAGAATAGGAGAATGGACAAACCTTTCTGTATACAGAGTACCGGGGTTGACGAAATTATTTAGGCAAGTAATAGTGAAAACAGAGGAGTAATTATTGAACACCTCTTCCATCCTAAATTTCAACAGAGCATATATATTATATATATCCAAACCAAGTTCACTTTTAACGGTTTGAAAAAATTTGGGCATTGGGTATATGATATTCATTATAATAGAGGTTTTTTGTATTTCCCAATGAATGAAAAAACAAAACGAGATTGTTTTTACTGACGTTTCGCTATTTAATGGTAATAGCTTTATCATCAAAGTATTATTAAACCGGAATTTACAAAATCTCAGCATATATTTATAACAAAGAGTTAGGGGTGAGAAAAATATAGACTTAGTTCAACTATATTTTTCTCACCCCTAACTCTTTGTTATATATATATGCTGAGATTTTGTAAATTCCGGTTTAATAATACTTTGATGATAAAGCTATTACCATTAAATAGCGAAACGTCAGTAAAAACAATCTCGTTTTGTTTTTTCATTCATTGGGAAATACAAAAAACCTCTATTATAATGAAGAGCATATATATATATGTATATCTACTATGCTATGCTAACAGAGATTAAAAGTTTTCATTTGTTGAATTCCAAACACCTAGTAGTTGAATGATAAGATAGTCCCTGTGAGACATTACTGTCATGCAAAGTATTTCAAATATAGCTGGTTGTTGTATATGACCATCTTTGAAGAGATCTGAACGAATGAATATAAAGTTTTCTGTCGCTTCTCAAAGACTTTGTTTTCTCTCCAGCTTATGAGTCCGTGTATTATGTGAAGACTGCTTAGAAGCTAACTGACAAATCCCCTCACAAAGTTTGCGTCGGTGGTACAGTGGTTAGGACTCTCGCCGACCATACACATGGTCCGGGGTTCAAACGCACGCCGACGCACACCTGATATCTATGGTCGGTCTGCGAAATTCGGGCTACCGATATCACATGCTGAAAATTCCATACTTGTACCAAAAATACAGTGTGGAATCAAGCTGTAATGAAAAAAAAAATAAAAAAAAATAATTAGATTATATTAATGTAGCTGTTTCGGAATTTTTCGCTTATTGTTTGATAGGTTTTTTTTAAAAAGCTTCTTATTCTCCCAATCGATGAAACTTATTTCTGTGACGATGAAAGACTAGTCCAGTTTAAAGTTAACGATAATACTGAATTCATGCAGTTTGAATTGTTCTATGAGTGAGTAGCTTTCAGAAAGCTTTCTTCACTCGAAGGCATTACAGGTAATAAGTAAAATAGAATTGCCTTTCTAGATTGCCTTCTTACAAGAAAATCAATTGGTAGTATAAAGAGAAATTTGCATAAGAAAAGCATATAAACAGGAAAATTTATACATTTTTATAGCTTTGTTCCTTTCCACTACAAGGGATCAGAGTTATATGTTCAGAAGCTGTAATTGAAGATGAACTTAGGATTGCATATGTCACCTTGATTGAAAATATCTATCCAGAAAAGCTCAGCTGTTCTGTATCTTCAAGTAATGGTTTGTAGGGATTCGATTGATTGGTTACAGGATTTCATCATGAGCTGACATCGGTTAGAGAACGGTTGGAAAACCAGCGGGGAGTACTGGACAGCTGTTTCCGTTGTCCTAGTTTGCGACTCTTCGACAGTACTCACCCACCGAGGTACGTATCTGTATCTGTAAATAAGAAGACACTATGTGTGTGAAATAATTACCAACTGGTTAACTACAAGTCATTTTTTCTATATGGTCGGTTGTGATTCCCCAAATGAAAGATGAAGTACCTAGACTAGCCACTTGTAACTGTATCTACCAATTCAACTCTGCTTGTGGAGCTAGCTGTATTTCCGTCGCTCTAGGAACTTGATTTTTCGTGCTTGGGAGCATGTAAATATAGGTGTAGTGAAAACCATCAACAGCTCGATATTAGACCACCTGGACCGGCTACACAATTAGCATTGAAGAATCCTCCTTTATCATCTACCGGGTACCAAATAAATTGCCAAAAGCATACAGATACCGAATACCATACCAAACAGTATAGGCCGTTGCCATTCGCCTAAAACAACTTGTGTTCTGTATGCAGAAGAAACACGTCCAGCCAGCTACTGTTACTACCCTGGCCTTCTATGGAGCCCAAAAATTTATGATTTCTGCATTATTATTATGATTATTCTCAATTTGTTTGATATTCATTCAGTGTAGTGTTATATTGATGCATATGATCACACTTACAGATGCTACTATTGATTGATTCGATGTTATTTAAAACAGTATTAATCTTGTTAATAACCCAAATTGTTTCATACTCATGCATGCATATAATTGTAGGACCTGATGAAGAGCAGGTTATCAAAAAGAATATGCTTTGCTCAGTAATCAGTCTTTTGAAATTTCGGCAACAGTAAAGAATAGACACCAACTACAGACGACCTTGAAACAGCCAATCAGATTCTCCTAGATGAAAAGTGGTACTTAATTTACAAAGTGTATCTACGATATATTTGCGATTAAAACGAATCATATAGGGTACATATTTCTAATGTGCTGCAAAAACTGGTCGCAGATTCTCTTAGAAGTGGTAATAGACATATCAAACCAATGTTTTCTCCATTTCTCTAGCTGTAGCAGATACTGGTTACATATACGCAATATATTACTAAGGGAGAGCTTTGATTTCGAGACGGAAGTGTCTAAAAAAATCACCAATTATCTACGACTTACCAACTTATACAGACTTCCTCAAATAAAGTGGTTGCATCTGAATGCATAACCATCATCAGTAGCCCAGCAATACGTTTGCAAAGTTATCATCCCTCCACATATGCATGTTTTAGTCTTCCCTATCAACCCATTTTCCACAGAGAAGTCAAAAACCAAACCTAGGCGACATTTGCAACGAGGATTATGACTAGCATACATTTGTAGTTCTGAGCTATCTGATTGGTTAGTTCAAGGTCATTTAACTTTGGTGTCTATTGTTTACTCTTGCCGAAAATTTCTAATGCACATTTTCGACTATTTAATGAGTTAAGCTTAAAAATTGGGGTTGTTTAGATACATTGAAAATTTCGCACACCCCCACAGTTTCGAATTATTAAATTTGGATGTACGAAATAATCTGTACTGTGTACTAGTGTTTTATTCGGAGATTTGGCATCACACAGGGCGATTTCATGAAACAGGGATGTCAAATCATGCACAGGATGAGAGCATAATAGTATTTTATGGAAAATTCTGTTGATCGCAATCAACGGTTTAATACAGTTAGCAGTGAATATTACCCATTCTGAGAGAGCATAACCAAGCCATCTTTTAGAATAAATTAATTACTGTGTTTTGTTTAAATAAATTAAATAAAATAGTCCATGCTGATATGAACCTCTTTACTGTCCTTAGGCTGCTATTGGACGTATACGGATTTGATAGTAAACAGCATTTAGCTTTAGTTTGGGCGTTTGTTACGGAATGAAGTTCTGTGTATTGGATCAATGGAAAAATCATCCACTACTAGTTTGCCGACGTATCTAGCTGAAGAGTTCTGAATAGAAGAAAATGCACCTTTCGACTGTGGTCCTAGTCTTGAAGTAATGTGTAAAGCCTTTGTACTGGAAGAGTTCAATTTATATTCAGTTTTTTTTTAAATCAACAACTCGAGATACAAAGCAGAACTCCCGGGTTGTTGTTTCTCAACTTTATTTATATAAAGTATTAACTGACAGATGTAGGCTCAGACCACTGTCTGGTGCAAGAGAGCTTCAACACCTAGTTGAATGCCTTTGGAAGAGCAGGCAAAAGACTACAATCCAAGTTCCACACTCAGAAATTTGATGGCGAAGATACGTAAGACACCTTCATGATAGTCGTCAAGAGAAAAATTGATGTCAGGCATTGAACATCATCTAAGAAACCTGCTTGGATGAGCAATAGAACTTTCTGGAAGCGACTTGTACGAAAATCTGTATAGATATCTCAGACAAGAAGTAGGAGTAGGGCAAGCAATAGCTCAAACAAGACATGTGAAAGCCAATAAAAGAGAGATCGATGGTGATGGAGAGAAGATGATGACGATGATGATTCAGTGAAGGCAGATATTAAATATAATCTGCCTTCACGAAAGAATAAAGAAGAGTGTTAGAAAGGATGAAAGATGCTTTTCCGATATGCCTGCACATGAATAAATACAGCCTTCAGGTTAAAGAGACTTCACTATGCTGCATCAAATAATCAGGTCAATATCCGGAAAGAGATCGATGCAGATGAAGCCAAAAGAGGATAGTAGAGGAAATCCAATTACAAAAGAGCTGGAACATAGGAAACACTGAGATGAACAATTCAAAAAACTCTACAATCTACCACCACATGCAACCTGTACAAGATTAATGATGAGCTAACATAGAACATATCAGTGAACATCAACCCTCCAATATAAACAGAAGTCCATAGTGTCATAAAGTTACTAAATTCCGGAAAGGCTACAAGACCACCAGACGGAATTCCTCCAGAAGCACTGAAAACGGATTCACACAGTTTCGCTGTCATGCTCCAACGATTACTGCATAAGATGGGAATTGGAGGAAAGATGTCAGCCTGTTTGGAGCAAGGCAACCATGCCAGGCTATTAAAGAACGAAAACTTAAGCTTATGCTAAAACTGGCCTGAGTGATTTTGCCCGGAACAGGTTAGTCTGAGGAAACAGAAATTACGCGTGAATCAAATCGCAACATTAGGCATCATCATCGGACAGGACGTAGAATGACATTTAACACTCTGCTGTAAATTGATCGAGTTTTGCAAGGCTTTCTATAGCATTGACTGTGAAGTAATTTGGAAACCACTTCAGTGCTGTGGAGTACGATACAGTAAATATATACAAACTTTATTCAACAGCTGTATGATTTCGCCGAACGCTACCTGCTTCACAATGAAGAGCTCAACAAAGTCTTTGAAGTAAAGACAGGAGTGAGATTAGGCTGCCTACTGTCATTAATGATATTTCTGATTGTGGTGGACAAGAATATGCAACAGGCAATACGGAGATAAAAGACGGTCGTACGTTGGACAATCGTTGGAGAGATACTCGAAGACATGAACTTCTTGGATGATTTGTCTAATATCGTACCAAAGTGAAGATTTACAAGCAAAAGAGGCAGAATTTCAGAAGAATTCACAGAAAACACAGGTGACGAGTATGCCGGACCCCACGAATCCCCACAAACAGCAGAAATATGATGGAAGTTATCTCTTTCATTTACCTGTGTAACATCAGCGTGGAGATTTGCAGCACTCGGCACGGGGACAAAGACCAGAATTTTTAATAATTATTTCCAGTCAGAGCTTCTGTAAAGTTTAGAAATCTGGCGTGTGGGCCATCGAAAGCATTTCAAACAGATTGCAGACTTTCATCAACAGCTGGCTTCACTGTTCGATTCTGAATATCAGACGGTCAGTCAGAAAGAATAAGATACAAGGAACACTGGTCAGCAGCAAGTCAGCCAAGAACTTATTAAACATCAAATATGCAGAAGGAAATGGAGTGATTAGACATACGCTAAGGCGACGGTTAACCGGCATCATAGACCAGTCATACCCTCAAGTGGACATATGTGGTCATGTGTTGAAGAATGATATAGAGGATAAGATTATTTGGTGAAGAAGTGAGAGCTTGCAGGTGATGATGGAGCTAGCTGAGAAAGGGTAGAACAAAGATGTCCCAGTAAAGTCCTAAGTTCTACTCAGAATTCTAGGGACGAAAGGTATATAAAAATGGTAACTAGCTGACAGTGAGGAGACCGTCCCATGACATCGCCCTTCAGGCCATCGCTCGAATGGAACTTCAATGGGAATTTTTTTTAATATTTTAAATTTACAGCTTGATTCCACATTGTATTTTTGGTACAAGTATGGAATTTTCAGCATGGATATCAGTGGCCCAAATTTTGCAGGCCGACCATAGATATCAGGTGTGCGTCGGCGCGGGCTCGAACCCCGGACCACGTGCATGGTCGGCGAGAGTCCTAACCACTGTGCCACCGACGCACAAGAAAAGCGCTCCCGCACCGGGAGTCGAACTCGGGCCGCCTGGGTGAGAGCCAGGAATCCTAACCGCTAGTGGGTAATCCAAGGAGAAGATGAGAGACTCTGGGCAATCGTAGGAGAGCAGAAAACAGAACACAGTGGAGGTGTGCTTTTAAAACCCTATGTTCCATGTGCAACTCAAGGGAACAATAATAATGATAACAATAAACTGACAGATACTATAGTTCCTGTTGATCTGCTTGCAAGTAACAATAGTTTGTTTCACGAAATCAATTCAACTTTTTACACGACATTGTATTAAGAATTATTAATCCGTAACAAATGCACAGTTTATCACGTTTATTTCTGAGAAAACAATTATATTCTAGTTAATTAGCTAATTAATCGATTACTATTATTATTATTTACAAGGATCATCTGCATGAACTTAATCGATCGTATGAATTGATTACTCGTGTGGTTGACTCTTTATTACATTATGAAAAATGGGCTATTTCATCTCACGGTGATTTGCTGACAGCAGACAGTTTAGATGAACTTGGTTTCCGGCATAGTGATGTAAGTTGGTCGAAGAGCTTGTCCTATTGTCAATCAATTATTAATTTTCTTTTCTTTTGTTTTTGTTTGTCTTGAATATCTGTGTAATGTCATACTTCCAATGTAGTTGTGTTCTTTGAGCTGGATGGTTAACTTGTGAAGCATTCAATGGCCTACTAGGCGACACCTTCAGCGCATACTTCGATTTGAAGTCAAACTGAATTTTGGTTGGAGGATTTCATCGTGAGCTGACATCAGTTAGAGAGCCGTTGAAAAACCAGCCAGGGGGTAATGGACAGCCAGGTCTTTCGTTCCACCTAGTTTGGGACTCTTTGAACCCAATATCCTCTGCCTACAAGGCGAGCTAGCTCGTAGGCCATTCAGCCACTGGGACCCGATCCAATCCAATGACCAGCCAGCCCATGAATTCTAACTTCTTCCAATTCATGACACAGTGTGGCCACTTCGCAATGTTTTCTTCAATGAGTTACTGCCTAATCTTCAGCCTGCTTTATCCTACTGGTCACGGCTTCCCACTAGAACCCCAAGTTAACTGCCTGAAAAGGACCAGTCGCTAGGAGTATCAGATTAATTTTCAAGTACTAGTTTTGTGGGAAATTTTGTTTGATTGGTTGGAGGTTTCCATCATGAGCTGACATCAGTTAGGGAACCATTGGAAAACCTGATGTCAGCTCAAGATGAAATCCTCCAACCAATCAAACAAAATTGCCTACGAAACCAACACTTGAAAGAAAATCAAAGTGAATTTTTGTGTGATTAGCACTAAACATTTTCCAGCAATGGCGTTAGTCTAAGAAATTATTCATACAACCACAATCTTTCTAAAAAAAAGTGTTGCTTGTAATGACTAATCAGATTCATAGGCGCAAAAATCAGTTGGTCAGTAACATTATGAATGGGAATTAAAAGGCGGAATGAGTGTCGATCAAGTACATTGTCAAATGATTGGAGTACGATGTTCACAGTAATGTGGTCAACGCCTGACAAAAGTTGATAAGAATAATTAAGTTATGGTAATCAGTCTGAATACAGCAAAGGGAAAGTTACTGATGATACCTATCGACCATCGATAACAGACGTTAATCACCTCTGTCAGTAGGAGAAATCGAAAAGATGGGAGCACTTTCACTTACTTAAATAGCATCATTTCAACAACAGGCGGCGTCGTGAATGAGGATTTCAAAGCTAATCAGCTAAGATTGGAAAAGCGAGACACATCTTCGTTACTCTGAAATCAGTATGGAAACCTGCTCGGCTCAGCATAAACAATAAGGTTCTGAGTTTCAACACCAATGTCAAGTCAGTGGGTGGTTGGGGGCTTCAAAATGATTCAGACACTTGACTTGTCACTAAATGTATTTCATAAAGCCAGATGCAGACTTTCATCAACAGTAGTTGCCTTCGGTTCATATTGAAGATCAGATAGCCTGTCAGAAAGGAATACCAACATAGAACACTGCCAACTAAAGAACCGACAGGCAAGAACCTATTACCATACCAACAGATATTTTGAAGAAAATATAAATGGTGTGGAAAGACGCTAGGGTAATCGTTGAGTGACATCGCACGGAGGCTATCTAGTGGAACGCGAATTAGAAAGGAGTTGGGCGTGTGTGCTAAGGGGAAATGAAAGCTTTAGGGTAACCGTGCAACCAGTTAGAAAGGAGTGAGGAGAACAGAGTGACATTGAGATATGCTTCTGAAGCCGTCCATATGTTCCACTCAGAACGGTAAAGAAATAATATATATATATTTCTAATGTCTGACAAAGATCAATGGGATATAAGTAAGTCTCATACCTGGGAGCAGATAATACTGGAGGGAAGTTAGAATTCCATATTAATGTGTTTATTAGATATATCACACAGAGTCTAAACGGTATTATTTAACAGATGAAAACGTGTTTCGAACACAATTTATCGTTCATAATCCTATCGTTTATAATTACACAATTTCAGAATCTCATAGATTTTTCCCCCTTCCCTTTTGTTGTTGCGACAGTAGAATTTTCCAGATATCTGGATTAGGTGTTGAATCGTCCTTGTTCATGTTTTCTTGGTCGTTATCAGTCTCTACCCTACCGTTTTTGATGTCAGATCTCAAGAGCATCACCTTATCCCATTCTATTGCACGGTTGTATGCAACTGCATGTAGTGCTATGGTTGAACTGTTCTTCAGATTTTTTTATTTCATTACGGTGAAATGAACCTGATTTTGCTAGGTTATTATGCTCGGCTAGTCTGACTGACCCAGTTCTACTGCTGTGACAATGTAGGAATAAAACTGACCGCCATTCGTATCCGCAAACTCAATTAGAAACAAGCTTTTTCAGTTAAAGGATCCTGCGGAGCCAATTGAACAAAACAATTTAGTTTATCTAATACCCTGATGGAATATACAAGTCAAAATAGTAGTAGGATGGGGTCAGTCAAACTAACGGTGCACAAAAGTTTGGCGAAATCTAGATTAGTTGACCTGATACTAAGATAAGAAGTCTGGAAAATAGATCAGCTAGATCACTCCACATGCGATAACCCACAACCATACAACAGGATGGGATAACATGAAAGTTTTAAAATCTAATGTGATACGGTAGATGGAGAGGTTGATAACTTAAGCTTTATTTGTCGAATCAACTATGAATAATTGCGGTAAGAATGATTCAACACCCATCCACCCGGACATTTGGAAAGATCTACTACCCCTACGACAAATAGGAAGGAAGAAAGATGCCTATGAATTTCTAGAGTCGTGTAATTATAGCTTATGTGATTAAGAACAGTGAATAAATTGTGTTTGAAGCGAGTTGTCATCCAGTAAATAATACTGTTTCACTGTGTGTGTGTGTGATATCTAATAAACAAATTAATATGGAATTGTATACTACCACAGTGTCCAAGTTTAACACATATATGAAGGGAAGTTAGTAGTTATCCATTCTTAAAACAGAGATCTTCTTCTGCACAAGCAGAGTCCTTATATGTGTTCTGCCTCTTAATGTAGATATTATAAGAATAAGCTTTACTGTGATTATTAAATATCATCCACTGTTCTGTGTTATTATAATTTCAGGTGATAAAGCGGCATTTCGATCTTTTGCATTACTTGCTACGCAATGCAGAACTCACATTGAGTGTTGAACGTGCAAAAGCGCTGTGGGAGACATTAATTGGTCAGACACGAGCTGCACCATTTGACCGTGAAGTAAGTATTATGCCCTGGCAGTTGAAAAAAAATAATGTTACATATTACACTGTAATGACGTGGCTATTATATTATATTGCATTACGACAATCGTAATGAAAGTTTCGTTTGGATTGTTGGACAAAATAAGCGATTTATGAATCATGAAGCAGATAGGTGTTCACTACTAAATTCACTTTGTTTGCTTTTTTATAAAGATTGCTGTGAAAAGCTTCTTTTGTGTACCTTTGACTAGTTGACTTGGGCATTCGATTGTCTACCGGTGAATCAAGGATTTCAGTTGTGCTGCAATAATCAGTCACTTGTAACAGCATCACCACTTTTGCTTTCGAGGTATTGCTCTCAGTACTTGGCTGTGGTTTTGGATAGGTGTTGCCTACTTCTGCTGGAACCCCGTAATAGCTGAGGACAGGTATCGGTTGCCATGGTCTCGACAATTCCTTTGGCACAGCTAAATGATATCGCTGCAATTGTCTATAATGTGTGGTGGCTGCAGGTACCACAGAACATAGTAGTTGGCAGCTAGTGTTGTACAATTTCACAGAAACCCTGTCGCTGGGTATAAAAATTGGGGAAGCGGCCAGCAGTGATCGACAGTCGATGAAGCCAAACGCAGTCACCTATTGAATAGGTGTGTCCTGTAGTTAGATGGTCATGAAATTTCACCACTATCTATTTTGGGAACCAAAATTTTTCAGATCAACACAATATATGGTCTGCTTAATACTATAAATGATAATCAAGAAAGTCAGTGTAAGTGCGTGAAATTGACTGATATGATGGGTGGCATACGACTACTCATCGTAATTAGTCGGTAGTATATAGTTCGACGTCAAAGAATAGTGTAAAATGGAGATGTTCCGGGGAAGTTGTATGCTCAACTGGGTACCGAAGTGATGGCTATTAAGTAGTGTAATAAATAGGTGGCTGGTTGACGTTAGTTCACAGTTCGAAATAAAATAACACTGTGTAACACTTCCTGTAGTTGTGTGTTTACAAGGCTAACTGATACCAGTTCATTATAAAAATTGTCTAAAATTTGAGTCAACCAAGGACAATCGAAAGCAACAGGTTCGTAGAAGAAGCATCCAGAAAAGATAGGGCTTCAGGTGAACATAGAGAAAACAGAGGTGATGAAGGTTCCTAGCCAACACCAACAGCTACAACAACAACAACAGACAACAATCAGCATAAATGGGAGGAACCTGAAAGAAACAACCTCCTTCACCTACCTGGGAAGCATCGTTTCAACTACAGGCGGACGGAACTGATGAGGATATCAAAGACAGAATCGGAAAAGCAAGAAAAGCTTTCATTACTCTTAAGTCTGTGCAGAAGTCAACAGCACTACTCAGCATGATTATAATAAGATCCGGATTTTCAACTCCAATGTGAAGCCAGTCAGTGCTACTATACGGATCAGAGACTTGGCGCTTCACAAAGAGCACCTCAAACAAACTACAAACCTTCATCAACACTTGCCTTTGCTAAATACTCAAGATCAGATGGCCGGTCAGAAAAGATCAGCAACAGCGACCTCTGGCAATGAGCGAATCAACCAGGAACCGATTGTGAAACAAGTAGGCAGGAAGAAATGGGGATCGATTGGCCATACTCTGAGGAAACCATCAAGTGAGTGACATCACTAGACAAGCCATTGCTCGAGTGGAACCCGGAAGGGAAGTGGGCGGCGAGTTGGTCGTCAGTGCAAGAGTGATTTGGAGGAGGTCATGTGAAGATGAGATGAAAGCGTGTGGGCAGACTTGGTGCCAGGTGAAAACGTTGGCAGAGAACCGAACGCAATGGAGACACGCGGCTGAAGCCCTATGTTCCTCTAGGAATTAAACAAACTAATAATAATAAGGACAGTATTTCACTCATTCGGCTTGTATACATACATTTATACATTTTACTTAAAACATCTCACTTTCTAACAGCATACCATTTCTTTTTTCTCATAACACTTTACTACAATCTGATAAACTCTAGCAAGCATTCATTTGGTTCTCGTCATGCTTAAATTTTCTTGACACTGATGCTCAAACATTCGTCTTCACAAAAGTAATTTTGAAATCAAATCCTGCGTTATTTCGTTCAATCGCTGGTAAGTTTTTCTGTACTGCATTCTGTTAAGTCTGTTGTTTATTTTACAATCGTTTTCCTACTATATTTAATTTGGTCTTAGGAGGTAGATTCCGTAACGAGGCAAAATCTTGCGGACAAACATTGAATGTCGAAAAGTTCTAGAGAAGGCTACTTCTTCGATGCACGCCAACAACGCTGATAAGGGTGGGCCTTGGAACCATGAGGTTTCAACAGCAAGCATGCTACTGTTCAGTGTACTGATTCTAATCCACTGACCCATAGAACCCGCCTTTACCACTTTGTGATCTAGCTCTATCAGCGTCGTATTCACTTAGTGATCAGTTTTTTCCACAGTTGGCTTAATGTTTCCCACCGGCCCGTACTTTTCATTACTAACTCCAGGAATCCTAAATCACCAATGAACATAGGGTTAATATTAGGATTTTATGATTGTAAGAAGTCTACTCGGTGATGATGTTAGGTGTTTATGGTGCAGCTTTACAGAACTGTAGAATTTGCGAAAACGTGTGTCACTGGATTCCAAGGAAGTACCTAACCAGTGACATGTTTACGATATGTTCATCTTGTGGTTTTCAGTAATATTATTCACGAGGTCATAGTTGGGTGCTGTTCACAGTCTAAAAAACCTGGAACAAAGTTGCTATCTAGTGCTGTGTTTTTCAATGGTTCAGGTGATGTTAGTTCATGACAACTTCTAAGCTGAAATTCATCCAATTCTTACTAGGATTTCAGTGACATATCACCCTTATGATTTTGTTTACTGATCACAACCATTTTGTTTATTTCAAGTTGCACTATGGTTTGTTAACAATTAGAGAACCATTGAAAACCAGGGAGTACTGGACATAAAATTACGCACCCACTACACAGGTTCAAACCCAGGACGTTCAGGTTACAAGCTGAACTCATAGATTGTTCAACTACCTGAACCTAACTCAACAGCTACCAGCCCATGAATTTTAACCTGTACCTATTTGTGATATATTTAGCGCAGCTGGCACCGGCTAATGTCATCAGCGAGTATTTATCCTCACGCCCGATCTAGTGGACCTCACTGGTTAAAATTCACTGGCCACTGATTCAAGTCCCAGTAACTGCATCGTCAACGAACTTGCCTTGTGACAAGGAAGTCCTGAGTTCGAACCCCAGTGAGTTCATACTTCCGAAGAGCTTCGTACTAGGAGGAAACTGCTGTCCGATACTCCCTGTTATCCCAGTGGTCCTCTAACTGATATCAATCCGTGATCAAATTTGAAACAAACATTTTTTGTTTTTATTTTTCATTTACCCCTAGTAACTCACTTATACACCAACACACACACACACACAACCTTCTACCTTCTCTTTGTTTATGATATTATCCTTCATCCATATGAAGTTTACATGTAGTATGATTAAATTTCACTATGAGCATTAATTACTGCTATGTATTCGTCTTTCACTTTTAAAGTCTGATGTTCAGTCTAAAGTTGGATTACTGTACGCATATATAACTATGTAGAAGTTATCGAAAAGAATGTGCTTTGTTCAACAGTCAGTATTTTACTATTTCTAATGGACTTTTCCAATCAACTGGGATAATAAGCTTTAATATTCCGTTTTTAGTATGGGTTGTTTTAATGGTCAGAAGCGATACAAATACAACTTTACTGCTGTTCTGTTTTAAAATTCGTCGTTATTATTATTATTACTATTATTGCTATCCGTTTTGTTCCCTTCTCCTCTTAGGGTTTGAATGCTTTAAAGGCTTTTTTGAGAAAGTCAATTTAAACGAAGGTCGTATGAAACAGGTGGCAAAATCATGGGTAAGCTAATTTCTTGTACATTTTTTGTTTTGTCTTTTTTGACATTGTAACTATTCCGCCTACTTTAGTGCTCTGATGTATTCGTTAAAGCAATACTATCTATTAAGATGGGGTTTTTTGTGCCATTTTCAGTTTGGCTAGGTACATAATGCCTTAAATCACCTCATACACGAAAAAAGTCCTGCTACAGACGTACACTGTTCATATCTTTTCGTATTGACAGGTAAAATATTCTCCTTTTGGAAGAACCTCCTGATTTGCCATTTAACACAATGGATTATTGTTGCTATTCGATGATTAGAGACAGTTGACAGGGACAGGAAGCCTTTGACCTCTGTTTCGTGTTTGTTGGCTTGTTTGGTCAGCAAGGGAGTATCTACAATCTTGGAGGAATAGCTCATGTCCCTTCTGAGGTTCGAACCCGAGTCACCTAGTGCTGAAGTTACAGAGATTACCAATGTTATCTAGTTGATGCATTTCGTTACGAACCAAGATCACTCTGGAAGATCACTGGGACACAGGAAGCATTTGACAACTGTTTCATCTTATTTTGGGGGTCTTCAGCGGTGTGAATCCACGACCCCATTAGAGATTGAACATTGAATCGTTAGGTTACGATACCAGGCTTGTCGGACGTTCAGGCAATTGGACCAGAATCCAACGAGCCATGGATTCTATCTTTGTCAACTCTGTCCAATGCTTCCTTGTTTTCAACAACCTGTCTAACTGGATGTTGGTTCGTGATGAAATCCAACAGCTGTAATTGAATTATTCCAAATGCCCACAAATCCTATAATCTAAACACACAGATTTGTTTGTTCACATACACACTCTCTCTCTCTTTTCTTCAAATATATATGTAGCATGTTGAACGACCTGATTTAATTGGATTAGAATTTCTATGGGATTTATATCTAGCCCTACCATCATCTGATGCAAGTCTAGACGGTGGACATTCAAATCGTCCTGTGGAGGCTGAAGCGACGTCCACCGTTATCGATGCAACAACTGGAAATAAGTCAAGTCTTGGTGATTCGTCTAAAAATCAGTCTGTACCTGCTGTAATATCATATTCAGTGTCGTTGTCGTCATCATCAACATCGTCGGCAGCAACGTCAGCATCACCTTCTACAGCATTATCAATCAGTGCAAAATCAACACCTGATGCAGCAAAACCAGCTAGATTACTTTTATTAAATGTTCACTGGGGCCAGTTAGCACCAAAGCTAAGACGTGATCCAGAATCGTGTTATCGCCGTTTCTTTGATACATGCAGACGTAGACTAGAAGTATGTAAACAAATTACTATTATCATTATTATGATTATTATGATTCATTTCTTTGCACCATGAGTGGAATGTTCTGTGTTCGATTGTCGGTGTGGTCATTGGACGAAACAGAACTTTCAACGGTCCTTTAACTGACACTGAACTGTGGTTACACTTGAAACCAGTCACATCCCTACAAACTAACACCTAAATCAAATAATAGTGACAATAACATTTATTTGGCTTATATATATATATATATATATATATATATATATATATATATCCTGCTGTGAATAGCCTTCACCCCAAGCGTGTTCCATTCCACACCTATAGTGAAGACAGCCACACACTTAAATGTTATATGCCCTCTTCACTTTCAGTTAGCCAATCGTAAATGAATAGCGAATATTTTTCTTAAAAAAAGAACGACAAACAATGGCTTAGGATGTACTTGTATTTAGTCCTCTTCTGTATTCAATAATATATATATATCCAAAATGAAAGAAGGACGAAATGGAAAATCAAAGTTATCAGCAAGAAGTGTATAAGGCAAAACTATTTTTGCTTTGTACAGTGCGAAGTTGGTAGTTACTGTAACTAGTTTTGGCTGTGTTACCTAGTGAGGATTACATCAAAATCTGCGTTAACATCAAAATCCGTTGTGATTAAGGCAAACTAATTACCTCAGTTATAGTTGTCTGGTGATCTATGCGTGCAGTTCCTTAATTGGGTGGGTGGGGGGGGCAGTTTTCACAAGGACAAATGTGTCCAGTTAAGTCGTTTGCATTGTTAAAAGTGACAGGAGGTTTCTTCTGCATAGTAGATACGCCTTTGTAATAATCGTCAGTAAGTAAATCACATAACGAGAAAGTTCAAATTCCAAGTCAATAAAAATTGATCAATACAACAGATGTAAATCAACTACCAGTCATGAAGATGGTTGCTAGGAGACATAACTCTATCGTTCATGGGGAATTTAAATCAGTTTATTTTGTGCTAAAACTTGTTATGAAAATGTTGTCCAGAAGGACGACGAAAGCTCCTCAATTAAACCAGCTAGCTCAGAGAAAACAACTAATTGCAAATAGTCAGTAAGCATATCACGTAGGTCAAGCGGAGAGTGTTTTCGTTTATTTCTAACAGTAAGTCTCCGGTTTTGTTCTATAAGACTGGGCATGAATTCGATAGATGAGCTGGCAACAGGAGTATGAAAATTTATATCAGTAAGAACTTTTGAAACCTTACATAGAAAGTTAATGAAAGCAGGAATAAAATTTCCATTCAAATCCGTAAAAATGTCGGTTAAATGGTCCTGTGGAGCTCATTAGACGGAATCATTTGGTTTATCTAATCCCCTGCAATGATTGTGAGGTCAACCATATAGATCAAATCGGTAGGATGGCGTAAATTAGATTAGCGCGTCAAGATCTACATTAGTTGACCTAAATAAGCTAAGATATGTAGAAAATAGCTAAACTATGGCAATACATTAAAGTACACACAAGCATACAGTGGGATCTAACATAACAGGATGGTGGGGAGAGATTGATAACAGAAGCTTTACTTATCGAATCTACCGAGAATAGGTGAATAAGAGCGATTCAAGATCTGTCCCAAATATCTGGAAAAATCCACTATCGCAAAGACAAATGGGAAAGAAGAAAGAGAACTATAGGGTTCTGAAGTTGTGCAATTATAACTGATGTGATTATGAACAATAAATGGATTGTATTCGTAACGCGTTGTCATCCAGTAAATAATATCGTTTCACAATGTGAGTGATATATTTTAATAAACAAATGATAATGGAATCAAATGCTACTACACGGTCAGTGTTTTATATATGTATATTATAGTTGTCATTAATTTTATTTATTTGGTGTGAAGTGTCACACCACTGTCTTCATTTTTCAGGTGATTTATTAAACCGCTTATGTGACACACCGACATACATTTTTCTTACCAGGGAATAATATCGCTGACCTAGGAAATGCGGATGATCTAATCATTCTAGGTGAAGACGCTGACAAAACGCAGAGTCTTCTAAGCACCTTCAGCAGAAATCTTCGAATGTTTGACATGTGATTCGCTCCTGCTGTCAAATGTGTAACATGATGCTACAGGACTCGACTCGACTATATCGACTCCTGGCTTAAAGATAAGCAGCAGTGAAGTGGTAGAGAGTGTTGACCGATTCACTTATTTGTGGGCTTGCTTTAACCGGCACCAGCAGGTTGATTGCCGACGAAATATCAACACGGATACCGAAGGTTGTTTGGCACATGCCGAATTACGCCGTGAATTTTGGCTGACAGTCGACCAGAGGACGTTTATACCGCCAAGTAGCAGTTCGCTCCGTCCTCCTTTATGGATAGATGTGATGCATGGTCACTGAGAATGGAAGACATGGAAGGGTTGGCTAACTGTCTTCGACCATAAGTGTCTGCGTTCTTTCTTCCTTGTTGGATGGTATAATAGAGTGAGGAATATTGAAGTTAGGCGTCGAATGCTAGAAAAGGAGGGGAAGCCAGTTTATGGGACTGTGAAGTCACATCGATTAAGATGGTTAGGACATGGAGGATTTTCTAATACATTAAACTGAACTGAATTAAACCAAACACCGAACTGATAGTGATGAATGCACTTGTATTCGTTTTTTACCTTCAAATGACAAAGGTCGGTGTAATTGAGAATCTGAATTAATTTTCGGTGCTTGTCGGGACACAATACCAGGTGTTTTCAGATAACAACACTGTATCACTGACTATGAAGCTAACTGATACCAATGCCTTATTGATAGGTCCCAACAAAAATATGAAACGTACGCCTATGACTCCTTAATCTGTTTTGATCAGCACATACTCACACACACACACACACAAACAAAGCTAGACAAGTTACCAGTGAACAGTCACTTTTAGTTCTACATTCACAGATTTCTGCTGAAGGTGTTCAGAATACTGTGCATTTTGTCAGAGTCTTCACCTAGGAGGATTATATCATCTGCATATTCTAAGTCGACGAGTTTATTCCCTGGTGGTAACCAGTCAACCCCGGAGTCGCTGAAATGAAAGTAGGGTGGCAAAGATAGAACTTCTTCAAGTGAGTATAAGAAGGATGGAGGTTATATAATCAACAATGACAACAATCATTACTCACCATTAACACGAGAAATCTAAGCGAAGTAATCTCTCCTACATACCCAGGCAGGCAGCATCGTTTCAACTACAACCTGCACGGATTAGGATGTTAAGGGCAGGCCGAGAAAAGCAGTTTATATTTTCTGTAATCTAAAATCATTGTATAAATCCAGATCTTCAACACAGGTGTCAAATCATTAATGATGGCGTATACATTATTCAGAGACTTGGTGCTCGCATTACCAAAATCATTTCCAACAGGCTATTGCAGACTTTCATCAACACATGTTTTCACTGGATACTGAAGGTCAGATGGCCAGTTGACCAGAAAGGATAACCAGCAAGCAACTCTGACAACGAACCAACCGACAATCTGTCTTCCTACAAATATGTCCAGAGTTGGGTGTAGATCTGAGGGTATGATGGAAGAGTCCGTGTAAAGAGGTGAGGCGAGCTTACGGGCGATTGCAGAAACCAGCTAAAAACGGTATTAGATGATAAGGCGAAATATGGATGTTCTACTAAAGCCCCCTTCTTCCAATCCCAGTAAAATATGCTGGTGTGATTTCTGTGGCTAAAAGTGGACTTTTTTAATCACTGTCAATAAGGTGCATCTAGCCAGTACACGAAGATGTTATTTAAATCACATGGCTAATAAAAAAAATCGTGATGGCTGTATTGACGTATTCTTTATCTAGACGCTTTTCACTTATATTCCACCTCTTTTATTTTGCTTTGTTATCCTGTGTTGCAAAAATCTGTCGAAATTTGAAGTGATACATCACTGTGTTGATTTCTAGCATCAGTACGTCTGCCTGCCTGCAAAGGTTTCATTTCTGACTGCGATTATTGAAGCTTTTCCTGTTTATAATAAGATAATATTGATTACAGAAGATAATTATATATATATATATATATATATATATATATATATACAAACCAAGTTCATTTTTAACGGTTTGAAAAAATTTAGGCATTGGGTATATGATATTCATTATAATAAACAAAAAGATATGGTTTTTCATTCATTGGGAAATACAAAAACCTTTATTATGATAATAATATATATTCTATTAATAAAATGCATTACTGGACAATGAAGGACCCTGGATAACTTTATAACTGAATTTCCAGAAAAGCTTGGGTATTTCGGTTGAAATTTATGTACATTTTCTGATTGATGAAGTTGTAAGGCGACTGAAAGATGCCACATCATCCGTCTCTAGTCATCTGCATACAATTCGTGTTTAAGACGACAGCTTGCTAGTTTACTCGTTGTCTTCATGTTTATTTTGGCGCTCTGTCGTCAGAAACCTTTCATCTGCGTTTTTGATTTTATTATTGTTATTATTATTATTACTTTAGGCTAATTATGCTTTGGGTCGTGGTTTAGTCACTGAATATGGTGTCACATCAGTCCTGGCAGAAACTGGTGAACTGTTAGCTGCACTGATGTTGGGCATTGGGCCGGCGACAAAAGCAAAACACTGCAGTCGTACTGCAGCTAAATTAGCTATACGCCGTTTACTCGGATTAGTTTATGCTTTTATTCAGTCAGTTGAGGTGAGTAGTGCATTTTATTTTGTGCATTTTTTAATTCACTCTCTTTCTCTCTCGTCAGTTAAGCCAGGGTTTAGTATAAAGCGTCAGTTGGATCATACGATTGTTTTACTCTTAACTGGAAAGCGATTTACAGTTTGCTAAATTCAAGGTGACATTTTATCACGGTGTTCTTTGTGGAAATGGAAATCGTCCATATCAAAGTGTGTGTTTGACCTGTTTGATACGATAAATAGTAATCACGATTGCAAGCATGAACACATGACACTATATGCCGCTGATTGATTGACGTGGGGAGTTGTGCATCACTCACGCTAACCCCAGCAATGCTTGCTAGCCAGATCGGAGTGGGTTACACACTGGACTATCGAGCTTATCAGCGTTGTGCCTAATTTAACTAATCTCAACCGAAATGAACAGAACGGTTGTCTGGTAGGTAGATCACTTCGATGGTCTGGCCATCAAGTACTACTGGTTACTCTTATTGACATCAAGCTACTCATCTCAGTTAATAACTAGTATATACTGTCATGCATTTGTCATACTGCTTTTAGCTTTTCGATACACTCATAGCGACCCTATTATCTGTTCAGCCAATCTCAGAGTCTAATTTCTGAACTGTTACAGTAAACTCTACCGAAGAATATGTTATGTACCTCAGGTAAGTGTAATACAGATTTCGTGGTTTTGAGATAGTATTAATTATTTTGAGTAATATAGGGAGATTTCGACTACATCTTTGTCGAAAAAATATAAGATAATAGCTACACAAACACTTACGAAAATACTCTTCACCTCTGGCTTATCACTTCTGGAATCGCAAATCCCACAGTTTAGTTGAAAGTAGTGTTTAGAGCTGAGTGCCTTGGTAGTTCAGAGGTGGGATGCTGGTCAACCACGCCAATCCACTGATGAATTCCACTTAGACGGTAGGCAGTGTAGCTCGATGAAGGGGAAAGGTTGGGTGTTGTTCTAGCAATACCACCGCACAAAAGCATCACTATCGCTACTGAAACTTCGAAGTTTATGGCTTGAAGAACCAGATTTAAAAACAGAATTTCAGAAAAGAGGTATTATTAGGGATAGTGTCATCAAGTGAAACATCATTAAACACATTCCATCTTGTGTCACTGAACATGTTTCTAAGATGATGTACGTTACATCTGTGAACAACTTTCTTAGACAAGTTTTAGAAGGCTTTGCTGTGTAATTTTCCGTAGATTTTGGGTAAAACTCGTACAATATAGTGATCAGAATTGAAGAGCGGGGCTCTTTTATGAGCTTTGTATATTCCAGAATCATTTATAAATACTAAATCAAGTGGAAGTATCTTGTCGAGTTGGGAAGTTAACAACATTTTCATGGCTCAGCAATGTAATAAAACAGCAGTCGCTGGAGTTGAAGTCATCAGTCACTATAGATAAGGAGTTACCAAACGAAGCAGCAGGAAAAATAGTGAATTCATCAGCGAAGATAGATAGTTCTGAGGGACTGCAACAAGGTGTGATATAGATATTTGTGACAAAAATGAAGCTATACCTAGATAAGTGTTTAGGTCGACATTTTACAGTTATACAATCAATATTGTCATTTGAGAATTTGAAGCTGACGTTGTTGGCAGTAGACCACTGAGAATTAACAAAAGTGGCAACACCACCACCTCTCTTCTTCTTTGAACTGCATTGGTCCTGTCTGTACATTGTGAAACCACTTAAAAAGACTAAATTATCGTCATACGAACCGTGGTGCCAAGTTTCTTGAAGAGTGATTACACCAGTATTACAATATACATTTGAGTATAATAGAGAATGCAAGTAGTTAATCTTGTTCGATAATGACCTGCAATTTGTGCTCATAATCACAGTAACAGTCATCAAATGCATTGGAGTAGGCTTTAAAGCTCGTTGCCATCCACCATGAAGCTTTTTCTTAAGTTTATAAGAAACTAGTAAATCAGCCGGTTGGAAACGTTTTAAGTAACCGCGAGAGTAAACAATACGATTAGGACACATAATTGAATAATTAAAACAAAATAAATCCGAAGAAATAAATGCAGTATGTCGGATGGAAATTTTGGTAGCCCAAGGTTTAAGCAATCCACTGTTTAACAAATGAAGAAATCATTTCATGCATACCTTATCTTCAGTAATGTTTTGTTGTAATTCTCAAATTCAGGACTTTGGATCATGTTTTGGTTTTCTAAAATAGTCCATATATATATATATATTCTTTTGAGATTAATATAATTTTTTTTACTTTTAAACGTGTATAGGATGAAATGTTTGGTTCTCGTACTCAACATCCGAACTGGAAACCTCATGGATGTACATATCGAGGTTGGGATATGCCATTGCTTGTCAAAGTTGAAACTGTTAAACAAGGCCAGTCGTCTCTTCCAACTAATAATCCTTCGATTTGTTTAAATCAAACTGGGAATAAATTGTCTTCTAGTAATGCTAATCTGTTAGGCGACTCTTATCAGTATTCAGATCTTAGCGATGAACCAATATTACTATTGGCGCATTCAAATGAACCGCTAAGTTCAATCAGAGACAGAGCTTATCTTGCCTCAAGTGCATATTTATTCGCCTTTCAATCTCAGTCGAATTATCGACAAGACAATAATATCTCTCCATCGTGGACAGCAGCTACACTATCACTTGAAAAAGCACCAGAACCAAAAGTCTGCTCATTGTCTTCATCTTCAAAAGAACCGGTTGTGAAGACTATGCTTTCACACGACATGTCAAGTCAACGTAATGAAATTAAATCAGCTGGTAGAGAGAAATCATCACAGCCACTAGACACTGTTTTAAACCGAATGCCTATTGGTGAACTTGGATTTCAGGTAACTTTACGTTTGATCACCGTTCGCCTAAATCACATAATAATAATAATAATGATTTACTTTATTCCAAAAACAGTACTTGTGATACAGAATGGAATTTTCAGCATTAATCACAATATTGCATCTAATTTCCTCAAATTATAAATAAAATTAATCACAGAAAATTTTCCACATTTACAATAGAGGTAGTGTCAAAAACATGCAGCATATAAAATGGAAATAGCAATAATAATGATAACAGCTAGGGTAATAATAATAATAATACAAGTGAAAATTACCGTGGGCTTGTTTCACACAGTATTGGCAATGTGGTATAGAAATCCTAACATGTTTAAAAATATTGAATATAATGTTCTTTCTACATGATATGGTGAAGGAAAAAACATAGATTACAGCCGTCATGGAGATAAGTTGGTGTTTGCAATTATGAGAGTAAAACAGAGAATTAACAGGACCATAAATATAATAGAAGTAATAAAAGTAAAACTTGAAGGTATATAAGATGGATGGATGGAGGAAATTGTTTATTTACTAGATGAAAGAAGGTTAGTTAATTCTTGCCTGACATTTTTCATCACATAAAATACATGCCAAGTATGGTATCATAGACTTCTTATACTTAGACGTGCGAGCATACAGTTTTCTGAAGTTACTCCTTGTTCTACCTGAGGAGATGCAAGGTGAAAGCTGAGGGTAAAGCGGATGCTCCAAGTCAGACAAAATCCCTTTAGCAAATTTATTGCACGAAGTCAAATGCCTATCGACAACGACGTTAACTATGTGGTCCACTGGGACACCACTCACTCTATTGACAGTCTTCAGTATTCTACGAATTGTGACATAGTCTTTTTTAAGCAAACCAGGAAAGAATAAGGGTGAACAATAAAGAAGAATAGGTAGGATGCAAGAGTTTATGAACTGTAAGAGGAGTGGTTGAGTTATACCCGAGTGTCTTAACTTCTTAATGTAAAATGTCAGGCGGAATATTTTACTGGAGATAGCTAAGACATGGGAAGACCAGGAGAGATCAAAAGAGAGAATGAGTTCAAGATACTTAATTTCTGATTTGATTCCTATATCATTGTCGTCAATTTTACAAGTGTCATGAGAATCGATGACTTCTTTTAACTGTCGTTTACATCTTAGGCTGAAATCAACAGTTTGACACTTAGAAGGATTCAGTTTAAGACCGTTAGACTCAGACAATTTGCTGACTTCCGATAGAAAGCTATTTATTTTAGTACATCTGATGAGTTATAACCATTCTCGGATATATATATAGTTCCTAGAGGAACATAGGGCTTCAGACACAAGTCTCCATTGCCTTCGGTCCTCTGGCAATGCTTTCACCTGGCTCGACGTCTGCCGCCCACATACTTTCATCTCCTCTTCACATGACCTCCTTCATGTCATCCTCGCACTGAATACCAACTAACTAGCCACTTCCCATTCGGATCCCACTCGAGAGATGGCCTGACATGTGATGTCACTTGATGGTTTCCTCAGAGTATGGCCAATCCATCTCCATTTCTGTCTGCTGATTTGTTGCACAATCGGTTCCTGGTTGGTTTGCTCCCAAAGATCCCTCCCTGTTGCTGATCTTTTCTGACCGGCCATCTGATCTTGATTATTGAGCGAAAACAACTGTTGATGAAGGTCTGTAGTTCGTTGGAAGTGTCCTTCGTGACTTGGCGCGGAGCCAAGTCTCTGATCCGTATGTATAGTAAGTAGCACTGACTTCACACTAGAGTTGAAAATCCGGATCTTATTTTCCATGCTGAGTGTTGATCTCCACACAAACTTGAGAGTAATGAAAACTTGTCTCGCTTTCCCGATCCTTGCTTTGATATCCTGGTCACTTCCGTCCGCCTGTAGTTGAGACGATACTTTCGAGGTGGGTGGGCAGATAAAAGAGGTTGCTTCTTTCAGATTATTTCCACTTATGCTAGCTGATTGTTGTCTGTTGTTGTTGTTGTAGTGGCTGTTGCTGTTGGCCAGGAATCTTCATCATCACCTCTGTTTTCTCTATGTTCATATGAAGGAAGTTCTAACTTTGGTGCTTCATCTGCCAACTTGTTGCTTTTCACTTTGTGAGAAATCAGACTTATATTATCCGTGAAATATATGAATATATTTATTCATATGAATAACTGAGTTATTCAGTATCTTACATTTCGAGGTTAAATAAAACTGTAAAGAAACCTTAATTTATCCACATAGCCCTTAGGTAGCAATTCTCTTTCCTTAGTGTAAAAGTTATTTTTGTATTTCCCAATGAATGAATGAATAACAAAACGATATTGTTGTTTTTGCTGACGTTTCACTATTTAATGCTGCCAACAGACTTATCAAATTACTATTAAACCAAAATTTACAAAATTTCAGCTTATATAATATAACAACTTAATCATCGTTCATCAGCATGGGGTAGTTTTTACATTGTCAAGTTGGCCAAACTGAGATTTTCCTAAATTCTGGTTTAATAATACTTTGATACAGCTGTTAGCAGCGGTATTAAATAGCTAAACGTCAGTGAAAACAACAATATCGTTTTGTTGTTCATTCATTCATTGGGAAATACAAAAACAACTTTTATATCGCATACCTAATGCCCACATTTTTTCAAACTGTTAAAAATTCTGTTTTCTGCTTAGTTCAGTAGTTATATTGCGGGTAGCAGGTATTCACTTGATCTTCATTGTAATAGTACGAAACCTGGTGTTAATTATTATTCTTCCTTTTCTTAAATCCCTTATCACCTTGTTTATTTTAATTGAAATTTTATTGTTCATTGATATTACGAGTTGATCATGGATTGATATCGGTTAGAGAACCACTGAAAACCATGGAGTACTGAACAGCTGTTTCATCCCAGTCTGGGAATCATCGGCAGTACACACCCATTGGGATTCGAACCCGGGACCCTCCGGTTACAAGGCAAGCTGACTCGTATGCCATTCAGCCACTGGGACCCGATTCAATGGCTCATGAATTCTAACTATAGAAAATTAATCTGATGTTCGCTAGTGACTTGCTACAGGATGGAGTTTCCTGGAGTTCTGGTGAGATGTCGTGACCAGTGAGCTCCATCCAGATGTCACGTCTGAGGATGGATGTCCCACCGACGACATTAGTTGGGGTCATGAATTGGTAGAAGTTAGAATTCATGAGTTGACCGTTGAATCCGGTTTCAGTGACTGAGTGGTATACGAGCCAGCTTCCCTTGTAACCGGAAGGTCCTGGGTTCGAACCGTGGTGGTGGGTGCGTTCTGCCGATGATTCTCAAACTAGGATGAAACAGCAGCTATCCCGTACTCCCTGGTTTTCAGTGGTTTTCTAACCGATATTAATTCATGATCAACTCTTCAAAACATAACTAACCCTTACAAACCAAACTATAGAAAAGTTCATTGTTAAATCAAATTTGCAAGTTGGTCATCAGTTTCCAATCTACACAGTTGAATGGTAAAATTCCAATGTAGTCTTCTCTGAAAACCAAGTTACGGAGATTACAAAACAAGTAATCTGCTTGATGGCGAAAGTGGTAATCAGGAGACTGAGCGTACGCACATGAAACTATACATACTACTGATTGGTTGAGGAGAGTAGCTGGTTAACAGTCACATAGACCAGTGAGTGGTGCTAGTTAGGAATATCTAAGTGATTTAAACCCTGAACGAGTATTTCGCTTGTTCGGGGTCGAGCTCATCAACGATGCATCCGGTTTGACTAGGCTCACAGTTGCCAATTAGTTCAAACCACCCAATTTTTGGGTTAGCTGCTCGGTTGAGCCGGTGTTTTTAGATCAATTTGATGCTCTGGCTAGGAGGTACTACTGGTTGATGTGAGCTGTATACGACCGCTCATCTCAGTTAATCAGAGGTGTATGGTTTTAGGCACTTAGGTCTTAACTGTTAGTTTATTTGAAAAGTTTAGTATAAGATCAGCTTATTATGAAATATAAATAAATAAATAAATGTGTTTTCATGTTCAAACATACATGTGGATTTCGTGAAAACATACTACCTCTTCAAATTCTTAGCCTAAAGTTCTCTGTAAATATCTTTTAAGTATGTCACACTTTAAGTAAGCCTTCAACAGCGTTGACTGCGAAGTAATTCGGAAACTACTTCAACGCATTCGGCTTGCCTCAAGTCTTTATCAACTTCGTTCAACAGCTGGCTATACGACAGTGCCACGTGTCAGGTGATCCACAATGAAGAACACAGCGAGGCATTAGAAGTGAATACTGGAGTAAGACAAGGCTTATTATCACCAATGATATTCCTAGTTGTGGAGGATTGGATTCTGCGTTAGACTATGGGAAGCGACAAAACAGGAATACGTTGGACAGACAAGAAGACCATAGAGAATATAGACTTCGTGGATAGTTTATGTCTAATGTCACACAAATTGGAAGATCTAAAGGTGAAAAACACCAAACTGGCTGAAGAGGCTGCCAACGAAGACAGGAATTCAGGTGTACATGAAGAGGATGGGATTGACAAAGACAACTAACCGAAAGCAACAGCAAACAGCACCAATCATCATCGACAGGAGAAACTTGAAAGAGGTCACTTCCTGTCTTCACTTATCCAGAAAGCATTGTTCCAACCACAACCAGCTGAACGGATGAGGATGTGAAAGCCAACAAGAATTGGAAACGCAAGGTATGCCCTCATCAGTCTGAATCATTTTGGAAGTCGTCTGTACACCTCAGGATAAACAACAGGTTTCGGATTTTCAACACTATTGTTAAGTTATTTCTTTTATACGGGTCAAAAGCTTGGCGGGATCGTCACGAATAGCAGTCCCAATAGGTTGCGGACTTTCATCAACGACTGTCTTCGCTATATATTGGAGATCGGGTGGCTAGAAATAGTTGGTAACAAGAAACTATGGGACTAACTGACGAAGAACTTATTGCCTAACAAATATCCAGGAGAAAATGGAAATGGGTTGAGCACGCGTTGAGGAGACCGTCGGACGATATTGCGCGTGAAGCCGTCGCTCGAGTGGAACCCGAATGGGAAACGATGAGTTGCGCGTGTGATTCTGAGGGTAGCATGGAGGAGATAGTGCTAGACAGAGATAAGAGACTATGGGTAAGCTAAAAAGGACCGAGAAAAATACGACAAAGTGGAGATGTGTCCCACTTGAAAGCCAAAGGAACATTAATATTTTATACATTTGGCTCCCTTGATAAATTTCTTTCTCTACTGGAACATTAACAAAAACTTTATATTAGAATATATATATATAATTATTATATGCTTTAGTTCCTAGAGGAACATAGGGCTTCAGCTGCGCGTCTCCATTGCGTTCGGTTCTCTGCCAACGTTTTCACCTGGCACCAAGTCTGCCCACACGCTTTCATCTCATCTTCACATGACCTCCTCCAAATCACTCTTGCACTGACGACCAACTCGCCGCCCACTTCCCTTCCGGGTTCCACTCGAGCAATGGCTTGTCTAGTGATGTCACTCACTTGATGGTTTCCTCAGAGTATGGCCAATCGATCCCCATTGCTTCCTGCCTACTTGTTTCACAATCGGTTCCTGGTTGATTCACTCATTGCCAGAGATCGCTGTTGCTGATCTTTTCTGACCGGCCACCTGATCTTGAGTATTTAGCAAAGGCAAGTGTTGATGAAGGTTTGTAGTTTGTTTGAGGTGCTCTTTGTGAAGCGCCAAGTCTCTGATCCGTATAGTAGCACTGACTTTACATTGGAGTTGAAAATCCGGATCTTATTATAATCATGCTGAGTAGTGCTGTTGACTTCTGCACAGACTTAAGAGTAATGAAAGCTTGCCTTGCTTTTCCGATTCTGTCTTTGATATCCTTGTCAGTTCCGCCTGTATACTTTTTTTTGTATACAGGGTTGTATTGACGAATTGCCAGAGCCTCCACCACACGCAAATGTCGAAACCTGACTCCCTTCGCACCATTTGGCCTCACCTTGTAGATAATCTCGAAAGACGACTCTGGTGGAGCTGTGTGGCTTGAGTTCAGCAATTGCTCGAGAACTGAGCTAATAATTGTCTTGCATTTTCCTTTTGCTAACCATGCCGGAATAATGTTCAAAGATGCGTTTGGAATGTGTGCAATTTGTGCAGGCAATATAACTAGCTCCACACGAGCAGGTGAATTTATCAGCACACATTGAATTGGTTCAAAGTGGCAGTTTATCCTTCACATATCCATTGATCATTTTGTCGGCCGTAGAACTCCGTATACAGAGAAAGTTCTTCCAGTCTCTTATGCTACCTTGGTCTTAACATCTTCAGTAGTCATTCGTGGTGAAAAAATCTTGTTTTCTTAAATTTCCAATTCTACCCTTAGTTTGCCTTTACTTTAATAATTAATTCACTATTATCACTCTCATATATATTTCGATTTTATGTCCTCTATTTAACTTTCTACAGGTTGGTCGTCATTTAATCGTTCGATTTTATGCAGAGTCGAACAGTCGTTCACGTAGTCGGATCAGCAATACAAGTGTTGTCTCTTCTGTAGCCACACCACTCCAAGGAATGTCGAATAACTCCCTGTATAGTAGTTCATTTTCATTGGCTGGTGCTTATTTATCTACACTGGAATTAACAAATGAAGGCTTAAATAATCCTACTAATACTGTTTCTAACAGGTATACTTTAGCACACGATGAATCAACTGGACTGTTAAGTTCTTTCAGAAAACGTTTAGAAATTCCATCTATCGGAAGTAATCTAATGTCTAGAGGTTCATCAATTCTCAGTTTAAATGCAAAACAATCATTGGTAGATTTGTCGGTTGACTTGTCGAATACAAATCAGTCGGTGTCAACGAATACTTCAAGTGTCAATACTGTTCTGCCAAGCATATGCTTAGGTCAAGATTCAGCAGTTTATGAACTTCTCTTTGAATTAGCTGAATCAGAACTATTCTGTCTTAATTCACAGTCAGGGAAAAAGCTCCACAGTTCTTCTACAGGAACAACATCTGGTGCATATTTTTCTTCAACATTCAGTTTTATTCATCCTGTACGCTTATTGCTAGCCTGTTTGCCTACATTTAAATCACTTCGTTATGGACGAAATGGTAGTGGAAGTGTGCATTCACAATATAATCTAGTGTGTAATCCATACACACTACTGAATTCATCGCCTTATCGTGTTCTCTACAAACTACAAGTAAGTCTAGTGTTGTTTTCTCTTATTTGTGATTTTCTCGTGAAACTTATATCATTTTGACATATACTCTGAAATCAATAGTGTTACTAAAGTGTGCTCCGACTGCACTTCCAACTCCTCAGTAGTCTGAATCAAAGATCAAAAGATACAAATAGAGCTAAGATAGAGCTCCGGGATCTCTCTCTCTCTTTCTCTCAGTGTTGATGATGTAGTGCGGGGCAGATTGATAGGAAGCAGCCAAAACTCAGATCAAAATTTTAAGTCAGTGGTTAGGGGAGAAGTGTTTATTCCTCAAGTATGGATTTAGCTCACGTTTTTGACGTGAAATAACCTCATTGGATAATTTGTTTAACCCTAGAGGGCTTGCCAACCAATCAGATTTATTCAAGTATGAAAAATTTCCATGTAATGTGTTCTAAGATCACTAATTCAGCAAAAAGATCTCTCCCCTTGTCTCTCTTCCTTATTAATTCACAACAAAGTGATACAGTGATATGACGTTTTCTATGTCAATTGGTAGCATGGGTCAGAGATTAATGTCAGTTACGAATAAAGATGAATCACAGTGTATGAGGTGTGACAATCAATAATCTTGTGCAGGCAATACAGTGTGGTGATGAATAGTTATAGTTATGGTTGGAGATAAGTGATGAGAAATAAGAGCAGAGTTATACATGGCCAAACCAAGTCCACTTTTAGCAATTTGGGAATTAGGTGTATGGTATTCATTAGTATCAAAGTTTCTGTATTCCCGAATGATGAATGAACAGCAAAACATTTCTCCATTTAATGATGATAGTAGACTTGTCAAATTTATTATTAAACCAGAATTGGTTCGACGGTTTCATCATGAGGTGACATCAGTTAGAGAATCATTGGAAAACCAGCCAAGGAGTACTGGATAGCTGTTTCGTCCCACCTAGTTTGGGACTCTTCAGAAGTACGCACCCACCGCCAAGGTTCGAACCCGGGACCTTCTGGTTACAAGGCCAGGAAGCTCATAGACCATTAAGTCACTGGGACCCGATCCAATCCAGCGGCCAGTCAGCCCATGAATTCTAACTTCTACCAATTCATGACATAGCGCAACCACTTCGCAATGTCTTCTTCGATGAGTTACTGCCTCATCTTCAACCTGCTGTACCCTACTAGTCAAGGCTTCACACTAGAACCCTAGGTTAACTGCCTAAATACGACCAGTCTCTAGTGAGCATTGGCTTATATATAACAAATTAATTAAGCACAATATGTTACATGATGAAATTGCTTATCACATTCGCGTTGATTTTGTGATTTCATGCGGGAAGGGGGCGCTGTTGTAACCATGTCAAATTCTTAGTCCATCATTCTTATTCAGACAGTTTGGATTCCATTTGACATAAAGGACTTCTGACATTAGACGTCTTTTGTGATTTCTGAAATTTTTTCTGGATTATTTCAATATTGTCCGAATCAATTTTATGATCGGATTCTATGGCTGATGATTTTTCAAGCTTTTCTAGTTCAAGTTAGAATTCATGAGCCATTGATACGGGCCCCAGTGGCTGAATGGTATACGAGCCAGCTTGTCTTGTAACCGGAAGGTCCTGGGTTCGAACCGCCTATAGTGGGTGCGTACTGGCGATGATTCCCAAACTAGGATGAAACAGCAGCTGTCCAATACTCCATCGTTTTCAATGCTTCTCTAACTGATATCAATCCGTGATCAACTCGTAAAAACATAACAAACCCTTACAAACCAAACTACAGAAACTATTAGATTTAAAATCCTTTGAAATGTAGTTTCTTACATGAACAAGGTTGCTTTGTAGTGTATATGATGTTTTGAAGATAAATCTGATGTCGAGCTCATTGAGTACTGCTCTTCTAATATCGTCTGATGTCTCTGCTCTATATGGAATGACAACTTTTGAGGTCCATGTTTTCGATATACATTTTCGATCATATTTAATGTCAGTGTTTATTATGTTGATGAAGTTCTTTAGGTAGTTATTTTGCCCGAGAGTCTCAGTAGTGTTTGATATTCCTTCTTCTTTTTCTTTCTCATCCGTTATCAAGGAATGCGCTCGTTCAAGGAGACTTGAAACTACTGGTACCTTTGCGATGATCGGGTGTGATGATCCGAAGTCTAAATATTTGTTGTTGGAGTGGGTTTTCTTCCTGAATATGGATATACTAAAATGTCCGTTTTCCCTCGTCTTAACTAGGCAGTCTAGAAATGGTAGTCCACCGAGTCTCATTCTGCTTTCGAAGTAAACTAGATTCTGCAAGATAGGTTATTCAGTTTCTCCAAGAACGAATTGTGTATATGTCGTATCATCAACCTATCTTTACCATATTTTAGGCGTGAGTATGCCTGAAAATATGCGAATGTGATAAGCGACTTCACTATATAAATACATTGTGTTTTTATAATTTTCAACTCATAGAAAATTCCCATTGTAACATTTAGAAAATCAAAACAAGTGATTCAGCGAAGAGACTCTTTTCAACGAATTTATCATCAAGCTGTACAGTCGTATATATCTGGTCGATAATGATCACCCTATCTCTATAGCCTCCGCCTTTAAAGTCATCTACAAGGCAAAGAGCAATCTACCTAAATCACTACGTGGCCGACTCATCTGTTGTATTGCTGAAGCTTTGGCTATCGAAACAGAAAAGCCAGATTTCTGTGTACAGAAAAAGTTCATTCAACCCCTCCAACTTTCATGGTCTTAATCCCTCTATGCTAAAATATGATAATCCCCAATCATATTTTAGCTCTACCATTTTTTTCATTTTGTCTATTCAATTTGTACACTCTTCCTTATTACATCAATTGTTTCTATTACTACTCTCACTTTGAACTGTCTCCGGTATTATTTCACTTGTTCCATTTGTCATTCGAAATCAATTCTTTTTTACAATGAGAAATTCTATGCTATTAAATTTCACACAATATTACGTAACGTTTTTGTTTTATTCGATTTGTCTACTAATCCTATAATTGCACATCCCTTTTCAAGTTCTATCCCTCCTATGAATTATTCTATATATGACATTAATCTGCTTTGCCCCTTATTGACATTTAACTATGATTATAATCACAAACATTTCAGTTTTAACTGCATTTCATATGAATATTATTATCATTATTTTATGCATTCACACCTAAGATTCAATTCCCTCACCGGATATAACTTCTTAAAAAAAACCATATATATACGACTGTACAGCTTGATGATAAATTCGTTGTTGAAAAGAGTCTCTTCGCTGAATCACTTGTTTTGATTTTTATAATTTTACACACTTATCAAATCCAAAAATTTACACCTGGTTTTTTTATCTTTACCAATTGGCCCACTTGACAACGTAAAAATTATCCCATGCTGATGATTAAGTTGTTATATATAGGCTGAAACTTTGTAAATTTTGGTTTACTAATACTTTAATAAGTCTGTTAGTGGCATTAAATAACGAAACGCCAGTTAAAACAACAATATCGTTTTTCATAAATTCATTAGGAAGTACAAAAAACTTTTATAATAATGATTTACACAGGGGTCATTATAAGATAAATCAAGAAAATTAAACTGACACTGAAGAAATGGTAGTAAAAGAGGCTGGATAAAGTATTTCTGGACACAAACTCCCTTTATAGATGGCTCCACCGTCGCTTGCGTGAAGAAGTAAGCATCATTCTTTTGACTGCCTCAACCTGTATAAATTCAAATAAATGACTCTGAGCTAGGTGTCTGCTGATACTGCTCGACTAGAAGTTCTAATGCACTTTAGAAATGATCTTTTGACTGGCCTTCTGACACCTCTGTGTGTTCAGGTGTTCATGAACGTGTCTAGGCGATGTCGTGCTGATATGACCTTTGCATTTAACTCCAAGAGAGCATGTGAACTGATTAATATTGAATAAATTTACCAATAGTGGACAAGAGCAGGTCTAGAGAAGGTGAGGTTTAGAGACATACCATCCCGATAAGAATTTCTCTGTTTTTTAAATTAATATAACTTTTTACTATTTATTTTTAGCTGCTTAGTTCCGCACTAATTCCTGTAGACTCAACTCCATGGTGGGAAACATCTCCAGGCTGTTTATTGTCACCACCGTCTGTAACTTACTTTATTAACTATCCTTTTCAATCGAAAATTATCTCACGAACTTATAAACCTATGGAACTGATTTCAATGGGAAGTAATGTAAGATCAAATGGAACAGTCAGGAGATCGTCTCATACACGTTTATCACCAGATGTAGTAAATGAGAAAGAGTCTAAGGCTGATTGGTTTCTGTCTGTTGATGCAATACACGTCAGCTCTCAAATGACCAATTCCACTTCAGCACCATCTTCACCGGTACTTTCATCACGTCGGAGTTTAAAAGTATTTTCATCTCTAGCACGTGCAAATGATGTCTTCTCATTGAAAGGCAAATCACAGAAACACGGTATGATTTTTAAATATTTTATCTTTTCTTCATTTATTAATTTATTTAATGCGTTGACAATAAAATTATTCGAATATGATTGGAAATTAATAAGGATTGTGTACATCACAGTACTAGTTATGCTAGATAAAAATTATCTTAGTGTGAAGTTAGTACGTATATATTGAACCGAATAACTCCGTTGCTGATTGATATGGTCACGTGGATAGCTGATATGAATGAGTGAACTTATACATGAGTATAGTACTGTAACAACAGAAGAAAAGAGCGACAGATCGTTTATTAAGGAAATCAACACATATTTATATATTTTCATGTACATTATTATTATAGATTATTGTTAGCAGACAAACACGGTCTTCTGATTGCTTGTTTCTCACTGAAAGTTAATCTTTCATCTCTTTGCGATTGTTTCTTGAATGTCAGATCATCTATATACTAATTGTATCCGCCTACCCAAGTCTGCTGTGACTGATTATTGAATCAGTCTTTGTTCTTATTTTTCTCACGACCAATATTGGGGACGTAAACATTGACGTAAATTACTGTCTGCCGATTTGGCTAGCAACCAGCTCTCACCACAACACTACTGAAGCAATGTAAAACTCAAATGAAATGCTAAACACGACTGTTTATCCGTGGTGTCTTCCGTTTTCACTGAGTTACGTAAATATCAAACGACAAAGACTGGTTTCTGTGACTGTTAGGATACAACGTTTTTATTAGCAAAGACACGTCACATTTATATATATTTTTTAAACCGTATTAAAATGTTATGTTCACTAGTGACTTGAAGGGATAGACCCTTACGACAACCATTCGCTTATGTCTGGGTATCTGGGTGGTAATCCAGTCCTTTCACATACACGAATGACTCTTGCGTGGTGCATTTCTTGGTGCTCACGATTTAACAGTTTTGGGTTTTAATAATATTAACGATGTTCAAGTGTTGGTTCCCGGGGATTTGATCTGTTTGGTCACAGGATTTCATCATAATCTGACATCGGCTAGAGAACCACTCAGAAAACTGGGAGAGTTAGACAGCTGTTTTGTCGTCTAGTTTTGGAATCTCCAGCAGTACTCAACCACTGCCGGGGTTTGGACCCGGAACCTCCCGGTTACAAGGCAAGCTCGTAGACTACCATTCAGTTACTGGGATCCAATCCACTAGTCAGCCCATGAATTCCAACTTCTGCCAACTCACGATATAACGCGACTGGCAATAGCCAATGTCCGATCACTTCAAACCCACACTCGAATATCAATCTGATGTTCACTGGTGACTGACCCTATTCAGTTTTGTAGTTACCTGGGTTCTTCTAGTGGGATGTCATGACCAGTAGGGTACAGCAGGCAGGATGTGAGGATAAATACTCGCCACCGATGACACTGGATAGTGCCACTTGCGCTAGATCGTGAATTCGGAGAAGTTGAAATTCATGGGCTGATCAGTGGCTGAATGGTTGCCTCCAAGCTCACCTTGTAACCGGAAGGCCCTGGATTAGAACGTTTGCGGTGGGTACTACTGAGAAGCCTCAGGCTAATCTGACGAAACAGCTGTCCGGTACTCCTTGGCTGGTTTTCCAACGGTTCTCTAACCTGTGTCAGCTCATGATGAATTCCTGTAGATGGTAATAGTGTCTTTAATGTTTATTATAAGAATTGTGAGGAGCTAGTATATTGAAGTCCTTATGCTACTTAGATGTTTGTTGTATTTTGAACGAATTTCTGGGAAGCTGCTGCTTTAACAGAAACATGAACTAACCAATAAAAAGCAGGACATTAACGTCCTTATTTACTTCAAAAAGTTTTACTACTCATCTCCAAAAAAGTAATATGTTTTATTTTGATAAAATTTTACTCTGAAGTATATATATGATGAGTGGAATGAGGGAATTACAGTAGAATGTAATTCCATATTATACAATATCCACTATCTGAATATTACTGACTATGTTCCTTCAATTCAAAGATTATTCCTGAAAATAACACAGCTGTCATAAACGGAAGCACACTTCGAAAACCATCGTATTTTCAAACTTCCAATGCACTTCCAACATGAAATTGTTTTCAAATATCTTCATAGACATACAGCGGTAAAATTCATGGTGTCGAAAATCACTAGACTCTATTTAAGACAAGAAAGGCACAGAGCTACTAAGAAAAGGATAACTGGTACGGAAGATGCGACTGACCAATGCAAATGTGAATTACATGGAGGATTTAATCATGAGCTGACATCAGTTAGAGAACCACTGGAACAAACAAAATCCCTACAAAAATCCAATACTTGCAAATATGAATTCACATTACTGGTAGACACTAAAGATTATGAAATTATAATTGAAATAACCAACAAGACAAGCTCATCTGGATCCAAAAATACTGAAATTAAGAAGCCCAGCAGGTTAACACAGAGAAAAACCATTCAATGAAGAAGGACGACTTTTCTGACAAGATACCATGAACGATAAAAGGGGTACAGTTTATGTTTAACTCTCGACGACAGCATAAAAAATACAAGTACTTGTGAAAAGATTGAGTTGATAAGGTGTGTGGTTGGGGGGAAAATTAGCAATAAGCTAGAGAAATAAGACAACTACTCAGCAGGTGCAAGCACAATGTGCTCTAACAGTCAAATGTCAAAACCTGCAAGAGCAAAGCTATCAAAACTTGAAATACTAGATTTTATATGTGATGGTGAATGTAGATATGATGGAGAAGATTTGTAGCTCAGGTGGATAATTTTAATGTGATCGTGTTCTATGAGCTCGATGGTCTAATTGCCAAGCTTTTATTGCCCTACTAGGCAACATATTCAGCACATATTTCAGTTGAATGAAGTGAGCTTTTAGATTTCTCCACGAGTCTCCATTAGTCATCTCTCCTGGTGATCTGGAACGTCGTGATTAGTTGTTTTTGTGTGTTTTCACACCCTGCAGGCTACTTGTATTGGAACTGATCGTTTCTTTGACTTGAAGTATGACCCTTTGTGTGTGAGGTTTCCTTCTTATCGGTTGATAAATTTTGTCTATCTCTATGTGTCTATTGATTGACGATTCACTGGAATGCCAAGCTTCTAAAAATTCTCTAGCATTCTTGTTGTTTCCTCTGTCTAATAGTTGAACGCTGGTTGTTCCAGTCGAATTGATGTCCGTGGTTGTCTGTATGCAGTGAGGCGATATGAGGGAGTGGATATCATGTCTTTTGACGGCTAGCTTATGTTCGTGGATACGAAGATGAATGGGACTTCCACTTTGGCCAGTGAAGTGTTTTTCACAGTTGATGCAGTTTATTTTGTATATACTGACGTTGGTTTTATCTTCTTTCACTGTTGAGTCTGTCTTTTGGTTTACATAGAATTGGGTGAAGTGAATCTGTTGCTTTGTGTACGACGTCGATTCCTAAAGGTTTGCATAGTCTTGCAGTGGTTTCTGACATATCCTCTATACATGGTAGGGCGATTTTCTTTGTCCTTTCCTTGAGGGATTTTGGTTTGATAGGTTGACTTGGGGGTATATGTCTTTTGATGAAATTCCGTGGATATCCATTCTTTTGGAAGACGTCCATGAGATATCTTTCTGCAATCTTCCTAAAGGTGGCAGTGCTGCCATGAGTCCTGGCCCTCTTGGTTAGTGTTTGTTTGCAATTCCTTTTGTGTGTTATTGGATTGTTGCTGTTGTGAATGTATTAGCTGCCCTAGGTAATCCAATAGCAGATACGGACATGTCATATTAAATCAGCAAGTTTTAAGATACCCATCCAGACATGAATATAAGAACAAAAAAGTTCAGCAAAGAGTCTGTATCATGCGGTGAATTCATTCACTTAGCTTTACAATCGCATTTATACATAATTATTTTGTGTTTGTGTACATTAAGATTATATCTAGTGAGGGAATTGAATCATAGGTATCAATGCATAAAATAATAATATTAATACGAAATACAATTAAAGTAGTTGTGATTATAACCACAGTTAAATGTCAAGTGGTAAAGCAAATTAATGTCGATATGGAGCGCGATCACTAAACGTCTAGTCGATAATGATCACCCTATCTCTATAGCCTCCGCCTTTAAAGTCATCTACAAGGCAAAGAGCAATCTACCCAAATCCCTACGTACCCGACTCATCTATTGTATTGCTGAAGATTTGGCTATCGAAACAGAAAAGCCAGATTTCTGTGTACAGAAAAAGTTCGTTCAACCCCTCCAACTTTCATGGTCTTAATCCCTCTATGCTAAAGTATGATAATCCCCAACCATATTTGGGATCTACCATTTTTTCATTTTGTCTATTCAATTTGTATACTCTTCCTTATTACGTTAATTATTACTATTACTACTCTCACTTTGAACTGTCCCGGTATTATTTCACAAGTAGCGCGTTAAGAATAACACAGCACACTATCGAAAACAGTGTGTTATAAAGTGAAGGGATTAGAATTACATGAAACATGCCAGAAAGTCGTCTGAATGTGTCTGGACATGAGTGCTAGCTACAAATTGTGCCCAAAATATCATGCAGTTGTTAATTTATTGTATCATTACCAAACAGGTCTATTCAACATGATTTTATAAAGATAATCTATAAATCGCGAAGTGCACAGTGAAACTAGGCGATGAATCCATCATATCAATATCTGTACGTCAGTGGTACAATCCTAGAGTGTCCGCCAATCACGTTTGTGGTCTGGGTTTGATTCTCCGCCACCGACGCCTATCCTACACCTTGCGTAGGAGGTGAATTATCCAATTATGAATATATATATATATAATTTACCAAATACCATGTAATAACTTCAATTACCAGTCTAACTGGTAGATCGTGGAACATTGTCGGAATTTGACTATACCTAGAATGGTTGACTCTGCTAAGTTAGATAAACTAGAAAAAATAGATCTTCCCGTTTGCATTGCTTTCAGTTGCATGTAATCGCTTCATACGGGGTGGTTGGGACAACGTGAAAGTATTAAAAGTAATAAAGTTAGGTGGAGAGAGAGAAGTTAATCACTGAATCCTTGTTTATCGATTCAACACAGCACATGTACAATCTGAGTAACGCGATACCCATACCGGAGATATGGAAAGTGGCAACAAACAACAAGGGGAATAGGGAGAGAGAGAAAAAAGTATATGTGCCTTGGTAGCACAGTGCTTAGGACTCTCGCCGACCATGCACATGGTCCGGGGTTCGATCCCCTGCCGACGCACACCTGATATCTATGGTCGGCCTGCAAAATTTGGACTACCGATATAATATGCCGAAAATTCCATACTTGTACCAAAAAATACTGTATAGTTTCAAGCTATAATAAAAAAATATACAAGACAAATTATGAAGTGGTGTGATTAAGTTGAACAATAAATTGTGCTGGAAACCTTGTCATCCAGTTGTCATCACTGCATCATCACTGTGTGATATTTAAAATAAACTTATCTAGTATGGAGTTGCATTCTAACACAGTATCCAAGTTCTCCACTTATTTTAGCGGTGATTTCCGACCAAAACGTAATCTTGAGATAACAGCTGTACAGTACTCCCAGGTTTTCCAGTGGTTCTCTAACTGATGTCAGCTCATGATGAAATCCTTCATGCAATCAAACGAAATCCCTACAAAACCAATAGTTGTAAATTAATCTGATGCTCACTAGCTACTGGCCCTATTCAGGCAGTTAACTTGGGGTTCTAGTGAGAAACCCTGACCAGTAGGGTACAGCAGGTTGAAGATGAGGCAGTAACTCATCGAAGAAGTCATTGCGAAGTGGTCGCGCTATGTCACGAATTAGCAGAAGTTAGAATTCAAGGACCGTTGGATCGGGTCCCAGTGGCTCAATGGTCTACGAGATCTAACCCTGGTGGTAGGTGCGTACTTCTGAAGAGTCGCACACTAGAACGAAGTAGATGTCCAGAACTTTCTGGCTGGTTTTCCAATACTTCTCTAACTGCTATCAGCTCATGATGAAATCCTCCATAAAAATTAATTACAAAGGAGCATAGAAAGTGAGAAAATCAACAGATTCTAATATCTCCTCTACTCATCCTATTGTTTTCCCATTTACATTTTGCTAATTTTTCGTCTTTGTTTTTTTCCTTCCCCTTAAAGCTACAAAAGATTTAAGTATGGTTGCTGATGCTCCACTTATTGAATATCTCGAGACATTGGTCCAGTTACTCGAAAGGAATTTAACTCCCTTCTTCAATGAATCGCCGTGTAAAACTGTGAATGCATGTAAAAAGCACATATCTCCATTCCCCTTGATATTTCGTTCACACCACACGCATCGTCATTTAGATACAAGTGAAGGTGAATTCCTATTGTCCAATGAATCGCATAATACAGCAATGGATAATGCAAATTGGTGGAGACGTGAAATACGACATTTATGCCTACAGATGATTGCTTCTTTACTCAATCCAATCACTGTAGGTGATACCAATAATAACGGTAGTAGTGGTGGTAATAATAATACCAGTGAGTTTACAACAGCAGGTAGGTAAGGAGTTGTCTATTCTTTTCCTCCTTTCTACTATACAACACGTTTTCATCATAGGTCATGTTTTCAAAGTCTGACTAGTGATCAAAGAATACTCTTTTTGATAACTTCTTCATTAGGTTCTGCAGTTTTATACATCCATAATAATGAAATAATTATTGTTACCATGATCATGAATGTGTTTTTTTAAATAACGTGGAATCACTGACATCAGAATTCCAACAAGCTATATCCAAATAAACTGTTGATGGATTACAGTTTATTAATTCCCGTTGAAACAGTAAGAAGACGATATTCAGAGAAGAGACTATTTTCAATCGCGAAGTTATTATCATTATATATATATATATATATATTTCCTCACGGATATGATTTCTTAAAGTCCATATATATATATATATATATATATATATATATATATGGACTTTAAGAAATCATATCCCGTGAGGAAATTTAAATATAAGAATAAAACTTGTGCACTGTGGTAGAGTGTAATTCCATTATGGGTAAATTTTGTTTTGATAAAGTCACACGGTGTTATACAGTAATGTTTACTGATGACGTTTCGAGCACAATTTATTCCAGCTCATAATCATATCAAGGAACTCACACGACTTCCTAACTTCATTTATATAGTTCCATTATTTTTCACTTGATTTCAACTTGATTTGATTGGTAATAGTATTTTCCATATTTCAGGTATGAGTGATGAATCATTCCTGTTGTATGTGTTACTTAGATAAAAGCTCAGCATTACGTTGCACTGCATCAGTTAACACACAATCACACAATAGGGTGGGAGAGGGTTAAAATTCTAAGAAGTAATCTATGTAGGTGGAGACAGAGAGATTGATTACTGAATCCTGACCGGTTCATCGAGTCTACACCAAACACATGCAATAGGAATGATTCATCACTCATACCTGAAATATGGAAAATACTACTACCGATGAAATCAAGTGAAAAATAATGGAACTATATAAATGAAGTTAGGAATTTGTGTGAGTACCTTGATATGATAATGAGCTGGAATAAATTGTGCTCGAAATGTCATCAGTAGACATTACTGTATAACACTGTGAGACTTTATCAAAACAAAATTTACCCATAATGGAATAGGTGTGAATATTTAATTGAATTTTAGATTTTCCCATCGATTAATTGGACTGAAGTGCTCGGTCTCAGGTTGACATGTTGCCTTCTTATGCAGATGCTTCGACGATGTCTGGGCATTTAATTAGTATTTAACTGGTGGATCGTGACTAGTAGTGGAATCCAGGATGCACATTTCGTCTTATTTGGGACTCGTCAGCTGGGTGTACCTGCTTTCCCTAGTGAGTGGTGATGTTCCCATCAGGCCTCGGACCTAGTGTCCATAGTTTCGAACGCCAAAGCGTTATCCACTAGACCACTTGGGCAACGAGAGCCACCTTTTGTGAATACATTAAATAATAATAGTAGTATGAGAGCCAATTAAAATATTTGTGATTATAACCATAGTGTCAACTGGTAAAACAATTAATGTCATATATATAGAATAATTTGTAAGATGTATAGCTGTTGCATGTGGCTGTTTTTATAGGTAGCATAAAACGTGATGTAATAAGGTGGGAAATTTGATAACATAGAATTGAACATTGACAAAAAAGTGTTGATTTTGGATGACAAGTGGGACAAGTGAAAAAAGTGCAAAATGAGAACTATAGTAGTAGTAATGATAACAATAATATTGATAATTATCTCAGTAATGAGGAAAAAGAACATAGATTGACCAAATAAACAAAATGAATAGCAAATAATAATGATAATAAAAATAAGTGTCTATCCCTCCACGTCCAAGGCAGGAATAGGAAATGAACATATTTCTTTTGTACATAAATGGCCAAGGCCTCCTCTGTCTTCGGAAGCTTATGATGAAGAAAACGTGGTAAGTTAGCACGAATTCGATAAAAGATCTTAAATTCATTGTCGGGGTTGGTAGAGTGACGACAGCTGATCAAGTGTTCGAGAATACAGCTTCTCAAAGCCTTCCTTTCTGCTTTGTAAAACCATGATGGAATATGTTTTCGTATCCAGACAATGTAACTTCCTCCACAAGAGCTGGTGAACTGCTAGATGCACGTGAAGGCGACCAGACGGGGAAGCTTATCTTTTACAGAGACAGAGAACGAATTCCAGGTAGTGAGGTTCACACGTATTTTTTCAGTGGATGGTGTCTTCCTGTCTGACTTAGAGACACGATTTTTGATCACATCTGAAGCCTGGTTGCCTTTGAATTCCAAATTCTTAAACATAGTTTTCTTTGAAGCTGAATTAATGACCAGTTTGGACTGTTTATCTTTCGTGTTTCTGTCAATAAGTCGGTTCGGGTAACCGTTACTTACAGGTGTGGCCTTTAGGGTGGACAGTTCTAAGTCAACACAGTTAGAATTACAAATGTTTATTATCATAAAGCAGAGAAAATGAATTAATTTTATATCCTGGAGATAGATACCTAAATACAGAAATTAGTTAGTTGTCAATATCACGCGGGAAGCCTGTGTGAATTCAACAGATGATCTCATAATCATTGTCAGGGTTATTTTAGTGTCAGAAGTCAATCATGTATTGTAAAGTGAAGCTTCTTACAGCCTTCCATTGTTGGTTGCATAACCATGCTGCTTATCCGTGTGGGAAGCATTATCTGGCTACGGTCAGTGTAACTTATCTCTCAAAGACCAGATACATATGAAAGGGGACACACGAGGGTACTTGTCTAGTACTTGACTGTACTTTTGGAATTTGTTTTTTTCGAAATAATGTTTACAGTCGAACTTTGTAAGATGTACTATCATTTTACTAGATTTTGATTCAGTTGAAAAACTACCCAGCTTATTTTACTTACTGTAGATTTAGGACTACAGTAATGAGGAATAAAAGGCCAGTGTTCACTTTTATAGATAGCGTAGCCATTTGAAAAGTAACATACTCATGAAAATCGAGCCAAAAGCTCTCTGTCTCAAAAATTAAAATCTTACGTTCTTCAATTTCCAAACTAAATCCATCTACATGTACCAGGAAGTGACTGAAGGCATTATACGACATTATGATTAATTCTGGGTCATAACATGTAAAGTCTTCAAACATAAGTTTAGGGGTTACGTCGAGCTAGACTAGACAATCTATAGTTGTTTGAATGAATTAGGCTAGTAATCCGTGATTTGATGAATAAGTGACTTTTACGAAATTCTACTTAGTAAGGTAGATGGTGACTGTGTATGCGTAAGGTGTGTTGAATCTACCGTAGGTGAGCTCTCTTGATTGCATTTTTCTCCAGTAGTAAAGTAAAATAGTCCAAACTTCGCCTATCAACATACTGACTTTTGACAAGCACTGGAATATTGCGATTGCACTTATAAGGGCTCAGTTTAGCAGAAGTCAGCGTACCCTTTTTTTATCTAGGATGAGATTTTGCCGGATTCCGAACTACTTTCCACTAAAGTGGGGTGACTAGTCCATTTAACCACTTGGTTCTTTATAACCAGATGAGTTGTTTGTACAAACCAGTACTACAGTAGCTGTTGACATTCAGGGGATCAGAAGGATGTCTTGATAATAATAGTGATAATATAAAGCTTATTAAGTAGCTAAAATCTTCAGAGGTGTTGTAGCCGTAACAGTAACCTTTGATAGTTATAAAGAAGGTTGTACAAATGGCATTTCTGTGCCGTATACTACTATAATATCTCCCTTGTGTCCTTAGTGAAATATTTTCGTGACAGTTAGTGGATATTTTGTGTCTACTATGTAGAGGCAATATTTTCGGGCCTTAAATTAGTTGAGTTTCATGAACTGGTTGATTTAACCTGCGAAGCTTTCGTCGTTCTACTGGACAACATCTTCGGCGCAAGTTTTATCATGAAATGGACTTATTTAAATTCCCCATGAATGTTGTAAGTGTTTCTCCTGGCAACCACTCTAGTGGCTGGTTGTTGATTTACTTCTATATTGATCAATTTTATTAATTATTTGTAGTATCAAGCCTTACTATGATGTCTATTTGTTTATTTTGTATTCCAGCGCATAATTCATATCAGCGTAGTGTAACACCAGAACTGGTAGCTGTACTACCAGCTGATGCACTAGTATATCAGATACCTCCTTTACTGGCAATGAGTTTACTGAACACCCTATTAGAAACTGCTTTGGTCAGTGCTGGTATCGATACAGAATTACTGGATCATACGCATGCAAGACAAGCATCTAATTTGTCGTTAGCTTCACTGCATTCTGTACACAGATCAAATATGTTCTTATCGCATGTGGACAGTAGATCAGGTGTTGCCGGTATCATTGAAACGGTCTCCTACTTGGGAAGACAAGTTCTATTTCAAGATGTTGAAGTGAGTAGTAGTCATATGATTTATATTGTTATTATTATTATTGTTATTGTACTTACTGTTGTTTTCGTTTTGGAAACATTTCCCCATACGAATTTACAACAATCTACAAAGCAGGACTCAATGAATTCATCGAACTTCGGTGGAACTCCTCACTGAATACTCCGCATATAGCAATATATATATATATATATATATATATAACTACCAGGACACCCATTCTTAGATAAAATATCCTTCACAGGGTTTATTTCATATTCAAATGTATTTTCAGGACGAATTCTGCGTTTCTGTTGAACAGTGTTTTGACTAAGTTCTTTTTATACTGGATTGGAATAAAGCTTCTAAAATATAAATACTGTTCCATCCATGAAGACGTTCTAAATATAGTTCTTTCGGTTGTGTCACCAGTACTTTTCACCAGAGTTTAACGATATCGTTTCCCTCTCGTTCTATTTTGAAGTTAGGATTCGGGTGGCATAAGTTGAGTTCTGCCAATATGTTCTCAGCTTTTGATTTGCTTTCACAGACAGTAAAATATTATCAGCATATCTTACGTATAATTCCATAGGCTGATGCAAAATTCTGGCTTTTAGGTCTGACAAGAATAAATCTGCAAAAGGTGGTCTCGAAATGCTTCCCAATGCAACACCACCAATCTAACTGATTGAAATTGCATATTCAATCAACTTTCGATGTCGCATGACTCAGCACATACAGCGGCATAAATTGGTCATAAAAATTCTCTAATTAGCACCTGATATAAATTTGCATCACTTTATTCATGGAGACATGAACTTGAACCCCACTGGCATAATCTCCGTATGTTTTTTTCTATCACGGAAACTCAGATAAATTATGAACACAGTTAGATATATCCAGCAAAAAAATATCATTCGGTGGATCAGAAAAGAGTGACTTCTTCAACCTCTTTTTTTCTTTTCTTTCGTCTACTGAAATATTTGATGAATTCATTAAATCATGCTTTATTAACCACTGTTGTTTGTCTCTTTGTCTTTGTTTGTTTGTTTGTTGTATTACATATTTTCATATTTCATACATTTATTCTCCTTTATGAATTTGAATAAAGCAAGAACAACAACAGTGATTTATGCAGAATAAAATGCTACCATCAGGGTTTATTTCTTAGGCTTCTCATCAGCTCAGCTGCTTGCAAGTCTAAGTCATTATCAGAAATAATTTTAACATGCATACACAGAGTGTTCATTTTTTAATGAGTCAACCAATATATGCATTATTATTCCCTTTGGTTCTGAGTGGAAAATAAGGCTTCAACTACCCATCTCCGCTTTATTCTGTTTTCTATCACTCTCTTCACCTGGATAGCCACACGATCGCTCATAATCTCTCATCTCCTCCCCCACCACACGATCTTCTCCATGTCATTGTAGGACGACTCACTCGTCGCTTCTCATTGGGATTCCACTCGAGCGACGATCTGCATTGCACGTAATGTCACTCGATGGTGTCCTCTATATAATGCCTGATTCATCTCCATTTTCTCCTACATATTTGTCGAGCGATCGGCTCTTGGTTGGTTTGCTCCCAGCCAGCCACAGTTTCTTGTTACTAATTCGTTCTGGCCATTAGATCTTCAGTATGGAGGCAGAGAAGTTGGTAGTTGTTGATGAAAGTCTGTAACCTGTTGTAAATCCTGTTAAACCAAAAATTAATCAATATATGCATACAACAATGAACACTTGGTCCCATTTTGCAGTGATAATAATACACAATGGAAACTTTAGGCATTACGTAATTAGATGAAAGAGAGGGTCGTAATATCCAGTTACTAGACAGGACAAGGAAAGACTGATAACCGCTTCTATTTGAACGTACACACACACACATAAATCGGGTTTCAGACGCTTGGTGTATATTGCTTAGGCATCGCTAGACATCTTCTTTACACGGGTCATTAGGTGGACATCGCAAGATTGTTTAGAATTATCAATGGGGGAAAAAGAGTTCAGTTCTCCTTAGGTCTGCCGAAGCAATCTTAGTCAAGCGCCTGAAACTCTATTTATTCGTTTAGAAGAAAGCGGTTATCAGTCTTTTCTTGTCCTACCTTGTAAATAGATATGTTTCCTTTCTCTTTCATCTGATCATTATTGTTGGAGATAAAGTGTTTATTATTATTATTGTATGCAAATATTGATTGACTGATGTTTTGTTTAAAAATGAACTCTCTCTGTGCAGAGATGTTAAAATTGTTCCTGTAGATATAATTAACAATGTCTTTGGACTGTCAGCAGTTGAACTGATGAGAAGACGATAAAATACGCAATGATGGTAGCATTTTATTCTGCACAAATCACTGTTGTTGTTGTTGTTGTTCTTGCTTTATTCGTTTTCATACTTTCTATGTGTTTGGTGTCACTTCACTGTTTCTTTGTTTCTTTTCTTCTCATTGTGTATTTTAGATTAGTGTACAATGCATTCGATTGTACTTTCAGTGTATAATAGCCTATCCATGTGTATTTGTCAATGTTTTACTGAAATCAGTTAACTTGGAGAGTAAATTTATCCAACTTCTTGTATATTCTCCATCTGAAAGGTGATCTAATATGCTTTTTGTATTCAATTTTATTAAAACATGTATACTCAACATAATAACATAATATACTGTATCACAACTTAATCCAGCGTATTACCAGTTAGTCCTCGAGAAGCTAGCCGCCAGGATTCAGCTGATTTAAATGATCTGATTCAGCTCTTTGAGTTGAGTCACACAGGATACACTGTTGCTGCTGCTGCTGCTGATGATGATGATGATGATGGGAAACGAGAGAATCAACTTCTCTGTTGTTTAGATCACTCAGATCTGGCTAGCTAGCTAGCAGGTACTACTGATTGGTACGAAAAGAATCCAACTACTCATGTCAGTTATTCAGTAGTGTGTAATGGTATATGTTCGTTTCCTATTAATGATCATTCACCCAGTTTGACACTTTAGCATTGTAGATTTATAGAGACTTCTTAGTTTAATCAATCTTTTCGATGTATCACTAATAAAGTTATCGAAGTATAAAGTGGTCAACAGTCAGACAGGATATAAGATGGATAACTTTTATTATTCCCTTCAGTTTCAAGGGGAACTGAGAGCTTCAACTCCGCATCTCCATTGGCTCCGCGTTGTTTTTTGGTAAGCTCTCATCTCCTCCTCACACTATCTCCTCCATTTCAAACTGTCGTTTTCCATTTAAGTTCCACTCAAGCGATGGCCTGGTGCGCGTTGTCATTTAGTCGTCTCCTCAGTGTGTGGCAAATACATCACCATTTCGTTGCGGGAAAAGTTATTGAAGAATTCGTCGCTTAAGATTTATTAGATGAGGCTAACGTACAGTTTGTCGATTCGATCTTTTTATAGAACTTTATCAGACTACCTAAGATTTCAAGGTTTAAACAGTCTTCAGTACTTTGGAAATAGCCTTCATCGAAGTACTCAATTTATCATTCACAAGGGACAGTTGTGATTTTTGTCGGTCAGCGGGGAAGTCTCTGATTTCAAAGCTAAATCGCTCAGATCTGAATTTATGCATTACCTTACTAGGCAATGAAAGCTTCGCAAATATACAATCCAGTTAAGAGGATACAACTACATGAAAATCACCCACCCGAGCTATAAATCTCTATCATAGCCGTAACTTATTCATTTTCTGACACTACTAGTTGATATTCACATCATCTGACTCCGAACATGTAGCAAAAAAGGGCGGAGCGCGTTAAAATATAGAACCGTTTCAGTTCCTTTGACTGATTTATCACAATGCATACCCGATCAAACGTATTTCAAACCAACACTTAGTTCTACACAGGCACACTGTTCACCATCTGGAGAAACCTACTTCTATGTGCCTTTTTCTTTTAAAAATCACAATAATAAGGTAAATTATAATAATACACAAGGGTTACGTTTTAGGGGCTTGGTTTGTTTGAAGTTTGACCACTGATTGAAACACCGAAATCTAGGGATTACTGAACAGCTATTTCGTCCTAGTTTGGGAGTCACTCTTGAAAATTAATCTAATGCTCACTAGTGACTGGCTACAAGATGAAATTGTCTGGAGTTCTTCTGAGGTGTTGTGACCAGTGAGGTCCACCCGGTCGGAAGTGAAGACAAATACTTACAATGGATGACATTGTCTAGTGGTTGCGTCAAAATTACGAATTGGTAAGAGTTAGAATTCATGGGCTGGCGGCCATCCAGTCAAGTCCCAGTAGCTCAATGGTCTACGATCTCACCTTGTCACCGGAAGATCTTGGGGTTGAACTCTTTTGGTGGGTGCGTACTTCCGATGAGTCTCGAGCACTAGGATGAAACAGTTATCCAGTAATCCTTGATTTTCAATGGTTTTCTAACTGTTATCAGTTGTAATAATAATAAATGTGATAATAATAGCATTAATAATAGTGACAATGAGTACACCCTACATACTTTAGTGTCCTTAATTGTGGTTCCTCATATACATCGTATATATATATATATATATATATATATATATATATATATATATATATCGACTTTTCAAAGTAATATCAATTTATATACAAATGATGTTTTATCTCTGGTTTTTCCGCTTTACTTCAGGGTACGGAATGAAATGGCTAGACAACTGGAACAGTTATGTATTCTCGTGTCGCCCTATCTGTACACTGGTGCTGCATGCTTTCCTATGAAATCAACTTCAAATTCAACGCAATGCTCACTGCACAGTTATATCCGTAATCCAGAAATACTAAATCTACTCCTGAAAACTATACTGCATTCTCCTTTACCATTTTTCGATGTAAAATTCGACTTGATGACGTCACCGACTGCAAGTATTTTGATTAGTCAGTGTGCAGAATATTTTCGTGTCCGCGGCTTTTTGCTTGGTCAAACACCAGCTCAAGTCTTGAAGAGAAATTTCAACACTGATCATATAACAATCCTTCAGGTATGTTCATTCTGGTAGATGTTAGTGTTGCTTGCTTTCCTTGTGTAGTTTCATCAAAACTTCTTTTTGAAACTCTATGTTTAAAAAATAACATTTTACATTTTAAAGGTTAGTTTTTAGGAATTTGATTTGTCTGAGGTTTGCTCATGGATTGTTGTCAGTTGGAGAATCACTGAAGACCAGGCCGATTGTGTTGGACCCCATCGTCCGGATGGTCTACGAGCTCGCCTTATGACTAGAAGGTCCTGGGTTCGATTTCCGGTGAGTGCGCGCTGTTGAGGAGTCCAGAAGTAAGGACGAAGCGGGTGTCCAGTACCCTCTTATTTACAATAGTTCAACAATAGCGTCCCAGGAATAAGAACGCTGCGATGACCTTGGACGCAAGCTAGTCGTTGGTTAACGGCACCTGTCACTATCATAGCTGAAATATCAACGTTATTCACCAGCTAAGCAGAAAATGTCAGCCAGATCACGTTTTTAAGTACTGTTTCGATAATGTGTGAATAGCTCGTTAGGGTTAAGGTAAGTACCGGGTTAGGGTTAGGATCAGGGTCATAATTAGGATTAGGGTTAGATTTACGGTTAGGTTAAGGGTTATGATTAGGGTTAGGATTAAGGTTAGGGTTAGCGTTTGGGTCAGGATTCAGGTTAAGGTGACGAATAGGGATAGATTTATAGTTGATGTCATTTATTTTAATTTGTTTTTTTATCCCCATTTTCCTGGCAAGTAGTCGTCGATCCTCTTACTAGAAACCATAGTAATTCAACCGAGGGCTTTGGAGAAGACTGTACAATAGGATAATAGAGATGAACTTTACACAAAAACAGCTCATCTTCAGTCACTTAGGTGAATATATGTACAGAAACTAGTCTAAATTAGCAACTGATACTCCTTATTATCACTGGGACGTATTTCTAAGTCATGTCAGAGAACGATAACCTGTTTAATGTGTTTTCATGCATTTTCTCGTAAATATACGTCATTTTTGTGCAAAAGTCACTTATTTTTTGGTTAGTTGGCTCAATGTCACTTGTGCGTTCGCATACCTTGGGACGCTATAGTTGAACTTTGCCCTCCAGCTGATGTCAACCCATTATCAAACTTGGAACATTTTACATTATGACCTGGCGGGAAACCAATTTATCTTACCATCATGTCTTAAGCAAGGTTTACCAGTTCTCTTATATATTAGAATTGAGCTATTTATAGCATTTGAGATTTATAAATGCAAAGTGATCTGTTAAAACTTATTTTGATAACACAGATTATGTTTATTACGGAGATTTTCAAATCGTCAAACAGTTTGAAAGTGATACCCTCCCTGTACGTGACTTTTAACCCCTATGCATTTTAAAGTTGTTTTTTAAGGGAGGACGTTTTTCTCAACCCAAAGACTTAGCTTTAGACAGGTGGGATGCATAAACGAATAGTAGAGACACTTTTATGTAAATTAATTATCCCCATTGAGACTTAAAAACAAAGAATTCAACGAAGAAAATTCTCTTTTCTTACGAGTTGATCACGGATTGATATCAGTTAGAGAAGCATTGAAAACGAGGGAGTACTGGATAGCTGCTGTTTCATCCTAGTTTGGGAATCACCCCAGTGGGTGCGTACTGCCTCTGATTCCCAAACTAGGATGAAACAGCAGCTGTCCAGTACTCCCTCACTTTCAATGCTTCTCTAACTGATATCAGTCCGTAATCAACCCGTAAAAAACAAAATTAACCCTTACAAATCAAACTATAGAAAATTCTCTTTTCGATGATTTTATTTTCATAGCTGTACAATCATTTATTGGTGTATAGGATTATGGGTCACAATTGATTATATGAATGAATAACTATATACATAAATATAGGTCAACCTAATGTTCAATAGACTACATGAGTGAAATAGATTATCGGAAAATAAAGTACATTCAGAAATGTGAACATGTGAATATAATTTTATGGGAACATAGAGGGAGCGAAATGTTGTCAAAATAGTAGCAGACTAGGTAAGTTGTTAGAATATGACAACATAAAGTGAAAGTAAAATAAAACAAAAATAGAAGATGGAATAAAGAAGGATGAAAAAGTTTTTATGTGTGAATTACATAGTAAAATTAAGACCACAATAAAGAAAGAGATCGTACAAACTGTCTTTGTACACAAAGTTCTGGGCTTATGTTATATATTGCCAAAGCCTCCGCTATACAAAACAAATGCACTCGTGTCCCTTTTGGCAAATTTTGTCCAAACTTTGTAGACTATGTTGAGTGGTCAGTATCTACAATGTGCTGCAATGTCGATGAATTAGTGTCTTTTAGCTATTCTTTGCTCAGCCCAGTTGGAAGGTGCTCTCCAATGCGGCGGGATATGTTTCTCGACGAATGTCTATACATTGACCTCCGTAAGAGCAGGTGAACATGTGGATACACGTGGAATTAGACAATCGAGGTAAAATCTCCTTAACATTAAGGTGCTAGAGTAGGTTATTCGTAAAGTGGTAGCAAAGAACATTTTTCTCAGTGATCTCATCAGGCGATTTCTAAGTATCTAACTTATAGTGTCACCCATAAATTCTAAGTTTAGGTGCAACACTTTTTTAGCTACCGTATCCCTATTTCTTCCGTGTAATTTGCCATTGGCCTCTACAAAGAGTAGTGGATACTCATGCTCCATGAGGATTTCTTTTAGTTGTTTGAGTTCATCATCAACACTATCTTTACTACAAATTCTCCCCATTCGTGTTGAGAGAGAACGGATTAGATTCCTTTTTCTGTCTATGAAGACAAAACTGTAAAAATTGATCAGTTGTTCGGTCTACCTTGATTTTCTGTAAAGAGATCTTTTCAAGAACACGTTAGCTCTCCTTGTGAGTAGCATATCAAGGAAAGGAATTTTTTACTTTAGTTGCTTTTTCTAAGGTGAATTGAATAGCGGGATGACTATCATTGAATACTTTCAGGATGTCATCCAAATCTCAGTTCTCGTCGCATGTAATACAAACACTGTTCCAATCAATATCGTGGTTGGTGTAGCATGCATGTGCAGCTATAGACGAATTTTCCTCTGAATTGTTGTAAGCTTGTGTTCCTGTGGGATGACCTGTAGTTAGCCGTTTATATTCATTCACTCTTATTCTGAGTGATCTAGACGTTTGACCCACATATTTAGTCGGACACTAGTCATAAGATATTTTGTAAATTACATTGTTTTTATCCATCATTTTTATTGGATCTTTCAGTTGATTTATTTTATTTTTAATTAGATTCGTCGGTTTAAAAGTGGTGCGAATCCCAATATTTTTGAAGTTTCTTCGAATTGCCTCTGATGTTCATTTTTGTATGGTACCGTGACTGTTTTTTTTTTGCTTTCTTCCATCTTGTGATTCTTCAGTTTTATCCTCTTTCTTTCTTTTTTATATTATTGTTAGTAAATTCTTTAGAGTAGTTGTTGTCAAGTAACATTTTGATAGGGTGTTTATTTCTTTACGCTGGTCCTCTGGTGTTGTCGTAAGTCTGTGTATTCTATCTGCAAGACCTTGCATTAATCCTCATTTTACCGTGAGTGGATAAGCCCAGAGATAATCAACGAATCTCCCTGAGTGTGTAGTTTTTCTGTATAGCGTCGTTTTTATGCTACCATCTGTTACTCTTTGTATTTTGCAGTCTTGCATAGGCAGTTCCCCAATTTCATTCTCCATTTCCATAGTGAATTTTATTGAGTCGACATGGCTGTTTATGTGTGAGAAAAGTTTCTCAACATCGTTTCTTTCTTCTCATCATTACTAACGTGTCATCTGCATATCTCCACCAACATTTTATTGATGACCTGAATGTTTTAAGTGCATGCTCTTTCCAAAAATCTATGAATATGTCAGCTATTATTGATGAGATAGGCGACCCCATAGCTACTCCTTCATTTTGTTGGTATATTTTTCCTTCAAATGTAAAATCTGTGGTTGTTAGACAGAATTCCACCCCTTTTATTATGTCTTCTACGAATAAATGTGTTCTGTCTTTTAGGCCATTGTCTTCTTTTAGTTTCTCTTTCAGTGCATTCATAGCCATTTAAATGGGTATTTTCGTCTAGAGACTGTTTACATCAAAGCTGACTAGTATTTCCTCTTCCTCTATTTTAGTGGTTTTTTATTCGTCTCACTAATTCAAATGAATCTACTATTCTAGCTTTTGAGTTGTCTTTTGTCGGTCTTAGTATGGTCTTAGTTGACAGAAATCTTGACAACAAATGCGTTGGTGTGTTGCTAAAGTCTACAATCGGTCTTATCGGATATCCTTCTTCATACAATTTTATCTTGTGGATTTTATCCTAGGTGGATTATATGATTTTGGCATAATTTCGAACCATTTTCTCTGTCTAACCACATTTACTGTTTCTTTCATTGTTTTGTTTGTGACTGTTTCTAATGTTTAGGTATTTAGGTATAGTCAACTTTCAAAACATTGTTTGACCATGATGCAGTTGTATGCATGCATACCAAAAGAGACAGCAGAGTTTCTTTCAATCTATGTCGTTTACTCCTGTCAACTGAAAACATTATATGTTTACTTTCTCAAATGAAAAACAAAACAACAACATATGATTTTATTTTTATTTATGCATTTTAGAATGATATATCATGGTTCAGAAATATGATGGATTTCGATAGAAATTTGAACGCATATAAAGTTGCTCTTTCCGACTGTCTGTTGGCTGGTCACCTGAATTCAATTCGACTAATCTGTGCACAGGCTGTGGCCTGCGTCAGCAGTCATTTTCTGTGCACATTCAATAGTGGATCAGGTGCACTGACCACGACGTCAACAACAACAACAACCGTACCACCACCACCAACAAAATGTCTGAAAAAGCAAGCAACACTGATAGATCAGCCAGCATCTGGACTGAACAGTTTTAATTATTCACGGAAAGAATTCAACGCCGACAGCAGTCAGTTATTACCACCGGTACAATTGTTAGAAGCATTGGCGAAAACCGATTTGTCGATGGCTAATGAAAGTGACAATGACCTGTATCAGTCGACTGTTAGCAATGAATTCACAGAAACTGTGATACCTATTCATTCTAGTGTAGCTATGAAAATAGCTACTCAAGCTTTATATTTATCAAGAGATTTCATATGTTATCTTGTAGTGGAATGCTTGTTCCCTGCAGCTAGATATCTACTGTCTGATCAAACAGCGAAAGAATTATCAGCACTGTTAAATGCATCAAAGTTGACATCACAAAAATGTTCTAAACGAGAACGTCTTCGGCGTACACTGTCTGCATTGTTTCGACATTGTAATCTACCACAGTTGGATGTATTTAAAAGTGCTCAGCCTTTAACAAAGAAAACCGCGTTGGAGTTTTTAAGTTTGTTTGCCGTATAGACTGTCAAAGTTTGGAGAAGGTATGTTGTCTAATTTAAGTGTGTTACTCCTCATTTTATTAGTAATGTTTTTATTGTTGTTCTTTCTATTTTTGTGTTTTAGCCTTTTTGTAATAACAACGAATGAGTGTCGATTACCTGACTAAAACAATATTCAGTTATTTTCAAGTATGGATTTGATGGTGTCTGATTGATTTCACTTCATTTAGAGAACTCCTGGAAACCAGGAAACTGTGGACAACTGTTTCGTCTTAGATGGGTACTCTTCAATGGTGCACATGTATGCGTCTGCCAGTGATCGAACCCAGGACCTTCTGGTTGCAAGGCTAGTTTATAGATCATTCAGCCACTAGCAGGGAGTCGAATAGTCCATCAATTCTGACTTCTGTCAGTTCGTGATACAGCACGACCGCTGTCAGATGGTTCTTTAAATGAAATCAGTTTCTGAACAGGATCATTATTCAAAACGGCGGGAGAGCTTCAAAATATGTATAAAGAATATTTTAAAGTTAGGAGTTGGAAATAAAGAAAGTGGAATAAAACGAATGAAGGTGGATTACATAAAAAATTGTACAAGTGAGAAGAAAGCCTTTAGGCCATACTAGTGAAAGTGATTAGAGTAACCATTTCTGTAATACACAGTTTCAGACTTTTCTTGTGAACAGAAGATGAACCTGGAGATCATTGGAATGAGTTGTCCTCAACAACTGAGTTATTGTTTTGTTGAATTTCTCCTCTGCACAACCATTTGGGGTGGATATTCCTGTGCATGTGTAAAAAAATATTCTACTGGAACTGCTGATGTTCTGATCGCCACAGTAGCAAGTCACTTGATATATACGTATGCACGCTACCGACACTCGAATATACGAGGCTACGAAGTTGGTGCTCTAAAATAAAACTAATCGAAATACACTCACTATCTTTTCTTTAATTACACTCCTCCATACCCCTGGATATGAGTCATCAGCTTAAGGGTCCAACAGGCCATGGGTTTGAGTCTTATTTCACCTTATTGAACAAGAACAAATGGACAGTGTGGTTAGCCCCCACGTGATAAGTGTGATTCAACCTGGTACATGAAAAAAGTGTACTGGGCTAACTGAGACCAAAAAGAAACAAAACAAAGAATGCATTCATGTTACTTTATATTGATTAATTAGGTTTAATATATTAAGGAAATGTTTCCGCTGTGATTAGAAAAATACCACCTGAATAAATAAGGATTTTTTCTTTACCTAAATAAATGTATTTCAATATATGCCTTGTATACGCTCTTTTAACTAATTAACGTGGAAATTGATTAAATTACTTGAAAACTGACTATTAAAACCAAATTAAAAAGACAGGCGTAACTTCTAAATATGTAGCTGATTTGAATAAAGAAAGAACAAAAATATTTGCAGGATAATACGAGCTCGTTTTACTTAGTGGATTCTCTTCAGCTGTATGCATCCTAGACAAAATCAGTTATAAGTTCCAGTTCTACACCCTAGATGCTAACATAAGAAGAAGAAATGCTGGGACGACTGAAAACTCCAACTGTTGTATGAAAGAAACCTGAATTTGCCAATACTTGAATAATCATAGATTATGCCCAATCGGTTACAAACGGAGTCTGCTGAAAATATTCTTCAGCAGAACTATGGCATTTCGTTCAGAAAATAAGATTGAATGGGAACTAGCAGTCATCGAAAAAACCTCATCGAAAATGGACACTATCGAAATTTCATATCAGCATATGGAAGGAAAACACACCTAGACTGAAACCCAGAATAGTTGTATAGAAACCAGTTTGTATCTGTCTAGCGTAAAAAGATGAAGAAGTATCCACAAGAAGGGAAAACAGAATTTAAGTTGGCGTTGAAAAGAACATTTCCCGCTGCTAGACTCATTCCACTTTACAATACAGTATGCTCGTTAACCCAGTCAAAAGTAGATAAGCAGCGTGCTCTGCTTGGTTAACACCAACTGGATTTAACTAATTCAGCTGAACTTGTGGTAAAAAGTACAAAGGAAGGACCAAAAGGAGAGCGTCTATTAGATTTTCCAAGCACAGGACTAAAAGTCTACGTATGAAAAAGGGCAGCAGAGTGTTCTTAAGTGCAATTGCCAGACACCTACACCTGATTGACACAGTACATACAGTAGAAATTAGTCAGACTTTCAAAATAATCATTGCGCAAAGAAAAGCATGGTTACTTTGATTCTCAGACGCCACTGCTATCATCAAAAGACTTCGACCTAACATATGTAAAAAGGATGATAGTGTGACTAATCTTTCAGTATTCTGGTAACCACCCCACCATATAATATATAAAAATTAAGTCTCTTGTTCTGTTGTATCTTGTATTTTATTTCTAATCCATTTGTGTTTCTAAGGCAATCTTGAAATCTACCACCTTATCTAATTACTAAATAAACAGTTACTCACCTTTTAACACTAAATAATTTTCTACATATATCATCTTTGTGAATAGGATCCTGCGTAAAATCATCGTATCATCCTTTCTCGCGAACAGTGTGATTTATTGTGGGATCAATCCGATCTCACGGCTGTGAGCCAACTTTATTGTGATAAAGAAAATGTATAAATGTGATATTTCGTTTTCGTAAAAGCTGTAAAGTATCTTATAGTCACAGTCTAGCCTTTGTCTTTTGTTATTTTCATGGCTGAGTGAAAGGGAAGGTACAACGGACACACAGGTGTATTAGCACACCAGTTGAGTTCATTGCTGTCATTACCGATTATCAATGCAGCTATAACACTTTGAATAATAATAATAATAATTTGCTTGATTCCAAAACAGTACTTGTGATACAGAATGGAATTCTCAGCATTTCACTACAGTATTGCATCCAGTTTGTACATTAAGAATAAATAAAGTTCTACATAGATTAAGGGTAATCTCAGGTCGTTTTGACAACAACATATTGGCATGTTAGTAGCAAAGCCAAAATTGAACAGAGTGTTTGAAGGCGTTAGAAAAGTAGATACTAGTGTGGTGAGAGCAGGCTGCTAGCCGATTGGTTGGCACTAATCTACGTTAAGGTCTAGGTCACTAATATGGGCCGTGAGAAAATATGAACAAGCCTGAGTCAACAACCAATCACAGCAAAGTTAACGTGGCAGAGTATGATTCGCAGAGAGAACTCTATTTGTCAAGGAATCCCGAAACAACCAATCAGAAGCCTGCGTTTGTCTACCTAAACAACCAATCAGATGACTGCGCTTGTCTATAATAATGTTGTTGAAATATGTATAAATACGTGTTGATTTTCATAATAAAACGATCTGTTGCCTGGCCCTTGTCTTCTGTTGTTACATTTGGTGTCGCTGCCTACCGACAAATGAAAAGCCTATACCCTGCAGTTTTTGATGGAGACATATGGATCTTCGGGCAGGACTTCAAGGCTTCTGCGCAGTTGAGTGGCGTTCAAGATCTGCCAGCGATGGAGCTGCTACTTGAGACGCTGCTGGGCGGTCGGGCGAAAGCAGCATATGAAGGTGTCGGCCGAAGTATGGACGAATGTTCGACAGGGTCAGGCAAACAGTTTCCAAAGTGGGAAGGACCATATATGGTCACTTCGAGATGGGGTTACGCAGATACAGTCGCAATGGCGAACAATGAGAGGCGCGTGAACGTCAGCGAGCTCCAGAAATGGATACAGCGAGACAAGCCAACGATGACGCCTGCACCAAGTGGATCAAGCCGAATTCAGTCGCACGTATTTGACGGGGGGACGAGTGTGGTGAGAGCAGGCTGCTAGCCGATTGGTTGGCACTAATCTACGTTAAGGTCTAGGTCACTAATATGGGCCGTGAGAAAATATGAACAAGCCTGAGTCAACAACCAATCACAGCAAAGTTAACGTGGCAGAGTATGATTCGCAGAGAGAACTCTATTTGTCAAGGAATCCCGAAACAACCAATCAGAAGCCTGCGTTTGTCTACCTAAACAACCAATCAGATGACTGCGCTTGTCTATAATAATGTTGTTGAAATATGTATAAATACGTGTTGATTTTCATAATAAAACGATCTGTTGCCTGGCCCTTGTCTTCTGTTGTTACACTAGCATATTTACTGGTGTGAGCGGTAACAAAAGGTCGAGATAAACAGAGTGTAGAGAACGAAGAAGAATGTTTTAATAGCGTTTGTAAGGAAGAAAGAAACAAAGAAGCACATAACTGAGAAAAAAGAGAGAGAAAAGGAAAGGAAAGAAAGAAAACGTTGTAGCTATAAATGATATGAATTGGAAAGATGAGACCCAGTTGTTCTACTGACTATTTAATAAGTTATAGGTATCACGCCTAATGCTTTCTTTATCGCACAGAACGCGAGCCAACCGAGTAGGGTATGTTTGAGTTTTTGTACTTCCTAGTGCTAGCATATAGTTTTCTATAAAACAGGCTTCTGGTTCTGCCTGATGAGATACAAGGGGAGAGTTGTGAATGAAGAGGGTGGTGTGAGTTAGATAGAATGGATTTAACCCATTTTGCACATGAGTCGAAGTGCTTGTCAACCAGAATATTAACAAGCTGGTTAAGTGGCGCGTAGCTTACCCTTCTGATAACCTTTAACATCCTGCGTAATAAGGCATAGTCTTTCTTCAGTAGCCCAGAAAAAACTAAGGGGAACAATAGAGAATAATAGGCAGGATGTGTGAGTTAACGAATTGTAGGAGCAAGGGTTGATTTATACCAGAATGTCTTAACTTCTTGATGTAGAAGGTAAGACGGAATATTTTCTTAGAAATCATCAAGATATGAGAAATTATTGAAATTTTGTCGCCCATACTTTCCGTCTATTACTTGAGGTCACTGTAAAAAGTATGTTCAGACACTATTTTGTAACTCATAATTGATTTATTTAAGATGTATTCAGTTGAAGAGAGTTCACAAAATATAACGAACTCGTATTATCCTGCAAATATTTTTGTTCTTTCTCTATTCAAAACTGATAAAGGGGATTAGGTGTGTGAAAGTGGTGACTATCATTAGACAAATGTGTTGTGAGAAACTTAGGTGAACTGGCATGGTTTAAAGAATAAAGATCCTTTTTTTTCGAGTGGTCGTTTAGCATAGCCTAAATACACGTAAATTAAAGCGATACCAATTTGACACATGTAAAAACGAATAGTTCGTCGTGCAACCGGTCGCTTATATAACAGCATAAATCATGAGAATGCAATATTTATATGTGTTTAACTTAGAAGCCGGTAGTCTTGATGTGTTTTACTATGAAGCAACATTTACTGTCACAGTGACGAGTAAGAACTTTGAAATTGTCCCGACAAATACCCCACAAAAGTTTCTCCAATTCATAATTTAATGTCAAATACCTAAATTATATATTACTTATGTCATTATATGAGTATGCTACAATGCTACAGTAAGCGCCGTTGTTAGGATGTGTTATAAAATCACTTTTTTTTCAAGCCAGCTGCCTCATATATTAACTTCAAGAGGTGCATTCCATCACTTTGCATAGACTCACTCTGGTTTAAATCGTTTGGAAATGAATACTTTGAATTTGCGTTACATACAGTCTACTGTGACAAGAGAAGACAAGGGCCAGGCAACAGATCCTTTATTAAGGAAATCAACACATATTTATAGATTTTCATGTACATATTATAGATTATTGATAGCAGAAAAACACAGTCTTCTGATTGGTTGTTTCTCACAGAAAGTTAACCTTTCATCTCTTTGTGACTATCTCTTGAATGTCAGATCATCTATCTGCTAATTGTATCCGCCTACGCAAAGTTTTTACTGTGGTTGTTTGTTGAATCAGTCTGTGTTCATATTTTTTCACGACCAATATTTGGGACATACACATTGACGAAAAATACTGTCTACCAATTTGGCTAGCAGCCACCTCTCACCACACTACGATTATTAACTTGGTGAAGCGACTAAACATGTACTACTCATATATATGAGTTTATCTTAATTTGTTTGGCAATATCTTCGGTTATCTGCCATCTGTTCATTATCAATTAGACAAAAGTGATGTTTGAAAGTGAAGAAAAGCCCCCGGTAATCTGGATTTCATGTATTAATTTTTGGATTTTTAGTAATTCAGCCTATTAAACACAAACATGACTTCAATTCCAGTCTTCTTGCCTCCTTAGGATCAGTAGTCTTGAAATTTGTTAACTGTAATTATTTATAGTGTCCAATGTTCCCTGTTTTTTCACATCTTTAGACCGGCTAGCAAAACTTGAACGTCCAACAATGGCATGTAGACAGTATGAGAATGAGTGAAAGCCTACGAGCAACTGTGGAGCCCGCTAAGGCAGACTGTGGAGAACAGAGTTAAATGGAGATATGGTGGTGAGGTCCAGTGTTCAAATTGTTCGTTCTAAATAAATTGATTAGTTGAGATCTTATAGGCTATTCTACTTTTCATAATCTATCTCAATTTCTGTTTATTTTTTCCCAGCTGGTTAATTTACTAATCCTTTTGCATCATTCGCATAAACCTGATCAAATCGGTACAGGTGCTGGTGTATTGTCGACTTCACTTCGTACATCTGAGACAACATTTGATCCTGGTGCATACCATCAAATTACAGATGAATCATCGAGTAAACAGCACCATCAAACAGAAAATCTGGTCGGTAAAGTGAGTTTTTTTTAACAGGTATTTTAAAATATCATAAAGTTTTATGATACGAATGAAATTATGTTTGACTTTCAATGGTGTGAAATGGTTCAAATTGTCAGTAATGTGGTTTTTTGTTCATAACTGGACAGCATACATTGACTGACTGACTGAGATTCAATGAACAGCTTTATGTAGAAATTCACCAGTTCAAATTTCCACACTCCATGTAAGATAAAGAGAAACAAATCAAAAGAACTATAGTCAGCAGAAATATATGAGAGCAAGAATTACCAGTACATGCAGCATAATAACGACTTAATCGACGTGAGAGGGGACGAAGAGCAAAAGTACCTGCACTGGTGAGCCATATCACCATCAGTTTCAAGCCAGTGGTTCTTAGCGTCTCGACGGCGCACTAACCAGGCAATCCACACCTCCCTACATGACTGACCCAAACCAACATTCAAAGTCTTCATTGACTGATTCCAAGTTTTGGTGTGGACAGTAGTAACTGTTTTACAACCTGATCTAATGTCATCTAATATCGCTGTGCAGGAAAGGCAATAGGTGGGTGGCTCCAGGGAATATTTTAAATTAATGCCCTCTGAAAAAGAGCTCTCAATTTGGTTCTAGCCTTTTACATGGTTCTCCAATACGTTTCTGCGTGGATACACCTTATCAGAAAGTTTCCAGGAAGTTCTAAGGAACAATTTCGGGTATCCCTGTGTGAGTTGTAACCACTGGTTACCAAACACACTGACCAATATATTGTTCAGGTACTTCCTTTTAGTGGTTGGTCGATAGTTATTAGGCAATCACTTCTATCTGTCTCTACAACCGCTTGCATTCCATAATAAAAAAAGACTTGTACTCGTATTTTATGCTAGAAGGAAGTAACCATTTCCAAATTTTCACACGCTTAGGTGTTTCTTTCCTTATGAAACCTAAACTTTAAAATAACATCTAAAAAAGTTTCTCATTTGAAAAGAATGGATACTTGTTATGTACTCGTCGCCAAATTATTGCTATGTACTGGTCGAGAATTTAATAGTCCTGACGCAAGAAAGACGGAAATCAGAAGACCACTAGGTTTGCGATGATACTTCTATTTTCCAAAACACCAGCAGAATCCAAGTCACACAAGAGTGTGAGAGCAAAAATATATATGAATGTCAAAACAAGTGAGTGAACAAATCAATAGACAGTCTTAACATGATTGGCTAATTATAATGGAGTATCGATCCATATATACGTAGCAAAATATAGCAGACATGTCAACAAACACACAATTTATATGGATACATGTCACCAAGATCAGACTGTCAACAAACACACATATTATATATAATATAAGGGGAATATACATTGTTAAAGGAGACAGGTTCATCAAAGTGAAATGGTCACAGACTAAGAGAGCAACAGAAAGAGAGAGACCAGCATATATATATATATATACATATATGTATATATATATATATATATATATATATATATATCAATACTGAACAAAGAATACTCTTTACGACAACTTCATCATCAGGCTCTACAGTTATATATACATTATTATAGTGAATGAATGAATTAGTGTCATGAACAACATTAATGTTGCTGCTTAAATAACGTCGAATCAATAATATTGATAGATTGCAGTTCCATAGCATCAGCATAAAATAAGCTGAATGTTAGAAAAATTAGGAAAGATAATAATACAAATTCATGAATTTATAGTCTCTACTGAAGGCCAGCCAGTGCAGTAGTAGTGGCTAGCTGGACTTGCTTCTTTTGAACACAGAGGACTGGTTGTTTGAGGCGAATTGCAATAGCCTCTGCTGTTTGCAGCATGCGGTGCTTCGATGATTTTGGTAATTTATTAGGCACCCGGTAGATGATAGAGAAGTATTCTTCAGTGCTAGCTAGCTTTGTGGCCGATTTGCACCAGATGGTCTAATATTGAACTGTTGATGGCATTAAATACACCTTTACTTAGCCGTAATGGGAGGTGTTCTCAAGCGAGCACGAAAAATCAAGTTCCTAGCGCAACAGCCGATATAACTCGCTCCACAAGTTGGTTACAGTATGACTGCAAGGAGCAGAGAGTTAAATTTTTGCATCATATCCAATAAACTTTGTAATAATTACGTAACAGTAATATCTAACACTTGAAAATTGAACTAGCGAAGGACTACAGGACGAAGTTGTCTGAAGTTCCAGTGAGAAGCTGTGACCATTGGGGTCTTCCAGGTTAAGTGTGACGAATAATACTCACCGATGACACTGGCGATGACCGGTGGTCACGCTTAATTCCCTCCCAATCACTGCTTCTTAACACGAATGTTCTAGGTCCGATTCCCGGGGGAGTGGTCATGGGGGCGTACTGGTGTAAAGTCATACACTGGGACCAAACAGGTGTTCAGTACTCCTCTGGTTTCCAATAGTTCTATAAATGATGGCAATTTGCGATTTGAACTGACATCAGTCTAATCCCTGAAAACCAACATTTGAAAACAAACCCAATGGTTTCAGTTAACTATTTTAACCGAGACCTATTACGAGTTGGTTGATGAAAATTATATGATTTCCAACCAGTAGAGTACTTTATTTGTAGTGGCTGAGAAGGTCTTAAGAAACAGAATTTTCATGAACTCGTTTTCATTTCATTATACTACCGTCAGGTGACCACCACTTGAATTCCTATTTGTAATGGGCATGCAGTTGCATGTTGAGAAACCACTGTGTAAATTATACTATTGTGTTCCACACTGCTCTATTTAATTTCGGCAGGTGATGATTTTAATTTCCTGTTGCGCTAATTCATTTTTTCCAAAACTCTCCATCTTCTCTAAACATATATTTTTAAGCTGACATCAGTCAGAGAACCACTGGAAAACCTGGGAGTACTGGACAGCTGTTTCGTCCTATTTTGGGACTCTTCATCAGTACGCACCCACCGGGATTCGAACCCAAGACCTTCTGGTTACAAGGCGAGCTCGTAGACCATTGACCATTGGGATCGGGTCCCAGTGGCTCAATGGTCTACGAGCTCGCCTTATAACCAGAAGGTCTTGGGTTCGAATCCCGGTGGGTGCGTACTGTTGAGGAGTCCCAAAATAGGACGAAACAGCTGTCCAGTACTCCCAGGTTTTCCAGTGGTTCTCTAACTGATGTCAGCTCATGATGAAATCCTTCATGCAATCAAACAAAATCCCTACAAAACCAATACTTGAATATATTTTTAAGGCCGGCGTTCACTGGGATGTACAGCCAATTGTAGCTGGACGTGCAGAATGTGGATTTGTTGGTCTGCGTAATGGTGGAGCAACGTGTTATATGAACTCTGTCCTACAACAGCTGTTTATGCAACCAGGTGTAGCTGAAGCCCTGTTGGCTATTACAGATGCAGACGATACAGATGAGAAGAATATTCTCTTCCAGACACAACGTGTAAGTGTTCCATCACCTGACTCATAATGTGTTTTCAGAACAACTTTTATTGTTATGAATGTTATTATTATTCTTATGCAAACCCTTCACTTAGTAATTTGAAGATGTGACCAGCTGGGTTCACCAATTTATGTTGCGCAATACAAGAAGTTGAAATACGTGGGCCATCGGGTCGACTTCCAGCGGCTGAATGGTCTATGAGCTCGCCTTTTAAGATCCTGGGTTCGGACCTCAGTTGATGAGTACTGATGATGAGTCCTAAGCTGGGGTGAAACAACTGTCCAGTTCCCTCTAGTTTTCTACTGGTTTGACCTTACCTGTAACCACCCCAATCTTTGTGAACAGACACTTGAAAATTGCAAGATTCTCTGCGATTCTATTATATGCAAAAGGATGACAGAGTTAACGATAGTCCTGAAACAAGTCATACCCCAGTCTCCTCACTGCACAGTGTTTTCAACCAAAAAGAACACGATTTATACATAAGTATGTATATATTTGCCTAAGAAGTAAATAGGAATGCAACAGATCTCATAGAAAGTTTAACCAAATAGACATGACAGTTTTTTATCATTAGATAAGCTGTCCTGCTAAAGAAAATTACCGATTTGCCATATAAATAATAGAGGTACTCATCAGCATATTAAAGAGAAAAGAACGAGAAGTTCAACAAACTGATATCTTTTTTCAGCGATTTCATTCTCAAAAGCATCTGTGAAGTCCCATTTATATACATGACCCTACACATAGATACAATTTTCTATGGTTTGGTTTGTATGGGTTAGTTATGTTTTTACGAGTTGATTACGGATTGATATCAGTTAGAGAAGCATTGAAAACGAGGGAGTACTGGACAGCTGCTGTTTCATCCTAGTTTGGGGATCATCGGCGGTACGCACCCACAATAGAAAATTAATCTGATGCTCGCTAGTGACTTGCTACGGGTTGGAGTTTCCTGGAGTTTTAGTGAGAAGTCGTGACCAGTGAGGTCCAGTTAGATATCGCGTGTGTGGATGCAGTCCCACCAACGACAATTGTTAGGGTCGCGCTAAATCACGAATTGGTAGAAGTTAGAATTCATGAGCCATTGAATCCGGTCCCAGTGGCTGAATGGTATACGAGCCAGCTTGTCTTGTAACCGGAAGGTCCTGGGTTCGAACCGCCTATAGTGGGTGCGTACTGGCGATGATTCCCAAACTAGGATGAAACAGCAGCTGTCCAATACTCCCTCGTTTTCAATGCTCCTCTAACTGATATCAATCCGTGATCAACTCGTAAAAACAGATACAATTGCTATTTAATTCAGCATAATAACGACTATGGAGATTGAAGGTGATAATAATTTTCAACTCGATATAAAAAGTTTGAAGATGTGAATATGGATCACAAGGGACTTACAGACGAAATTATACAGGATTAGAAAATAGTTGCGTTACATGTAAAATAATCTGTTTAGTGAATACGGCTGGGAATGGGATGAACATGGAAACAAATCGAAATAACAATTTTTACATTTAAAGATGAAAAACAGTGTAGGGGATTAGAAAACAAAAAAACACGAAAACTAAGGAGTCGCTCCGAACAGGAGCCATGATAAATGTTCTAGAGGTTGGACTAGTTTCTTCTGAACACACACCCCTGACTTTTTGATGAATATGGTGAGAGCTCTTGCTGTTCAAAGAAGTCAGAAACACACTGCCTTCGGTAGACCTCTGTTCACTTGGTAAATGACTCTAAATGATGAGTCGGTTGAGATTCTGTGATGACAGGTATTGACGAGATGTTTAGTTATAGCGCCCCTAAGTAAAGCAGCGCCTGCTGTTTGCAGCTATTCTGGGTAATGTTCTCCAACACTTTTTGAAAGGACTTGCATAGAACGACAGATTATTATATCAGTTATAAAAACTGTTATCTCGATTGGTTTCATACGCATCCCGTTCACACCAGTCTTCACTGAAAACTACTTTAAAAATTACTCAATTTTTTTCTAATCCTGTATAATTTTGTTCCTAAATCCCTTTTAATCTATGTTCACACTCTGAAAAATTCATATCAAGTTGAAAATTATCACCACCTTTGTTCACTTTAGTTAAAATGTGGAATTAAGTAGTAGTTGTATCTATGTAAAGTGATGTATATAAATGGGAATGTACAGCTGCTTTTAGAATGAAATCTTCGAAAGACATCTTTGTTGAACTTCTCGTTCTTTTTTGGCTAATTCATCGTTTACGCACGCTGTGGTGAAATCTCAGCGCAGTTGCCTTTAGACAGCAAATCTATATGACTGATTGACTGGTTTTAACGTAGAACTTTACACCGATGTGCTACAGTTTGAGTCGCTACACTTCACTCAGCACACAAAGCCAGAGAAGAAAGTAAAAAGAAATGCAAAATAGAGACAGTAGACAGAGATATAAGGCAAAAAGAATAGTAATGTGGAAGAATCATATAGTTTTATTGTGTATTATAAGTCACAAGGAGTGGATGCATCTGTGCCAGCCATTGAGACTGATTTTGAGCCATTCACCAATTATCTCCAGCAGTTGATGTTTACCATCCCGAGGACCCCAACCAGACGAGGGCCTACACCTTCGTACATGACTGGCTTAAACTAACTATTGTGGATTTGATTGACTGATGAAGCCATATTTTGGTTTGACTCCTGCTGGCTGGCTCTTTTCCAACCTGATCCATCGTATGTCAGCTAACTTTGCCTGTCAAGAAGGCGATGGCTAGACATTCGTAACACATGTCCTAACCATCTCAATCGATGTAATTTCACAGTGTCGTCGTCGACTGATTTCCCCTCCTTACCTGGCACTCAACCGATACCCAACCTCAATATTGCTCACCCTGTTATACCACCTAACACACACGGGAGACAGAACGCAGGCACCCATGATCAAAGACAGCTAGCCAGGCTTTTCATATCTTCTACTTTCAATGGCCAGGTTTCACAGCCATAAAGCAGGACGGAGAGAACTGCTGTTTCATCAATAGCGTGTATCACGTCTACGCTAGAGACGGCGTAAACTGGCATATACGAAACTAGCCTTCTGTATCCGTGATGAGATTTCGCCAGCGTGCAACGCACTAGCACTAGCTGATGCAACTTCCCACGCTCCACCACTTCACTCCCTATTTCTAGGCTAGGGTACAATGTAGTCCAGTCCTGTGACACATGTTCCGAAGTTAGATTCCCTGCCGACGCCCACCTGATATCTATGGTCGGCCTGCAAAATTCGTACTGCCGGTATCACATGCTGAAAATTCCATACCTGTACCAAAAAATACGGTGTGGCATCAAGCTGAAATCAAAATCAAAAATAAAAATAAACACCCATCTTAATCATCCAATAGTGTTTGGCACCATGGATTCATGCTTGTTTTCCTCGAACTGTGAAAATTTTATTATTTATTATTGCTCTCTTGGGTTCCTAGTGGAACATAGGGCTTCAACTGCACGTCTCCATTTTCTTCTGTCTTCTGCTATACTTTTCGCCTGCATCCATGTTAATCCATATTCTTTCAACTCCTCTTCACACGATCTCCTCCATGTCACCCTTGGACGTCCCACACGCCGCTTCCCTTTCGGGTTCCACTCGAGGGCTTGGCGCGCGATGTCACCCAGCGGTCTCCTCAGCGAGTGTCCGATCCATCTCCACTTTCTCCTGCATATTTGTTGGGCGATTGGTTCTTGCTTTGTTTGTTCCCATAATTCCTTGTTGGTGATTCTTTCCGGCCATCTGATCTTCAGTATTGAGCGAAGACAGTTGTTAATAAAGGTCTGCAGCCTTTTGGAAATATTCTTTGTGACCCGCCAAGTTTCTGATCCGTATAGAAGACTGACTGACTTTACGTTTGTATTGAAAATCCGAATTTTGTTGGTGATGCTGAGTGACGAAGATTTCCAGATTGATTTCAGGCTGATGAATGTGTTTCTCGCCTTCCCGATTCTCGATTTGACATCCTCGTCCGCTCCTCCTGTAGTTGAGACAATGCTCCCTAGATAAGTGAATGAAGTAACCTCTTTCAAATCCCTCCCGTTGATGGTGATTGACGTTGGATGTTGTTGCTGTTGTTGGTTGGTTATTTTCATAACCTCCGTCTTGTCTATGTTTACCTGGAGTCCTGTCTTCACCGGCTGCTTCTTCGACCAGTTTGTCGGTTTTCGCTTGTAAGTCTTCGATTGTGTGTGACATCAAACATAAGTCATCCGCGAAATCCAGGTCTTCTAGGTTCTTCACGTCGGTCCAGGATATTCCTGTCTTCTCGTTTCCCACTGTCTGACGCATAATCCAGTCAGTCCACCACAATTAGGAATATCATTGGTGATAGTAAGCACCCTTGTCTGACTCCTGTGTTTACTCCAAACGCCTCGCTGAGTCTTCCGTTGTGGATCACTTGACATGTGCCGTTGTCGTACAGCTGTTGAATAAGGTTGATGAATATTTGGGGTACGCCATAGTACTCGAGTAATTTCCAAATTACTTCACGATCAACGCTGTCGAAGGCCTTCTCAAAGTCTATAAAGTTGAGGTAGAGGTTTGATTGCCATTCCATGCTTTGTTCGATGATGATGCGTAGAGTTGCAATTTGGTCAGTACATGATTTGCCTTTCCTGAATCCAGCTTGTTCTGGTCGGAGTTCTGTCTCCAGTGCGTCCTTTAATCTCTCCAGGATGATGCGACTCAGGATTTTACTTGGCGTCGATAGGAGCATGATTCCTCGCCAGTTCTTGCAGAGTGGCCTAAGTCGCCCTTCTTTGGTAGTTTCACGAGGTAACCTTTCCTCCAGTCAGTAGGCACCTTTCCCTCCTTCCAGACCTTTTGCAATAATGGAGTCAGCATGTCTGCTGTCGTCTCTGGGTCTGCTTTCAGTGCTTCAGGGGGTATTCCATCTGGTCCGGCTGTTTTCCCAGCTTTCAGAAGTTTGATTGCGTTCAAGACTTCAGCTCTCGTTGGAGGATTGGTGTCAACTTGCAGTTGTGTGCGCGCTGTTGTTGGTATTTCTGGACGGGTTGCAGGTGATGGTCGGTTCAAGAGTCCTTTGAAGTGATCCGCCCATTGTTTAATCTGTTTTTCTTCCTTGGTAATGGGGTTCCCTTGGCTGTCTTTTATAGGTTTCGCTTGTGTTGGTCTCTTCCCGGATAGAGATTTGGTTATCTGATATAGTGTCCTCAGGTCCCTTTTGCCTGCTGCCTTTTCAGCTTCAGTAGCTAGATTGTCGTAGAATCGTCTTTTGTCCTTCCTAGCACTTTTCTTCACTTCTTTGTCCAGTGCTTTGTAAGTTGAGCTCATCGTCTCCTTCTCCTGTCCGTCCTTGCATTGAATCATTTTCTCTTTCACCATTCTCCTCTCTTCTATTAATTTCCAAGTGTCCGTTGAGAGCCATTCCTTGTCTTGTCTCTTCTTTCTTCCTAGAACCGTTGAACACGTTTCGTTGAGAATCGCCTTCAGAGACTTCCAATGTTCTTCCACGCATGATTCTTCAGTGATGTCGCGTAGTGTTTCCTGCTTTGCTCTGACAGTTGCAGTGAAAGTGTCTTTTGTGGTTGTGTCCTTCAGTTTTTGAGTGTTGAACTTGCATTGTGGCCTATCCCCAGCTATCCTCGAGGCTTTTAGTTTCACCTTGAAAGTCCCTTCTACTAGATAGTGGTCTGAACCCACATCTGCTCCTCTCCTTGACCTTGTGTCCAGTAGGCTCCGTCTCCACTTTCTTGAAATTGAGATGAAGTCTATTTGGTTCTTGGTGTTTCCATCTGGTGAAATCCATGTCGTCTTGTGTATATCCTTGTGTTTGAACACACTACCGCCAATCACCAAATCATTGAAGGCGCAGAAGTCTGAGAAGAGTTCACCATTGTCGTTCATTTCACCGAGGGCCTCACGACCCATGGTGAGTTCTCTTCCTGTGTTGTCTCCTCCCAGCTTCGCATTCATGTCGCCCATCAGGATTTTGATATCGCCATTTGGGACGTTGTCCATTATTGCTTGTAGTTGTCTGTAGAACGCCTCCTTCTTCTCTTGTTCTGAGACGTTTGTAGGCGCATAGCATTGACATTGAATGACTGTAACTTTCCTTCCTTTTGAGTTGAACCTGGCTGTCATTATCCTGGAGGAGATTGGTTCCCACTGCATGAGAGCTTTGGTTGCTGTTGGTGACATCATGATGGCCACTCCCTCGGTGTGCTCATGGTTGTCCTCTAGGTGGCCGGAAAAGATTACTGTCTCTCCAGTAGGTAGTTGGCACCTTCCAGTTCCGTTCCATCTGCTTTCGCAGATTCCCAACACTTCTTTCTCATTTCAGCGGCTATCTGGGCAGCCTTTCCAGTTTCGTACATTGTACGAACATTCCAGGTACCCATCCTTACTTTTGCTTTCATCGAAAGAAGGCACATCGGCTGACTGGCTTCCCGAAGGCTTTCACCAGCCTGCGTCATTTCACTTCCCCGATTCCAGCGAAAAGTAAGGCTATTGCTTATGTTTTTAGAATTTTTAATATATTTATTCGTTGAAGTTTCTGTAGCGATTTGGTTGTTTTACAGGGGTGGAGTTGCTAGCACCACGCCCCAACCCTCCCTCTTTACCCGGGCTTGGGACCGGCGAGAAAACTAGTAAGCTAGTAGCCTAGCAAGCTAGTATCTGGCGATGGTTTTGAAAATCCTTAATTAATTTGAAAATCGCATAAGTGGCTAACAAGAATTCGAAAAGTCTGGACTGACTGTGCCAGGTGTATCGGTGATATGATTTTGCCTCCAAGATAGTCACCAGGTGTTCAGGTGACTTTAGTCTGTCCAGAAAGCACTACTGGTTGATGCGAGTGGTATTCAACGACTAATGTCAACCAATCAGTTGTATATAGGGTCTTGCAAGCTGCTTGCTTCATACTGCAGCCTAACAAGAAGGATTTAATTGGACAGCACGCTGTTCCCTACTTTAATGATGATCACTAATTGAAAAATGCTGATGTAAATACTGAGTACACTGTGTGCAAGTACTCATCTGGACAATATGGGAGGAATTTCTCAAAACTTATATCATTCTCACCACAAAATGAAATGGTCGTGAATACCTTTCATCACTTATTTTTACAGCAGTGAGGTTTTCACTCACTTAAATAAAATTTCGCAGTAAATCACCAATGTACTTATCATACCTAATTGTTATCTTGCACTTTTTATCTTTCAGTTATTTGGTCATTTACTCGAATCTCAACTGGAATATTATGATCCAGTTGGATTTTGGAAAAGTTTTCGACCATGGTCAACAAATGTGGAAGTTAATCCCTTTGAACAACAGGATGCATTCGACTTCTTCCAGGCATTAATTGATCAGTTGGACGATGCACTTAAGGTAGGTTGCTGTCGTTTTGTCCCATTTTTAGTTGAAAGCATTCGTTCATACTGTGTGCATCTTTAAAGTGCTAAATAGTAAGCGTTAACGTGAACTGACAAGATTATGGATAAGATTTTATTTTGATAAAATCACACACAGTGTGTTTGTTATACAGTAATATTAACTGATGACCACATGTTTCGGGCACAAACTATTGCCATTCATAATCATATCAAGTCACTCACTCACACAACGTCTTACTTCATTTATATACATGAGTAAAATTTATTATAAGATATTTGAATGAAATGAATATAAGATTCGCGTGAAACAGGATGGAAAATGGAGTACATTGGGAATGAATATTAGTGTTATCAATAAAATACAATAGGATGGGAATTAAGACGAATGCTATTAGTCAATAAGATGGGAAATATGTTTTTATAGTAAAATAAATAACTTGTTAGAATGTAAATTGAAATACATTTTAACACTATATATTATCCTCTGATTTGACCTAATAATATCCTCCATATCTCTGGTATTTGAGTTGAATCACTTACATTGCATGTGTTGTGTGTGGTGTAGACTTGATGAACCAAGCAGGATTCCATAATCAACCTCTCTCTCCACCTACCTATATTACTTCTTAGAACTTCAACTCTGTCTGTCCCACCCAACTTATTGTGCGGTTGTGTGTCAATGCAAACAGTGCAACAGCTGAACGCTTTTTTCTAAATTACTTATCTTCGCGAGTGGGATGAATCATTCTAACCTCAGCTAAATTCTTATGTTCCGACAATCTGACTACCCCCGACTTACTAGTTTGACTGATCTATGCAGTTGACTTAACTCACATTGATTGAGAGGTATTTTGTAAATTATATTATTTTGTTTAACTTGGTCCACCGGGTTCTATAGCTTACAGAGGTTGTCTCTGAGTGAGTCACATCTGCTGTCTTTAGATTCCAAGGCAAAATATATAAACAGACAGACGGTGTACTTTATCTTATATTAATTTTTATTCAAATGTCTAATCATCAATTCCACTCATGTATATAAATGAAGCAAGAAAGTTGTGTGAGTAACTTGATATGATTATAAGCAGGAATAATTTGTGCTCGAAACGTGGTCATCAGTTAATATTACTGTACAACACTGTGTGATTTTGTCAAAATAAAATCTTATCTATAATGGAGTTATACTCCACCACAGTGCTCAGATTTTATACTTATACCAGTGGTACTGAGAAGAGATTCCTTAATTCATCATTTATATTATCCAAGTTGGATTTTGACGTTTCCAATCGTTTTGTTAGTGGAATTCGGAGGGAAACCTACTAACTGGAAGTATCAACTCATTTCGATTTAAGCCAACCGTTTGTCTCGTCATTGATGTGGTCTAAGTCGGTTAACTGGCTTGACAGGTTCTCAAATTAGGCCTCTATATTTTCTTTGCCAACGCGTTTCCTCGAAACCTGGAAATAAAATCCAATTTAGCTTCATTCTTGATGAGTTACCAACATCTTTTTCAGGGTTTTCAGGAAATTCATCATATAACTGTTCTTTCACAAGTGTCTTGGATACAGAGTCATGGAGAATATAAGACACATTGTCCATTGAAGATGGTGTTATTAGAATAAGACGGAGATTATCTGAAAAATATGATGTCATATATTTTTAGTATACATTCCCTCACACATCTACTTGTCAAGTCAATTTATTTGAAAAATAAAAACCAATTAATATACACAAAATGGCCATAATAAGAATACTTAACACAGCGTTTGGTTATCTTAACAGATAAGGATTATCAAAGTAAGTGGGTTAAGAATAGTAATCAATTGTAACTGAACATACATGGGGGAGGACTTAAGTTTACAAGTAGCTATAGCCTCAGTTTATTTCAATAAATGCCCTTGAGTATTTTTAAAAATAACCTTAAAAGCTGTTTTGGCATTGATCTTTCGGTTCATATCGATTAGATGTTTGGCTATGGACGAAGTTGGTAGTCTGTCACATGCGTCTATTGATTTTCCAAAGTTAATCTGTCTTTCTTTCTCCCACCCTCACATGCAAAGTGTGATTACTCCCCTCTCTCTGTATGTGTCCTCACGCACACATACACGTAAATTGGTCTGTGGTGTGGGGTGTGACATAACCACTTGTGCACTTTTGAGGTTTGCAAGGGAGCATATTTTTGGCTTTTTTTAATGATTACAAGCCGGTCTGCATAATGGAACCTACGGATGACCGAGTTTAGTTTCTGTCTTTAAGTCCTACTACGTACTTCCCCACTGTACGGTTATTTAATGATTTTAGGTTTTAAAACTGACTTCTGCACGAGTTGAAAAATTTTAAAGGATATCCGTTTTCAACAAGAGTATCCATCACTTTTTTATTTTCTCTCTCTATGACATCAGTCGTAGAAATACGCTGAATCCTCTTGAATAAACACTTCACAAAGCCTCTGTTTTACTGCAGTGCACAGAAACTTTGAAAATTTAAGTACTGCCCTGTCCAACCAGACTTTCTCTAAATTGATCGCTCTATGGAATCATCGCCTCTCCGACTCAGAAATATGCGTAAAAATGCAATCTGGTTGCGACTTTCTTCCTCGCATGTAAGACTTATATAATTCTGTATGGAGTTAAATCTATCACAGATAGACAACTCGCACCTTCATGATCATCGCATATCAAAATAATGTCACTTATATATATATGCTATAGAAAGGGACTTTAGCAATTAAATCAAAGGGCAAGTTTTCAACATAAGACATATAAAGATCCACTAACAAAGGTCTTAATGGACTCTGCATAACAACACCATCCACTTGTCGAACATGCTCACCTCCAAATGTTAAATGGATTTTTCCGGTACATAATAGTAATAAATCTTTCAAATAAGTTAAAGGAAGAGTGAATGAAAAACAACCAGAAGATATGTAGTCTTAATCAATGGCGTATTAGTTAACAAGGAATTAACATCAAAAGAGTACATTTTCATATCTTTTAAATTTATGTCTACGAAACATGATGTTCACATCTACGAATGTTTTTCACTGTTTGACAAAGGAAACATCATAAACGTGAGCATTAGTCATGAAACTTAAGACAAATAAATTTTGGGTGTATTTTGCTACCTATGGTTGCTAAATGAGCCGGAGACTCGAAAGATTCAGCGGGGAGCATTTTCTGCAGTACTTTATGTACGAGTCCTGTGTTCAAAGTTATGGAGAAGAATTCGGATGTTACATTTTGGAAGTGATATCCTGCGTCTGAATTAGAGATAACTGATTCACACGTACCCCCTCCAAATGTATATTACTGAGATAGATTTTTTCTTCACTTCTTTAATTACTGTTTTCGTTTGTATTTACTTCTAGAGAATGAAAAGAGAACCATTTTTCCAGGCATTGTATCAAGGCATTTTTCTTGACTCGAAATTCTGCGATGAATGTGATCATCGGTAAGTGAATGTCTCAGTCAGTAATGTCTACTGTTAACATGTGAAATTTTTAACACTGAACGATTTATGAATACTGAAACACCACTGTTTTGAAATATTTCCACGATGATAATTCTACAACAGGATTTAAGCTAACACGTGTTTTTGGTAAATTCTTAGCAGCAGGCTTTACAATTACATAATTAAACATTAATTATAGACATTTGAAGACAATGTAGTTAATAGAATTGAAATTAAGGCCACTTGAATGAGTGGACAACAATCGAGGTGAATCGAGCATTTGTATGGTCCAAGTAGTCATCGTGAATGCATTCCACATGGAACTGGGTGTTGAAGTTTCAGTATCGCTTCAGTGTTGGTTTTATGAGGTACACTTGTAAGCCTCCTAGTCAAGCTTTGATCCTTCCACCGGCGAGTAGACTGCCTGGAATCGAACCCGGGCCAGCATTCTATCATCAAATCACTGACGTGCCGATAAAAGTGAAATAAAGCCTTAGCAAGTCTGCTGTGGTTAGTTGTTGAATCAGTCTTTCAAAAAGAGAAGACGTTCAGCGAAGAGATTCTTTTCGGTGAATTCATTTACAGAGCTGTACAATCCCATTTATATATAATTATTTTTGTGTATGCGTGTACATGAGGTTTGTCAAGTTTATATAATTAATCAGGTAATAAAAGAATGATCTAATATTGAAACAAGGTTAATTAGACAGCCACTAAAGTAAAATTGAGTTCGTAAGTTACATGACGTAATATAATTGACTAAAATGTTTCAACTTAGGTCAGGGTAGCAACAGAAGTAATTACAGGTAGAGACTAAGTAGAAGTGAGACAGATAATAATGCCATTTAGATTAGAAATGAAATTGACCTATTAAGTTGGATGACGTAACATAAATGACTAGAAATTGAGCGTTGGTCAAGTCAATAGCAGTGCTAATGTGGTGTAGAAATTAAATCGGGTGAGAGTAGGGAATAAAAAAGTTGAAAATGTAAAATATTACAATTGGGAAGCCTTAGGATATTTTTGAAATGTTTTGAAAAATAAATTGTCTTAGCAGTCTGTTTTCCATGAAAACCTGTTTTTCGCACCTATCACGTTTGGTTGTGTATTTTTAACTTCTTGTGAACTAAATATGCGCTATTATAACACAACGCATAAACACATTTTTGGAAAGGTAAGTTTATTCACCGCGTCAAGACAAAATCCGTCTGTCATTTTTGTCTAAATCACATATCAGCAGGTGGGAAAAATTTGTCGACGATGTGTGAAGAGGCCAGTCGTCTGTGAACATAGGTGTCTGCGTTTTGTCTTTCGTGTCAAGTGGTATAATATGCTGAGTGGTATTGAAATTAAGCTTAGGATTAATTTAATCACACAATCGGAATAGTTAGTACCTTGAAATAGTAAAGTAAATTACCACAGTTTAACCAAGAGGAAATATTTTCTTCTAGAGTTTGTCAAAAGATTTCTGTTTATGTGTGGTGTGAACTTTTGGGCTTTGGCGGTACGAAGCATATATGATAAGTAAATAAGGAACGTTATATCAATATATGAAGGAGTGGTTCAGTGTTCATCTGTGTCACTTATTGTATTCGTTAATCACAAGGCACATCATCCAGTAAATTGTTATCTTAGATCCTACAAGAAAGACTGGAGGTGAAATCTAATTGTTCATTAGGTGAATTGCAGACAGAACCATATCCTTGTTGAGATGTGTCCTTGGGTATGCACACAACGAGTTTACTTTCATTCTTCTTAATATTATTATTGATCTTCAAGTGTTGGTTTGTAGGGATTTGATTGGTTACAGGATTTCATAATGGGCTGACGTTGGTTAGAGAACTATTGGAAAACCTGGGAGTACTGGAGAGCTGTTTGGTCCCACCTAGTTTGAGACTCTTCGGCATTATTATTGATCCCTTGGGTTCCAAGAGTGGTAGCTATTCATACTAATTTCAGATTAATAAACGTTTATCTTGCTTTTCGGATCCTGCTCGTGATATTCTCATCTCTGTACCGCCTGCAGTTGAAATAATGCTCTCTTAGATCAATGGGAGAAGTAACTTTTTTGAAATTTCTGCCATTGACAGTGATTGGGGCTTGTTATTGTTGTTGCTGTTGTTGTCATTCAGGTATCTTCATCACCTCTGTTTTCTCCACGTTCACTCGAGATCATGTCTTCATTGTTTCTTATGTTAATTTGTCGGTATTTTCTAGAATTTGTGCGAAATTAAACATTAATAGCCCGCAAAGTCGAGATCTTCTAGGGTCTCTTTGCAGTTCAACATATGCCTGTCTACTCACACATCACGATACACGATGAATTTTTTCCTGTTCCTGTGTTTACTTCAAACTCTTCGCTGAATTTTCACCCGTAAATCACTTGACTCGTGGTTTCACTATATGTCTGTCGGATGAGACTTTTAAATATTTGCGGTACTGCACTCTGTGGTGTTGAAGTGGTTTCAAAATTATTTCACAATCAACGCTGTCGATGGCGTTTCCAAAGTCTGTAAAGCTGGAGTAGATAGTTGACTGCCATTCTATGCCCCGTTCGACGAAGTTGCGTAGCGATGCAGTTTGATTTGTTTCTCCATAAAACATAAGGAAAAACACAGTTGTTTTTCAGAGAAAAAATATCTCTGTTCAGCGATTTCATTTTCAAGCCAACTGTACAGTCGTATTTATATTATGGAAAACAGCATTTAGTAGCACTCGAAGTTGCTCAGTCGATACTGATAAAAAAAAGTTAATTAAAATTATTTATTGAGGGGATAGGGTCTAAGCGGATGAATTACAAAACTTCTAAAGATTACTAAATAAGTGAATTGAAATCAAGATTCTAAAAATAGTAGATCAAGTGTTTGGTATGTCGGTGGCGCAGAGGTAGAATGCTCGCCGACAACGCATGTGGTCCGGGGTTCGATCCCTGGCAGACGCACTCCTTTACTTCGCTAAGCCTGTAATGCGACCAGTAAGGAGGGAAGGTTGTGCATGAGGCTAGCGACCACACCTGTAAAAACAAACACTACTACCACTGAAACTTCAAAGCTGAAGAAGCTTGAAGCCCCACGTTTTACTGGGAACGTAGAGGAATAAAAAAGAACATAGCTATATGACCAAGGTAAAGAAAGGGATTTAACAAAACTTCTAGGATTCTGTTCATGTATAGCTAGAACTTCGTCTCTGCGTAGGGAAAGGAAGTGTAAGCTTTTGTGGTGGTTAGATTTGGCCCTGTTGATAACTTTAAAAGATAAATCACGTGAGGCTGAATGACATGACTCCAGAAGGTGTTCACAAATTGAAGACTGCATCACCCGATGCCCACCTTGCATTAACCAAGCTGATTAGCGTTCAGCTACGCGTTTACGGAGAACGTGGTTGCCACATTTAATGTAATCGGCTGTACACGAGCATGTGAATGAGTATATGCACATAGAGCTAGACATAAGCGATAGTGCATACTTGAGGCATTGTCGAATCATATTTCGACCTATAAATACTAAATGTAAGTCAGCTTCATAAAAAGAGCGTTCAATACATTTAGATAAACGAATTTACATGACTTCATCAACAGTGTCACCTTTGAACTTCAAACTCATGAACAGTATCTTCTTTGGCACTGCGATTCAGTTGAAGAGATTTTCTCTCTTGGTTTTTCTGTCGATAAATCTTCTAAGATATCCATTATTTAAAAGGTTTAGTGTTTTATTTTGTTTATTTCTGTTTTCCACTTCAGTTATGATCGTGAAGAAGTGTTCAGTGCAATTAATTTAGCAGTGAAAGCCAATGATCTATACGAAGCTTTGAATCAGTTTGTTCGTGGTGAAGTACTTGAAGGCGATAATGCTTATTACTGTGAACGGTGTTGTGTTAAACGTCGGGCAGTAAAACGCCTGTCTATACACACCTTACCGCCTGTGCTATGTTTACACTTGAAACGTTTTGATTTTGATTGGGATCGTCAAATACCTGTAAAATTTTCGCACTACTTCAAATTTCCAAGACAGTTGGATATGAGTCCTTATTTAACTGGTTCTGTACAGGTAACGCGTATTGATCGGTTTGTATTTATTGAATGCATGTCGGTATTTTTTATCGGGGAAAATATATTTTAGTGTGTGTTGGAGAAATTCTCTGAATTATTTTTAACGGATTATGATGTTCGAGTGTTGGTTTGTAGGGATTTGATTGGTTTCAGGATTTCATCACGAGCTGACACTAGTTAGAGAACCTTTGGAAAACCTAGGAGTATTGGACAGCTGTTTCGTCCTAGTTTGGGACTCTTCATCAGTACTCACCCACCGGGATTCGAACCCAGGATCTCCCGGTTACAAGGCGAGCTCGTATACCATTAAGCCACTGGGACCCGATCCAATGGTCCTTGAATTCTAACTTCTGCCAATTCACGACATAGCGCAACCACTAGCCAATGTCTTCGGCAGGTATTTGTCCTCACACCCGACCCGCTGCACCCTACTGGTCACGACTTCCCACTGGAACCCAGGTAACTACCTACCTGAATAGGGCCAGTCGCCAGTGAGCATCTCATTGGGATTGAAGTATTGGTTCTGTGTTGATGATGTTATGATGTTACCTTTCAAATCATGCTTTCAGTATTGCTCTGATTTATTAGTTGCTAAATTGCCAGACAGAGAGGCAAGCGCTTAGCATGAGCTCGCAAAATTGCACTGAAATCACACGAAGTCTGGTATAAGAATAGACATGAACTAGTTTTATCCTCCGTAATATAGGATATGATAATGTCCTCTGAGCTGGATGCGGTCTGCTCCGGTGTTTTCTAGAAGCAAAATGAAAGCTTGGCAATCGAATTACCTAGTTAGGAGAAAGAAACCGTTTCAATATTATCCGTCTGAGTTATGAATCATCTCTGTATTATTATCTCCATAAGTGATAAAATTGTCTATCCTAACCACTATACTTGTGGCTGTATAACGTCGTCATACAGGAAACAAATTTAACACCTACTAAACATAATTATATGCTATTTAATAATGTCTGTGGGAAATTCCTTTTGGGAAATACGGAAAATCAAAATAAGTGATTCAGCAAAGAGACTCTTTTTAACAACGAATTTAGTATTTAAGCTGTACAATCATGTAGATATATGATTTTTAAGAAATTAGATCCCGTGAGGAAATATAAACAAAGGCGAGAATATATAAAATACTGATAGTATGAAAGAGTTCAATCTATTAAAAAAAATCCCAATGGACACGTTTTGTAGACATGAACATACAGTCAAAACCTGTGGAAAGTGAATTAATGTCCCTAGCTAAGAAAATCCTGTACACGAATTTGGAATTCAAAGGTGACTAAGCTGTTGACAACAACATTAAAAGAAGAATCTCACTGTCCATAAAAAAGACATTATGGTCAACGATTACTGTTCAGTAGCCTGAAGGAAAAGATCCCTCTGTTGACCAACTCCGTGTGAGTTCACCAATTCGCTTGCTTGTATGGAGCTGGGTAAATTCCATCATTAGACTCGACTTTTGTCCAACAGAATGCGAGAACACTATCCTATCTGGTTACAAACATGTGTAAATGGGGTTTTTAATAAGCGCAGTCGTTGAAAAGCTTCTGATCGATACTTGTCACTCTGAACTCACTCTGAACTGTCTCCGGTATTATTCTTTCACTTGTCCCAATTGTCATTCTAAATTTTTAAAAATGTTTTTACAATGTTAAGTTCTGTGTTATCAAATTTCACACCATGTTATGTAGCATTTTATACTTGCCTAGTAATCCTATAGTTATATACCCCTTCCAACATCTGTACATTCTGTGGACCATTCTATAATAAGCTGGATCTCAGTGGCTGAATGATTTCCGGGCTTCACTTGCAAGCAGAAGTTCCTGAATTCGAAACCCGGTGGATGCTAGCTTTCGATGAGTCGGAAACTAGGACGACACAGTTGTTTAGTCCTCTCTGATTTTCACTGATTCTCTAACTGATATCGACCAGTGGTCAAACCTGAAATAGGTTAAATCCCTACAAAATATCTCACGAAAATATCTCTCATCAATCTAACAGCCTAAATGTTATCAAATCTTGGTGAAATATTGAGGAATATTGAAATTAAATCCACTCAACTTCCACACAATTATTCAGATTGTGCTAAATTACATATTCGTGACAAAGGGTTTATCGGAAAATAAGATTAATATTTATGATCGACGATCAACATTTAAGGTCGTTCTCTTTTCCTTTATGTACTGACCACCATACGAAGCCCTTGTTAGCTGTGGATTAGTTCATAAATAATCTCCATCCAGACATTAATGAAAACAAAACACTCATTTCAGCGAAGAGGCTGTTTTGGGAGGATTTATTTCCTGTAACTGTACAATCGCACTCATATACCATTTTTCATGAAAGATGGTAGTAAGAAAACTGATGAGTTGCCATAATCATGGCTGTCAATACCAGTCAATGCTTAAGAGAAGTTAAGTTGTGGTTAGAGCTGGCTTCAAGTCAAAATTGGAGACAATAATTTACGTTAGTGTTCACGTACCGAATCAGAGTCATGAGAAAGAAAAAAAAATAACAAAGCTTAACCTAGAGAAAATCACCAGCCAATCATAGAAGAGTTAACGTGTGGAAGTATGATTCGCAGGTGTATGGCTCAACTTTATGAGAAACGGACGCAAAGAGATAACAATAACCTTCAGCAAGAAAAAAACCAATCAGAAGGGGTCGCTTCTCCGCTAACAATAATGTAAATAAAAATTTATAAATTCCTCTTGATTTTCTTAATAAACAATCTGTTGCCTTGCCCTTGTCTTCTGTTGTTACAAATTAAGTGTATTGTGGTTACCTAATAAGATGAATAATTTTCACGGATGAGTTGTAACGAAAATACGTACAGAAACGAAGGAAAATGTTAAGTTACTTAGGAGTTCTACAGAAATGCAAGAGTTATAAGGAGTTAAAAAAGCAAACAAGCAAGAATAAACTCAGTAGAAATCACTACGGCTGTTGCCATGATTGTAGAGGTGGTTGATAATTTTCTTTTGTATTTACGTAATAGCTCCGTTTTCTGCATCTGAATGGCTAGAGCTTCAGTAAAGCAAAGAGGATGAAAGTGTATTACCTTGGACAGGCTGTCCTTCATTCTGTAGAATATATTGGAGGTGGAGGCATTTTTTGACATGAAATGATTGGTGTTGACGAGACGTTGATTATCTCACTCCTTATAGAACCGCTACTACCTTTCTGCAACTATATGGGATAAGTTTCGTAAACCATTATGGACAGGATACTCATCGAAAGAGCAACACACCTGGCTACACAAGGTCAGGTGAACTGATACGTGCACACAGAAGTGGTCGGATGCAAGATTTTCTTCCTAAGGTCTTTGTAGGCCAATGGACGACTGGAGAGCACTACTCTTAGCGTTGCTGCAAAGAAATATCTTCCCCTTGAAATCCAGGTTCATATAAAGTTTCTTTCCTGGAACAATTAATGTTTCGATAAATAAAGGAAGACGAAATTCGCAGTATAAAATGATATGGTCATTCTACTTCACAGGTTCTCACCAGCTGCAGACCACTTGAAATTACACTGGTTTCATAGATGATAATAACATACTTTGATGTTTCAGTGGTAGTAGAGAAGAGATACTATAAAATTGGCGCATCCAAAATGATGAAAGCATTACAATTTTCAGTTGTTTAAGTCTTCATCATCAATATTTAACTGGTTGATGGTGACTAACAGTGGAAGCTAGGATGCGCATTTCGTCCTATTTGGGACTCGTCATCTGGATGTTTCTGCATTTCTCAGTGAGTGATGATGTTCCCACTGAGGGTCGAACCCAGTGCCCATAGCTTCAAACGCCAAAGCGTTATCCACTAGACCACTTGGGCCATGAGTGATGATTTTCCCGCTTGGTTCGAGCCTCGGTGGGAAAATCCTCACTCCCTGTGGAATGCAGTTGACGAGTCCCGAATAGGACGAAATTCCCGTTGTTCTGGATTCCACTGCTAGTCACTATCCACCAATTAACTTCCAATTACATGCCCAAACGTCGTCGAAGCATCTGCACAAGAAGCCGACATGTCAAGCTGAGACCGAGCACTTCGGTCCAATCAATCGAAGAGAAAATCTAAAATTAAATGAAGTTTTCATCATCAATTTATACGCTTTTAAAGTTGAAAAGAGGGGGAAGGGGTAAGATAGAAAACAGAAAAAACTGATTAACAGAACAGTGTTAGTTGAAATGAACAGTCGTCAAGATTTGACAGAATAGTTCTAAAATATTTGGGCGCCGAGTGAGAAGTAGACATTTGTAAAAAATTATATTTGTATCTCACTGAGATTTTACAAATATATTTTTTTTTTACAAAAGAACAGTGTTAGCTTGTAGGTTAACATAGCAACTCAAAAAACAAAAGCGGTTATAGTTTATGAGATTAAGATTTGTTCAGTGGTCTCAACTCACTGAACAAATCTGAATCTCACAAACTGTAACCGCTTTTGTTTTTTGAGTTGCTATGTGAACCTACATTCTACCACTGCTTCTTGACTTCTTCTGTTTTCTGTCTAACCCTTTCCCCCCATTTTTCAACTCTGAAAGCGTATAAATTGATGATGAAAACTTAAACAACTGAAAATTGTAATGCTTTCATTTTGGATGCGTCAATTTTATGGTATTTCCTTCTTCTCTACTACCACTTTTTTTTTTGATTACAGCTTGATTCCACACTGTATTTTTGGTACAAGCATGAAATTTTCAGCATGGATATCGGTAACCCAAATTTCGCAGGCCGACCATAGATATCAGGTGTGCGTCGGCGTGGGCTCGAACCTCGGACCATGTGCATGGTCGGCGAGAGTCCTAACCACTGTGCCACCGACGCACACATTAAAGTACATTATTATCATCTATGAACCCAGTGTAATTTCAAGTGGTCTGCAGCTGGTGAGAACCTGTGAAGTAGAATGACCATATCATTTTATACTGCGAATTTCGTCTTCCTTTCTTTATCGAAATTTATCAAGGGAACCAAATGTATGAAATTAGTGTTTCGTTCCTGCGAACTTTTGGTTTGATATTCTTGTCAATAAATCTTGGAGGGTATCTATTTCGGATGAAGATTTCACTTAGAACGTCTAGTTCTGCTTTTAAGACATGTATGTATAATTATGACAGGCAGTTACTACGACGTTGCACAGCATAACTAACTGTTTAGTTTTACTCCTAACTTTTGTGATCAGTTTTTGATTTTTGTTTTTTGTTTTTCTACAGAAATTTAGATCAGCTGCATTTTTCTCACCGCATTCATCAACATCAGCTTTATTACAACGTGAAGCTAAAGAATCCAGATTTTCCCAAGAACCGCAAAATGTAGGTTTATAGAATGCTTTTCGGTTGGATGTCTTTTCACCAGTTAAAGATTTACAGATATGAGAAAAACACGCGTGTGGCTTGGGATTTGATCCTCGCCTCACTGTTAGCGGACCCGGTAAAGAGGGAAGGTTGGGCGTCAGACTAGCAACTCCCACCCCCCGCCCTAAGAAAGAATATCACCGCTACTGAAACTTCAGAGCTGAAGTTTGAAGTCCTATTTTCTGCTCAGAACGCAAAGAAATCAAAAAAGGGACATTCTCAACTAGTTGACAAGCATTAAATGCATGTTTACGGTTCGTTCCGACAGATTCAATGAATTAAATGACACCGAACAATATGTCCATTTGTTCCCCAGATCTTAAATTAACTTGCTACATCCCATGTTATAAGATTTTGATTGAAAATGTACGACTAGAAAGGAACAAAAACAAGGAACGGCTTTGGCAGCTAGCTAACTAAGGACCTATTACCCCAAAAATATGCAGAATGAAATGGAGATGACTGATTGACTGGTTTCAGCACAGATGTGCAGCAGTTCAAGTCACTCCACTTCATTCAGTACACAAAGCAAGAGATAAAAGTAAATAGAAATGCAAAATAGAGACAGTAAACAGAGATATGAGGCGAAAGGAATAGTAATATCGAAGAACAATATAGTTTTATTGGAAATTATGAGTCACAAGGAGTGGATGCATTTACGCACACTAAGAACGACTTTGAGCCATATCACCAATTGTCTCCAGCCATTGATGTTTACCGTCCCGAGGATTCCGACCATAAAGTCTGCACCCTCCTACGTGGCTTAAACTAAATCTTGTGGATTTCGTTGACTGATGCCATCTGTTGGTTTGACCACTACCCCGGCTCTTTTCCAATGTGATCCATCTTATGTCAGCTAACATTGTCTGTCGAGGAAGGCAAAATGGAAATGGATTGAGCATGCCCTCAGAAGATTGTTCAGTGGCAAAACATACCTACAAAACACTCGAGTGGAACCAGAATAAGAAAATGATAAGTTGGACATCCGAGAGTCAGAAGGAAATAAAAGTTTGAGGGAAATTTCGCAGAGGATAGAGTTCCACTAGCAAGGAAAGGGACAAACAATAATAAAGCAGTAAACTGGTCATTACTTTGTTATTACAATAAACTCATGGAGCCTAGTTGACTTTTTGAGTGATTCTGTGCGAATTCCTTTTTCTTATTGAAGATTAACCGCTTTCAATACGCTATAGAAGTATGTATTACTCAACGATATTTTACTTTACAGAATGAGAAAATCGATGGTAAAGATTTGACCGATGCAAACGACAACAAAAGTACAAATGAAAATACAAATACAAAGAGCGTTGTTACATTTTCTAATTCACCATCGTCTTCACCACCATCTTCTCCGAAGGAGACATCTCCTGTAGAAGAACAATGTGATGGTGATATTGGAAAAGTCGAAATGAAGTCAAACAGTCTACTGAATAATTCCTCCGCGTTAAATGCTCCTTTATCTTCGTATAAAAAGTCGTCAGACGATGATTCAACGGAAAATATCTACAAACTTGTTGGTGTTGTTGTTCATTCTGGCCAGGCGAATTCTGGTCATTATTATTCATTCATTAAAGATCGTCGTCGCTGCCAAAAGTGAGTCGTCCCTCTATTTTTTTTGTAGAAAATGAAGAACAAGAGTTACATGACAGCAATAACAACAAGTCACTTTAAAGTTAGACACTCATGCTCCCACAAGAGGTTGGAGCCATACATTTCAAGCTAGAAGGTGACCGAGCTAACCATTCGGTTATTGGTATGGGGTCCAAAAGCTAATCGATTCTAACCCCTGCCGATTCACGATATACAGAGTGGCTGCCAACTAATGTCGTCGGCAGGTATTTGTTTTCACGTTCGATTTGGCAGACTGCTGTGCTCACCACTTCTCACGTTAGCTGGTGGTCAGACTATATGCCTCGAATTAGCAGAAGTTATAACTGATAAGCCAATGAGTTCCTCCCCAGTGGTTGAAGGGCCGGCGGACTGTCTTTGTAACCTAAACGCCCTAGGCTCGATCCCTGGTGATGTCACAGGTGCATAGTGCTGAAGAGTTTCAGCGTAGAATGTTAATCTGGTGGCCAGTATGCTCAGATTTTCAATGGTTTTCCAATCAATGTTAGTTTGTGATCAAAATTAACGATGCCGTCTGTTTTAATTTTGCGACAAAAACAGTTGCAGAAATCGCAAAAGGATGATGACTGCTAGTTATAAATGAGAATTTCAATGGCAATAACAGTGAGGCGTTTAGCTTTAAGGTCAGTAACTGCCCTCTGCACTAACTAAAATACCCATCTTATATGTACTAATCTTTGTTACCTAGTCTTTTTATTGACGTCCTGCATAGCTACTTATGCATGTCTATCGTCTCTATGAGGATTCCTCGCTCTATGACTAATCAGGCAGATCGGCTATACGATAATTGACAACTACATTGGAGATAATGGCAACAGTAAAGAATAGACACCAAAGTAAAATGACCTTGAAACAGCCAATCAGATTCTCTCAGTTAAAAAGTGGCATAAAATTAATAAAAAAAAACTGTATTTACAACATATATAGGTTATAAAAGTGAACTATACAGGATAAATGTACCTAATGTGCCGCGAAACCTGGTCCCAGTTACTCATAGGCGTGGTTATAGACATATTAAACCAATGCCGATACAAAAACTCATCTAAATGGCTATATACCATATCACTTCGGGAACCATTTACCATTCTGATACGTTTTTTGAGGTGAGTGCAAAATCCTTCAATAGAATTTCTATTTGTTCCTGTTACAGCATCCACCAATTCAGAAGAATGGTTGACTCTGTGGTGAGTATAGCCTAGTGATGATAATTGAGAATAACCTCTCCATTCGTCTGTGTGAATAGTAGTTCCTGGGAGGACTAGTCGTTGTATAGTTGGTACTAACACATCAGCACTTCTGTTCGGGATAGGCTCCATAAACCCTTTACGAAGATTTGTGTCCTAAAGTCCCAGCACCCAAACATGATTTGCTCTACTCCTCCCTCGATTCATTTTTCGCTTAATAAGTACAGTTTCGTCAATGTGTATGACAACGCCAACTCCCCGAAGTACAGAGGTGATCCCGTTTAGCTTTTGTGAGGCAACACTACGGCACTACTGAAACCACTGCTCTGTTGAAATCCTTGTATTCTCCATTTCTGCAGCTGTAGCATATACTGGTCGCTTTAGTAGCCAGTTGTGGTATATACGCACTATTTTACTAAGGGACAATTTGGATTTGGAGAGGAAAGTATCTAAAAAATCACCATAATGTACGACTTACCAAATCGCACAGATTTCCTCATGTAACAATGGTTTCATCTAAATGTGTAGCCGTCAATAGCCCCGCAATACTTTTGTATGCAGGTTGTAGACTATCCTTATCAACCCATTTTTCACACAGATGTCAAAAACTAAATCTGGGTGAAACTTGCAACGAAGTTCATGAAGCGCATCCATTTTGAATGATGAACGACCTGATTGGTTGTTTCAAGGTAATTTGACTTTGGTGTCTATTCTTTGCTCTTGCCAAGATAATCATTCTAATAAAACCGACTTATTTCAATACAGTTCAATATTTATAAGTGCGACCTGACTACATTCAAAATCTCCTTCTTCTTTGCTGTTTACTCGGAAAAATTAAGAATAAGACATCTGGAAAAAAACAAAATAACTGAGCAAAAAAATATCCTTTTCTATCCTTTTCCTCTTGTGGCTCTACAATTATGTATATATGTTTATATACCATGAATATTCTAGAATAGTGGTCAATAACAGTATTTATGTTTTTTTAAATAATATCAATTTGTAAAGTAAGATCAATGGAATTACCACAGTTCATTAAAGATGTATAAATTGTAATAAGAACAAACAAGTTCAGCGAAGAGTCTCTTTTCGGCGAATTCATTCTCTTAGCTGTACAGTCGCAAATATATACAATTAATTTTGTGTGTGTGTGCATAAGGTTTGTCAAAATCAAAATCAAAATAACAGTTAGTGTGGGTTATTGGTTACATCATCAAAATAATAAAGAAATTAAATTGTGTGAATAGTAATCAAAGTTGTAACTAAGTAGGGTGAGGAATGGTAAGATGTGAGTAGGGTTACGTCATCAAAATAATATAGAAATTAAAATGTGTGATTAATAATCAAAGTTGTAACTAAGTGGGGTGAAAATTGGTAAGATGTGAGTAGGGTTACGTAATATAGACATGTTTAGAAAGATTAGATGTTCGTGAAGGAGTATGGAGACAATTATGAAAATAAACTAGATAATAGGTGAAAAGATTGAATGGGTTAGTTACTAAAAATTATTATACGAATATTGCAAAAAATTTTGATAACAAAATGTTGATGACAGATGAACTTGAAATTAAACCCACGGTAGTAGGAGGGGGTGGAGAAGTTTCTTCTGTGTGCATAATTCAGGCTTTTCTATCCAAATCGCTAAGGCTTCGGCAATACAAAGTATACGGAAGCTTGTCGATTTTGGAAGGCTTCTTTTGACTTTATAGATGACTTTGAATGACTTCTCCTTGCAAATCGAATGACCAGTGTTGAGTACATGCTCAATAATGGCGCTCCTTATTGCTCCATTGTTACCTTTCCGTAGCCAGGCGGGATAGTGTTCTTGAACTCTTTTAGATAAAACTCGCATCGAACGACCTATATACCTCGCTCCGCAAGAGCAGGTGAATCGGTAGATACACATGGAAGTGGTCAAATGCGATAGTTTATCTTTAGAGTAGTTGAAGAACAATGGCCGGGAGGAAAATGTCAGTCGTAGTGTTGCAGCGAAGAATGTCCTTCTTAGAGCAGTAGATATCCTCTTCTTCAAGTTGTCAGCCAGAAGGTCACCTTTGAAGGGTACATTCATGTAGACCATCTTCTTCTGCACTGTAGTGGGTTGTTCTTTGTAAGTCTTAGGCTTAATATGCTTGTCTATAAAACGGGGTGGGTAGCCATTCTCGAGCAGTGTCTTTCTTAAGAGGGCGATCTCTTCTTCTATTGATTCAGGACTGCAGATTTTTCGGATTCTAGTCGCCAGAGATATTATCAAGTTTCGCTTTCGACTAATTGGTACCCAACTGTAGAAGTTTGTCAACTGACCGTTCCATGTAGGTTTTCTGTGTACTGATCTGTTCAAGGTACCATCGGTCTTCTTACTTAAACGAACGTCCAGAAAGGAGATTGTCTCTTTGGTTTCTACTTCGATTGTAAATTTGATGGCGGGGTGGCAACTATTGAACACTTGGAGAACCATATTTTGATCACAATTGTTATCGCAGATGACGAAAGTATCATCAACATACCTTTTGTATAAGAAGAATTTGTCGATGGTTGCTTTCAGCGGACCATTTTCCAAACTTGCCATGAAAATATCAGCCAACACCGGACCCAAAGGTGATCCCATCGCCACGCCATCTTGTTGTCTATAGAGGTTCCCATTGAATGTGAACTGGACATTTAGGGTACATCTGAGTAGGAGTTCTTTTAGCTTAGTGGTAGGTATTCCAATATTCAGGTTGTTTTCTTCCAAGTATTTGCATAGAAAACAAATCGTCTCAGTGATAGGGACGTTTGTAAAGAGAGACTCGACGTCGAGTGAAATCATACGTTTGTCTCCCACTTTAACATCTTTGATACAATCGATGAATTCAAAAGTATCTCGAAGAGAATGTTTTGAAATTCGTTCTCTAACAGGTTGTAGGAGTTCTGCTAGCCATTTCGCTATTGGATGATACGGAGATCCCGACATGTCCAAAATAGGGCGCAGTGGAAGACCTTGTTTATGAGTTTTTGGCAATCCGTATAGTCGGGGTATTATTGAACCTGTCGGTCGAATGCTCTCGAAAACATTTTCAGGGATAACTTGATCAGTTTTTAGCTTTCTCAAGATCTCAGTTAGCTGTTTTTCCGTTGCCTCGGTTTTGTCTTTCTCTTTCTCGCATACTGAGAACTTGTTGTTATCTGAGAGAATCGCCACCATTTTATCAATATAATCTTTTCTATCCATTAAGACTATACCTGTACCTTTGTCAGGGCGTGTGATAAGCAATTCTTTGTTCTGTCTTAGTTGGTTGAGTTGTTCTCTATGCTCTTTGGTCAAAAGAATGTTGAACTTGGACTTTGTATTGAGATACTGTTGACAGGAGTCTAGAATAGTAGTACAAAGTCCAAGTTCAACATTCTTTTGACCAAAGAGCATAGAGAACAACTCAACCAACTAAGACAGAACAAAGAATTGCTTATCACACGCCCTGACAAAGGTACAGGTATAGTCTTAATGGATAGAAAAGATTATATTGATAAAATGGTGGCGATTCTCTCAGATAACAACAAGTTCTCAGTATGCGAGAAAGAGAAAGACAAAACCGAGGCAACGGAAAAACAGCTAACTGAGATCTTGAGAAAGCTAAAAACTGATCAAGTTATCCCTGAAAATGTTTTCGAGAGCATTCGACCGACAGGTTCAATAATACCCCGACTATACGGATTGCCAAAAACTCATAAACAAGGTCTTCCACTGCGCCCTATTTTGGACATGTCGGGATCTCCGTATCATCCAATAGCGAAATGGCTAGC